ATAGCATCGAGCCTTATTACGGTTGATCCTTGATCCTTGTTTCTGCTCGGCCAATCATTGCTACAAGTGGCGCCTCTCAACAATGACAGACCATCATTGCTCTTCCTCCTTGCTGACATGATGTTACAAGACACCAGAGTTTTTGCCTCAGAGCCTTCAGATTGCCTGACGCCTTGATCACTAGATATCTTCCATTACAATGGTTTCCAAGATGAGCCTTTCTAATGATCGACTGTGAAATATTTGTATGTGGCAAGACTTTTCTTCCTTCTTGAAATTGTACAGTAGTCGAGTGGTTTCCAATCCTGATTAGATAAATAGATGACGAGAAGGTATACCGGCAGCGACACTACGTCGCAACAATCAACATTTGACTTTGAGCAGAAATTAGGAGAACAATGCAGGGAGCGAGACGACTGCCATGAGCCTTCTTGCTCATGAGCACTGGTCCTATAAAATCGTTATGACTGCGATGATGATGATTCATTCACCCATCCATCCATCCTTACAATCAATCAATCAACCTTTGTCGAAATCTGTAAAGTATTAAAACTTTTTTACAAATTATTGATACACTGTAATAGCCAGTCTAGTCTATACCGAGAAGTCCATATCTTGATGATCGTCTTCTCCAAGGTCACCATAACGACCAGAAATACAGTGGAAATCTTCGGGTTGGCCGGTGGGAACAACGTAGCATGGCTCTTTTCCAGATGGTTTCCTCCCTGGATCCGTTTCTCGAATTTCATAAAAGGTACAGTCTCTGTTCTGAGTGTTATCGTAGGGTGGTAAAAGCACATCCAATACTGCTGCACCATTGGGACCTGCAACAAACTCATGCAAATTACCCTCGTATGGGAACAACGCTGTAACTTGCGGAGCCTTCAAATGATCAACGTGATTCTTGAAAGCTCGCTTGGTACCCTTGGGCAGCGCCTGCTGCGTGGTATTATTCTCTCTTCCAAAAAAGTTACTCATCCAATTCCTACGTCCTGATTTCGAGTGGTCCATTACATCCTCATCCAGTCTCGCAAGGTCCAACGAGCGGCGTTCCAAATCACCATACAATACCCTCGACAAAACGCACATGTCCGGGTGATCATGCAAGGGTATCCTCCCATACGGCGCAAACACAAAAATCCCAATGGAATATTGGTCTGGGATTTCAGAAATGTGTACATATCGAACACACGAACTGGTGTTGACAACACTGTGATGATTCATTGGCGGTTGAATGTCATCGTAAATGGCAGCACAGGATTGACTGTAAAATTGAAAAAAGCACAAATCCGAATCATTGTGTGAGACACCAAACGTTCTGGAAAGTGATCACGAACGATGCACGAGGATGCTTATCTGCGGCATCACTCACGTACCTGTCGTTTAGCCTGGGCCCTTCACCCACTTTGACTGACTTCAAATCGAGCAGCAGCTGGGCGTCCAGCCGTTCCAAGGCATTCATGATGGGTTGTAAGTTTTTCTGTAATGTGTCTCGGGATATGGTAGACAATCCCGAAAAGGACTCCAGCGCTGGCTGCAGTATTCTCCCAAGGTTGCTGTGGTCGCGTGGATGTTCAATAGCGGTGTGATGTTGGTGATATTCTACGTTCATGCTGTTGGATTGTCTTCTGTAATACAAAGTGAGATGTAAGAAAGGTTGCAAAGAAGAAGAATGTAACCAGAACTCGTTTGAGACGGAAGAGGAAAGTTGCCGACAGCCTAAAAAAATTGTTCCAATCCGAATCATCGTCAAATCGCGGCAAAATCCGAACTTTGATTGAGGGTTGATCACTTGGGAGCGCAAAGCCTGTCTTACCTGTCATTCTCGAAACTGGTTTCCGACATTTTCCGGCCTTTGATTGTTTCACGTATCGTATTTGTCAGGTCCCTGACCTGGCATTTCAATGGTGGGTGGTTCATCGTTGCCGTCATGGTCGTGACCATTTGGTTGTGGTGGCTTCATTCATACTAAGTTCTAATCGGGACCCTCAAAACGTCGATGTCACAGGGACCTTCTAAGTAAGTCACTCTCAGTCTATACTATAAATGTTTTCTTGGTTCGCACCAAACGGAGTTCGGATTTACACTCTACAATTAGGGGAGAGGCTTCTTCAGTAACTAGCGTCAGACAATTCGGTTTTTGGGTGCGAAATGCGCCCCTCTCAATATCAATGATACCAGACATGGGTGAGTGGTCTGTCCATCAACTCTTCCAAAGCTTGCATGCCAAAACTACAGGAAAGGCAACGAGTCGGAGAGTTGGCCAGTTTTTATGCGCTATTCATACACGAAATTTTGAATTTACACATCGTTTTCACCTGCACATTTTCGAAATAGAAATAAATCGCTGTCAACACTAATCAATATAATACATACACAACTTCTTCATCTACGTCCATCTACCCTCATCCATGAAACAACCATGAAATCTTCCATCTTCTGTAATTGTTGGTTAATCAGTCTTTTCCTGATAGGATACAGCCATGCGGATTGCTTCCGAGATAGAGAGGAGCTAGCCAATGCCGTGGATGCCTATCTGTCCGATGGTTCCCCGGACACCAATGTCGCCACAAGGTATGGGTGGCCCATTGGCAGCTGGTGTGTCTCCAACGTGACAGACTTTTCTAGGTTATTTCTAAATGCAACTGAATTCAATGAGGATTTGTCGGGTTGGGATACGTCGAGAGCATTGATTATGCACGGAACATTTGAAATGGCAACTTCATTCAATCAACCTCTAATGTCATGGAATGTTTCGCAGACAAGCAATTTCCGATCCATGTTCCTCGGTGCTCGCAGTTTCAATCAAGACTTGTCTCCTTGGGATACGTCATCATGTGTGACGATGAAGAATATGTTTATGGGTGCCAAAGACTTTAATGGTGATGTTTCCTCATGGAACGTTGGAAACTGTGTGGACATGACTGGTATGCTGCACCAAGCGACTTCTTTTCACCAGGATTTGTGCTCGTGGGGTTCCACCATTCAACAAAACGTTGGGGAAGATATATTTCGAGGAACGGACTGCCCAATGACAGGTGATCCCGATTGGTCAGATGCTGGAACAACTACTGGGCCCTTTTGTTTCCCATGTTCCGAGCAACTTGACTTTACTGACGATTATTCGTCGGCGTTGGCTCTTTTGTCAGCAAAGATGCTCCTCGTGCTGATACTACCAATGGTAATAGCGGGAATCATGATATTGCGTCATCGAAGCAACAATAGGTGTATAGACCCGTCTGATACCAAACTTACCGAATTTGAGCTACTACAACTTGATGAAGAAGAAGGTAAATGAAAACAACACTGCATGCGGAATAGGTACTTCCTTTCCCACCAATGATCACTATCAGTGTATCCATCTTATGCACATCACATTGATGTGGAGAACAAACAATTTATAAAGAGACGAAATGAGCACATCCGATGCCATTATCCATAGAATGAGGTGATCATTCCTACAATATTAACGAATGCATCATAATAGAAATTCAGTTTTAATAAAATGCATCGATACCATAATGTCACAATATCTCATTCTTCTGTTGCAGCACAGCGAACCAATATGTTTTATACTCGTAATATATAAATAATAAAAAACAAACTTTTGGAGGAAATGGCTTTTCTTGGGCGACCATTTACGCGTGACGCTACAGTACAGCACGTTACGCAACTCTTTGGTTGATCAACTCGATCCGATCAAGGATCCGATCGACCGCTGGTGGACAACAGACAGAGACACAATCAACCGTCCGACGTGCAGTTGTTGCCAACGTTCACTGTTGGATACAATACATACTCTGCTTGAGAGAGAAAGAGAGAGTTTTTCACCAGCATGGCGTCCCAAGCTCCACCTTCTGATGCGGCTGCTGCTCCCACGGATGCACCAGCAGCAGCGGCTGCAGAAGCACCAACTCAGACAACACCCAATCGGAATCAAGGCGGAGGCCGAGGAGGAGGACGTGGAAGAGGAGGAAATCAAGGACGAGGAGGAAACCAGGCAAGAGGAAGAGGACGCGGACGTGGTGGGGGAGACGGAGGAAGAGGTGATGGACCCGTCAGCATTGCTCCAAATACCGGTATTCCATATGGTCATGTTCCCGGTTATTTGCCAGGATCTTCCAGTCTGGTGGAGGAATTGGAGAAGAGGATTCTAATCGTTTTGCGCGATGGTCGCCATATAGTGGGTGTAAGTCTTTTTTCTTTCTTCAATCGATTCGCCGTGTGCCATATGATGGCTCCACGGCACCCTATCGATGATGTGACTTTCGATTCTAATGCCTTGTTCAACGCCTGCTGTCATACCACATCAGACTCTCCGCTCCTTCGATCAGTACAGCAACTTGGTACTTGATGAATCAACAGAACGAAAGATTCATCGGCATAAGGATGGAACTGTCTATTTCTCAGACGTTCCGATGGGTTTATACATTGTAAGGGGAGACTCCATCGTGTTGCTTGGTCAAGCTGCTCCAGATGATGGTATGAAGAAGGTGGAGCCAGCAGAGTTGGATGAGATGATCAAGGGAAGTGGCCAGGCCGCACTGGAGTGGGATTTTGACAAAGATCTACAAGCTTAGGAAAAGTCCTTTCGTTCATATCAAAACGACAGTTATAATTTTTCTTTTCTTTTCACAACATCAATTTGCTCATGATTCGTTCTCGTGACGCAGATCGAGTTTCTACTGCTGAAATGCTACGGTACACATCATATATGAATCCTAAAATATAAAACAAACAAATCTCACAAGCGGTCTCCGGATAGATCTTGATTACATATTGTCCATATCTGCATCCGCAGGGTGACTGTTGTTAAGGACGGTACCACTTGAAGGAGGGATATTGTTGGTTGCCATGCCACCTCCATTCTCGGCCTCTAGAACAGTCATTTCCTCCTTCTTGCATTCCTTCTTTGCTTCAATGACAGCAATATCCTTTCGCGCAGAGTCGAAAGCATTTCGGATCTTGGCTTCCTTGTCCTCTGCAGACATGCTCTCAGCAGTCTCCAACTCGGCCATCAAATCATAAACCTCAACTCCAAAGACTTGCTTGCGATTCTTGATTTCACGGTCCAAAAAGAGGATATCAGTCTACAGTATAAAGCGAAAATGAAACAAAAAGTGAGTTGCACCGAATGGTAAAAGGCGGGCAATGCTAGTTTGTCCCAGTCGTGGATGTGGTCGTTCAATCAAAACAAAAAGGATTCTCCCCCTCCAAGGATCCCACAGCAGCGACTACGATCCGCAAATTGCAGTGCTTCCATTGTTTTCAAATGAAACAGGAGTCAGGCTGACCGAATGCCCCCAAATGAAGCATGAAAGATGATGATTCAAAGAATAGAAACGTCATTTGCTTTCGTTTCCAATAGAATCGTCATTGCTGCTTGGAATCCCCTCGTATATTACTCCCTCAATTCTCTAGTTCGCACCTTGAGCATTTGCTTGGCACCGGCATCGACTACATTCTTTCCTGCTTGCTTGACTTTATCAAGAAATCCAGCCATCTTGTTGTTTTTGTTGTTGTTGTTGTTGTTGGTTCTAGCGTTGTTTCTCAATTTTGAAAAATTGAGTTCGGCTGCGATGATGATAGCGTTTACTCGACCGTTAAAACACGTCGACAACGGCACAAGGACGGACACATTATTGAAACTCTTTTGTGGGTCGTCTTACTTTAAGATGACAGATTGTTCAACCTCAAACTAATGTACGAGTTACGAGTTACGAACGCCAAATAGTAGTCGCAGACAAGGCAAACGACTTGGATGCGAGGCAGAAAACACAGGTGAAGCGCCAAACATGAAGTATTACTTCGATAACCATTTTCATTTTGCCAGCACCATTTCCATCTATACACCCACTGAAAATACTAGCAAATTACTCAGTAGTAATCTATTGGTGCAAGTAACTCGTAATCTACCACAAGTTATTTATCGCCCATCAATGATTCCGATGGAAACGATCCGAACCATATTTTTAAAAGTAGCAGTTTCGCAATTTACTCGTGGTGCTTGAGTGTGACAACAATGTCATCAGATTCGGCTCTTGAGATTGCAGGGTTGCAAGCATAAGGGTCCTCGATGTATTTGATTGTCATGAAGAGGGATGCAAAAAGACCCATTCCAATCATCCAGGACATGAACCCCTCGCTAGTAGAGACATTCTGGCAGTCAAAGTCCAAGGCCAATTCAGGAGCGCAAGCGTCGTCAAAGAGACAATCATGGTTTTCCACCAACTAACAAAAATTCCCAAAGAATAGTTTTTCAAATGAAAGGAATGAAAGAAGCAGATTATGATGTGAGAACAATTCTTTATGGAAAGAAGCAGGTAGGTTGTCATCCGAAAGAAAGACTTACGGGCTCCGATGGGGCTGGAATTCTGACATATGCAGGCATGGGTGGGCTTCCACCTCTCAAGGCCTTGGAAGAGACCCGAGAAGCGGCGACAGATCGCCGAACGATGGGAGCAAGGGCTCGAGATGCCATGTTTATTGCAATGAGCCAGTCCAAAACGTTGTTGTTGTTCTGCTGCATCTTTCACTGATGAAGGACGGGCGCTCCCCTCAATGACTGTCTCCCTGGGGTGACCCTTTTTATTTTTAAAAATTGCCCCTCCCCAAACACGGGACACTGGCATTGGATGTTCATGTTCGCAATCGGCGAGTTCTGCGCTCCCAGCCGTATCATCGTATTCACAGAGAAAGATTTCAGATTGATTGATTCATTCATTCTTTCCTTTGTGCAACTACAACTCCTCGTATCATCACCATGGCCAATTTCAGCGGAATCTTCTTTGCTGCAGTGGGCGTCTGCGCAGTTATCACCTTCCTTTCAAGTGATTTCTACAAACAAAAGTTCAAGAAGGCACAAGAGACCAATGCCGAAGATGAAATTTCTCCCGAAATGAAGGAACGGCACACAAAGTTGTTGAAGAAATACTTGTTTGTCTACTTGTTGGCTGTCTTGAGTGATTGGTTGCAAGGTCCTTATGTCTACGCCCTATACATGGAATATGGTTTCGAGCAACATGAAATCGCTGAATTGTTTGTAGCAGGATTCGGTTCCTCCATGGTCTTTGGTAGCTTTGTTGGTGGCATGGCCGATTCGGGAGGTCGCAAAACCTTTGTCATTATCTTTGCTGCAGTATATGCCGCCAGTTGTGTTACCAAGCGTAAGTTCTTGCCACCCATGCTGTTTCATTACTATTATTATTGATCCATCAACCTGGTTCCGCTCAAAACCTGACATTTCGCCATATTCTTCAGACTTTAAGGATTACAGTATTCTGATGCTCGGACGATTGCTTGGAGGTGTTGCCACTTCCTTGCTCTTTAGCGTCTTTGAAGCTTGGTTGATTCGCGCACATGCCGATGCGGAGCTTCCAAAGTCTTGCCTTTCCAAGAGTTTCTCCTGGGCAGCTTTTAGCAACTCTATCACGGCTATTTTTGCTGGACTTGTCGCCAACAAGTTGGCCAACGAATCCACAATGACCTTGGTTAGCGGAAATGTTTACGTTGGAGGATTCTTGAACCCATTTGATCTTGCCCTAGCTGCCTGTGGTATGTGCGCTGCTGGTGCCTTTATGCTGTGGGACGAAAACTATGGCGAAAGAGGTTCCAACGGTAAGGATGGTCGTGAAAACAAGGGACAATGGTACAAAGCTCTTCAAGAGGCCTTTGGAACTACCATCAACAACCGCGACGTTCTTCTCTGCGGTCTGATCTCATCGCTGTTCGAAGGATCCATGTACATTTTTGTCTTTTGCTGGACTCCTTTGCTCAAGTCTTTTGCTGGAGATGCTGACCTTCCTTTTGGATTGATCTTTTCCACATTCATGGTTTCTTGTATGGCGGGATCGTCTCTCTTCAGTATCCTTGTTGAGCAATACCCCATTGAGCGTCTCGCGGTTGTCCTCTTTGCCTTTGCATCTGTCGGTATGGCCATTGTTGGTTTTGGAGTCAACGAATCTGTCTCATTCATTGGTATGCTCTTCTTTGAGATGTGTGTCGGAATGTACTTCCCAATCATGGGAACCATGAAGGGTGGAATTGTCCCAGAAAACAAGCGTGCGGCAATCTACAATCTCTACCGTATCCCATTGAACTTTATTGTTCTCTTTTCGCTCTTGAACGATCTTACTGCTTCGTTCTCTTTCAAGTTGAATGCTACCATGTTGGCTGTTGCCACTGGATTGCAGTTCATCTTGACCAAGCGAAGACTTGGTACTGGCAACCAAGCCAGTTCTCCCAATAAGGAAGATTCTAAGCCACTTTTGGAAGAGGAAACCGAAGACGGTGGAAAGCACATGGTCTAAGTTATCAATTTTGCAAGTCCGAAACGCATAAAAATGAACATCTCTACTCTAAAGAGATTTTTGTTGGCGTATAGGGTGGGCTGGACACCTTGTCGCATGGGGGTTCCACCTACCGCAATACATTTATAGACAATATTGTTATTTACTACAATAATTTGTATGTATTAAAATATTAACATACTACTTTCCTTCTAGGGTTTGCAGTTGGAGCACGCAGGGCAATATACCCCTCATGATCATCCTTTGTGCCTCATGGCAAACTCTCGAAACTCATCTTCGAGACCTTTCTCTTTACACAACTGACCCAATACCGCCATGTCCTCCATTTCTTGAAAATCAGACGCGAAACATAACTGCTGTTCTTCCTCTGCTTCTAATTGCACTTGACCTCTTACATGATGGCCCAAATTCCTTCCGAATCCACCAGGGAGACTTTTGCTACCTTTGACCCAAGTGGCAAAGTCATCACAAGCGTTGGATCTACCTTCAATCAAAATGATTCCGGGATATCCATGTTTCAGAACCCCTCCCAACTTGAGCCCTTGAGCTTCCGCCATGATACTTTTTCGCCGATCATTGTTCGTAATATGATGCACCCAAATCCAAAGTCTGGAATACGAGCCGTCTCCATGTGATGTTGTCGTTGTTTCTTGTGACTTGGACGAGCTCTCATTGTTAAGCTGCATCCGTTGAAGAACAGGAGGGCACATTTCGTTAAGTTCAGCGACTAGCCCCATGATGGACTCGGAGCCAACCATCGATTCGGCAATTTCTGCAAGTTGGGATGAAAGTTCATCCCGAATAGACCAGGACATTCCTTTGGAGGAAGCTGTTGGAATGACAGGGTGATCCGGATATCCAGGAGGAATACAACACTTTAATATTATTTTTTCGCTTGTTCCATCATCCATTTGAACACCTGTAGAAATTTCTACCTCCAATGTTGGAACCTCAGCTTTTTCTCCCCGCAAAATTGATCGAGCCACATCCATTTCTTGTTTCGATAGGATGGAAAAACATGAGTCTAACTCGTCTTGATCCGTCTCGCCACTCTCACTGGATTCTCCGTAAATGGCTGACAAGGCATCAATTTCATTGACGCTCCGTTCCAGTGCCTCTAGCTCCTCTTCTGACAGTGTCATGTTGTTGTTGGCAGTTTGGACGGTTTCATTCTGGATTTGATGTTTGTCGCGTCATTCGTTTTTACGGGTGAGTCTGCGCGGTGTCATTGCGATTTTTTTGGTGGTGTCAAAAGAAAAACGAGCGACAAAAACCGAAAACCATCAAATCAATTATCAGCATCAATCATTGCCCAACACACAGGACAGGTACTCAGGTACACCAAGCATGTCCTTCGGAGACTGTCCAATCTGCCTCGAAGAGTTCAAAGAGGCAGATGTCCTTTTCAAGCTTCCTTGCTATACATGTGGATACAATTTCTGTGTAAATTGTTTGGATGACTTTGTTAAATCCTCAAAGGACGACTTTCAAGAAGCCAGCGATGGATCAAGGCAGGTCAAGGTGCAACTGAATTGTCCCCAATGCCGTAGTAAATATCCAATGGATATTTTAGAGATTGGAGTACTGCGAAATGCCCACATATTAGCCGCATCTTTGGTCCACAATTCGACGGGACAGAGGCTAGAGGATTCTGATTTGTCCGCCACTCAGCTTGCCAAGAAGAGAGATTTTCAGAGATATGGACAGAACAAGAGCATACAGGGAGCTTTTGGCTTGTACAAGAAAGTCATGCATGATGGAAACCTAGATCTTCCAGAGATGTTGAAAGTTGAAAGGTTGCCTGCATTTGATGTCTACGGGCAATCCAATGACGGCGAGACTGGAGAAGCCTCCCAAGATAACAACAGAGCAGCCGAGACGATCGATGAATCACTTTTTCAGGGGCTTGGAGAATCCATGGGAAAGGACGAAAAGCTCTTTCTCACACAACTACTGACCTCTGGTAAAGCCGAAAAATTGGCACAGGCAGCCATGATTATGAACGGTATCCTAAAGCTATCCATGTCTGGCCATACCATGGCAGCTAACAATTCATCAGATCCCAACGCACACATTAAGATTGCCGAACGCATTGCTAAAGTCAAGAAGCAGTTCCCCGCAGCCAACCACATGCCTGGGTACTTTATGATCCCTCCCTTTGACAGTTCACAGAAACACCTGTTATTGGAAGACGGCCAGTGGAATGGCAAGATTGTCCCACCAGCCCAAAGCAAACGAGTATTCGACGCAATCTATGAGAAAAACTATCGACCGAAACCATCATCACGACCAGTGGTCCTAGTCAAGGGCGTTCGAGGTCCTGTTGGAAGGTTGGGTCTCCGAAGAGGGGACGCTGTGACTCATGTCAACGATATGGAATGGAATGGATCCGCAGCCGAGCTGAAGGAATATTTGCGGCAGAGCTTTGCAAAGCATACCAGTGATGAAATATCGATGACGGTCAATGCCAACGAGGAGACTGCCGAATTTTTGAAGGTACGATCGGACATGTTGTCCCGATCGAACATATTACGATGATATTATTATGGTACAGTAATGATGATAGCCACAACCATAAAATCATGTCTCCTGTAATCTTGTGCCAATAGTAGTTTGGTAAATAGGGACGGCTAGCTATTTGACTCATGGGGAGAACGAGTAAATCTCTCATATTGGTTGAGTCAATTGGAGAGAATGAAACTCTCATACCAAATTGCCTACTACACTGAACACTTCATTGAAATTTACTTGACTGTACTGTATGTCGTAGGAATGGGGAAATGAGAACTCCAAGCTCGAAAGTGATCAAAGGAAATTTGGGATGAAATACGACGAAAGGATTTAATACAACATACATCCTTCATGACCAACAACTACAGCCGCGCAATCCAAATCTCGACTAGGCAATCAAAATGCAACGACAACTCAATTCTACGGTTTGGCAAAGCGTTCGACTGATACAACTTTTTCCTTTTGTTTCTATACAAGCTTATACGCGCGATGGGTAAAGCATAACTCTGACCTTTCCACCAATAGCTTGCGGGGGCAAATTTCGTCGGAAAGTGCATCGGACGACACCGTTGGATCCGTGTGCTCTGCAGACCTTGCCCCAGTTGACACGGAATTTGTTTCCAAACTTGTCGGCAGTCTCGGACTTGGTGATAAATGCAACCTTCTTTCCGAGATAGAAATCGACTTCATCCTTGCTATCAACACCCTTGATCTTGATCAAACTAACACTGTTGTTTTGGGTGCGGAGACCGCGTTGGTAACCGAGGATGGCTCCGTCAACATGAAGGCGTGGGGGTCTGGTGTTTGGCATGGTTCTGATTTCGTTGCAACAGGGTGACAGTGATGAGGAAAAAGGGAGAACAAAAAATAAAGTCAGTTACAATGTCATGTATCGCTTGCAAGTCCAATGCAGTTGTCCAGAGGATCCTTACCGGTATTATTATTGATTGAGTATACAAGAAACGACAATGAAGATAGATGCCTTGAGAGATCGTGCTGCGCCTTTCTTGCTCGCGACTTTCGTCTGTCCTGAACAGTCACGTATGTAAAACTAGTACTGATTTCGACTTATAGGACTTCTTCAGACAACATAACCCAAGTAATGCGGTAATAGCTTGTTGCTCAAGCCGCACACGCTACTGCCCTCGCCCGTAGCTTTTAGGACAATTGAGTAAAGCGGTGAGATTGGTATCACACACCCAATTCAAAAGAGTCTCTCTCTTCTATTCATACCCTTAGCAGAAAAACACACAGAGATCTTTCAAGGTGAGGAGCAATCAGTGTGCCACCGCCTTTGCTCCAGCTTTATCATGTAGCCCAGTGCGGATTGTCCTGATCTGGAAGATTGTAGTTTCATTGCACTGTCGGTTTGGAGTTTTTTCATTTTCCATTGTAGCTTCATTTTCATTATCAATTTCTCATCCTTTGTTTTCCAATCCAATCCAAACCACTGCCTACCAACCACACAAACAATTCACAATCCACAAAAGATGGTTCGCATGTCAGTACTAGCCGATTGCCTTAAAACAATCTCCAACGCAGAAAAGCGTGGACGCAGACAAGTGTTGATTCGCCCAGCGTCTAAGGTTGTCATCAAGTTCCTTCGATGCATGCAACAGCATGGTAAGTCTATTTCGTATGAAAGATCACTCACCCGATCCCGGGGCATGACATGGAATTGTTGCGAGCGCGCACTTGGTCCTCGGAACAAGCAGCTGCTGCCAGGACCCGACGCCTCGATGTTAGCTCCAAGAGTAGATTCGGCATGATCAATTCACACTCACGCAACGACTGTACCTCACCCTTTATTGCGCCGTTGGTTTTGCTACACCCACTCTTAACAGGATACATTGGAGAATTTGAAATTATTGATGACCACAGATCCTCAAAGATTGTCATTGAGTTGAACGGACGTCTGAATAAGTGCGGAGTTATCTCCCCTCGCTTCGATGTTGAATATGGTGAAATTGAAAAGTGGATTGTCAACCTTCTTCCAAGTCGTCAATTCGGACATGTTATCCTATCGACTACATATGGTATCATGACTCACGAAGAGGCACGCCGCAAAAAGACTGGAGGAAAGATCCTAGGCTTCTTCTATTAAACAAAGGTATCAATAAAACAAACAAAAGCTGTCAAGAAACACTTTCCTTTATATGTACCTTTAACATCGTAATGCTAGGCAACTACACAATATGGGCTTTGTGATGATATTGAAGTCAAGTTGTCGAGATTTGCATCAGTTTTGTTTGAGAATTTCTCTCTGTTGTCTCCTGCTGTGTCCCTTGCCACTTGCCACCATCTCCTCCATCGAAGGTACTGCAGTAAGAATGATCATAGAGTCTATCAGCGACTCTTCATCGCTTATTATGGATATATACAGCAGGCTACGCTGATTCAGAGAGTCCATTTGGACGAAAACTTAAAATTGTCCTCGAGAATAGTTGGTGTTGTACAGTATTGGGTCCGAGAAAGAACACATCATGATTTGTTTGAATTCGTGTTTAGCAAAGCTTTCCCATCACGAATAACAACTTTAGCTCGAAGCAAACTACTCAAAACCAAAGAAGAACGTATTTAGGAATATGTTACAATGAACATCAATTAACCATGCTTTTTGTCTACGTGTTTATCAGTTGAGAAAGCATCCCAAGCAGTGCATCATCGTCCAAGTTGAAGTCGTTATCAAGGTCGGCCAAGTCTTGGTCCATATCCGTGGAATCGAATTTGCCCTCGATTCCTGTTTCGAGCTTTCTCTTGTCGGCTGCTTTTTGGGCTCGCTCCGCAGCAACACATGGAGAGCAAGCCATCAGCACGAAACCTTGGCACCCTCTGCAGGAACATAATACGGTCTCTCCGAGATCAATGAATGACATGGCCTCTTGTGGAACTCCAATAGGAGCTCTTGGGATTCCATGACACCTCAGCTTGGCAGGCAGCTTTCTTCTGTGGATCATCAAGAGCTTTCGGACAGCAATGAATGTGTCCAAGACCTCTTCAAACATGGCAGCTTCCATGTCTCCTTCTTGTGCCTTGAGGAGTTCAGGTCCCTTCATGGCGTACATGCCATTGAGAAGATGGCAAAGCATGATTGCAGCGTTTGATACCATGTGGTAAGTTGGTCCTCCGTGGTGCAACAAGAGAGGATTTTCAATTGTGGTATTGCAGACACTGAGCAGCGATTGGATCTGTGCATCAGTAAAGCCTCCATTCTCTTCTTCGTCGCCATTGTCTAAAAAGGCATCCAAAGCTGAAATAATCAAGTGGATACCTTGGTTCTTGTGAGACGATGGAGTTGCAGACTCGTATTGCTGCAAAAGAGAAAATGCCGAAAGCACCATATTTCGGCTGCAAAGTTCATTCTCGTGGGCTAGAACGGCAGTCGTCGTTGGAGTAATGATTGTTTCTTGAGGAATGGCTTCCATGTTGGTGGTCTTGGCCTCTTTGGAGATGGCAGCAAAACGCCCATTGGCTTGGTCACAGCAGGTTCGAACAGCACAAGCTAGAGCATCCAAAGATCGAGCAGGAAGAGGAGCTTCGTTGTTGAGGTAAATTGGAGGAGCACCTTGGATCCAGTTCTGATTCTTCGGATCGGATGCAATTTGCCCTGGGTTGGTCTTCACGTTGTATTCGAGTTCGGTAGCAGTTGACCCAATTGCTTGCATTGATCCTTCCACAGGTGGAATTGTTTTGTCAATGTTGGGAAGTCGCTGCTCATCAGCATTGTAGATCATGTAGGCCCAGGCATCCAAGAAAGCAACTGCTGCCAGTAATGTTGCAGCACTAGCATCATTCTGTATAGCCAAAGAGAGCCATGGAATTAGAAAGTGAGACTACAAAAAACTCCAAGCAAAAATATATCATTGAATCATTCAACCATCAACGAAACGTACCTCGAGTTTGGAAATATAAGTCAGACAAACCCGACGATACTTGAAATAGCGAACCATGTCACCTCGGAATGCTCGGAATACTCCCAACAAAAAGTAGGACCTCGCAACTTCAAACATATAAGGTGGTTGAACAGGTTCTTGAACCGACTCTCGAAGACAGTGGACAACAGCGTTACACAATTCCATTCCCAAGGAAACTTCATTGTGGACAACAGCACCCAAGGCGACTTCGGCAAATCTGGCCGCACTGAGTGCCGCTAGGTGGGTTCCAGGAATCATGCGCGGTGTCATGCCTGGGATGTTCAATCGCATGCAGTATTCTTCGTCCGTGGGGGTGGGTGGAAATCCAAAGAGTTCGTCCACACTTAATCTGTAATATGCGCGCAATCGAGAACCATCTGGATCACTTAGTTCCAACAAGTGAGTATGAGCAGCAATGGTGCGTGGAACTCCATTGGCATCGCGGTTATTGCTCCCAGCAGTACTACCACCACCACCTCCATTGTTGTTGCCGCCGTTATTGGCTTGTTTGGGAGGCTCCGTTTTCAAACGCCGAGCAGGGGGTTCCATATCGGCAGCAGCCGAAACAGCCGCCAGTGCAACAGCTCTTCCTTCCAAGTTTTGTTGGGCCTGCAGTTGCTGGATCAAGTTGATCTGTTGTTGAATGGCCGCTTGTTGGGTGTCCAAGAACGATGGTCCCTGATCCAAAGCACCCCCCAACCCTTGATGCCCGCCCATATTGGCTTGCATCATGATTTGTCTAAGCTGCAGTTCTTCCATGGACTGAACGCCACCCATACCTCCAACAGCGCCCATCCCGTTTGATTGAAAATTGTCCATACCGTCAAACCCTCCACCCATGCCTCGTCCAAAGGCTTCACTAGCTTTGCGGGATTGGCCAGATCGTCCAGGCACAGGGCCTCGGCGTTTGGCTGGTGAATAGTGACATTCAAATGCTTCAGGGGGGATGCCTTCAACGCTGCAGGAGAAGAGAAAGACAAGTGATGTGAGTCGTCGAGATTCATTCAATCATTGAAACGTGTGTGGATTTCGCCTCGAATACGATTCAATCCTTCTTTGCCATTTGCTTGCTTCGTACCTTGTAAGCTTGTGCTTCTTCATGTACTTGGCAGCACAATTTGCACATGGGCGAGCACCATCACATTTCGTCTTGCGTGAACGACAACGATCGCAACTGGCGCAGAGGGCAATGTCCTTCTCTTTGTCTCCGTTTCCAGACATTTTCTGCTCTATTTTCTGCTTGAAGAACTTCTGAGATGTCTGACTCTATCTGAGCACTGTGGTTTGCTTCTGGTGATTACGTTAGGGTGATTCCGGACCTTGGAGTTATTCCGATATTGGTATTGAATTAGATTTCGTGAGCTTGGTCCGAAGATGTGACTTGCGGGATAATAGAAGCAATGAGATTGCCCGATGCTGACAAAACTCCATGGCAGCGCTTGATCAAAACTGATCAAGCTTACGTTCCTTGCCGCGTGGACCGCTAGTAGAAAGAAATTAAGACCGCGCAGGCCGAGAAAATGGCGGTCGAATTCGTACCAATTTTTCAAAAAGTGGTGGTGCCAACTGATACTTTTCATGTTCCACAGAGACAACAGTCTGACCTTCGAGCGCATACGTTTACAGGAGTAGGTGTTCCAAGTAAAAGGTATCGGCTACATGGTAATGATGGTACCGTAGTGAATTATAGTGAAGCGAGGTTGTCACTTTGACCTGAAGAGGGTAATTACTTATACACTAGAACAGATACAATCGGGTATTGAGTTTGAAGTTGATAGCTAAATGCTCTCGAAAAAATGCCTGAATGCCTCACGGCGGATACTAGTACCAGTAGGTTGGTGTTGATGCTGCTGGTGCAGCATCACTCTTCCTTCATAAATTTGACTTTCGGATTCTCGTCCCCAATGCAATGTGTACACCTACAGCTATATTACCAGTTACGTTGTATTTGGATGCTGTAAGTTGAGTAGTCCTCATAGAATTGAAAAAAAAACCAAAACTATAAATTTAACTCCTAATCCCAAATTTTGTTGCCTTTTACATGATTATACATTTGTTAATGGCCTCCTTCTCCTCATCTGTCAACTCAGGCCACGTTTCCTGATCTTCGTCCCATTTGTCCAGCTTTCCACACTTGGGGTATTTACTTTCCATATATTCCACCCAGCCTTTGGCATCGTCGGTCCACTTTTTTTCCATTTTCACAAATCGATCCAACCATTGGTCGTCCGTCTTCATAAGACCGATTGCTAGCGTGATATCGCGCCCAGCGTATTCCTTGTAGGCCCCATCTTTCCCATAAGACTTTTCGGAAGAGGTCACATCAAATACGATTCCAAACAAACTCAACATTCTTCGATCGGGATTCTTGCAGTCATACTTGTGGAGCTCTTCTAGTGTTATTGTTCCGACTTGTTCTACTTCGGGAATCTCGGCGTTTCCCTTCATGAGGTTGGCTGGGTTGGGAAGCATGATTGACGATGAAGTTGTTGCTATCGGAACACTTCTGTTTCTTTGTGAAGATCTGCCACATGCCAGAAGACTTTGAGTCATTTGAATCAAAACATCAGAATGACCCACCGGAAAGAGAAGGAATGCATTGAAGAATATCGTCATCAACAACACAAAGAGAATTTCAACATGATATTTGGTATTATACACATACTCCAGATTAAAGGAGCAATTTAGAAGTGGTATCACCATTGCGCATTTCCTTGGTAATTTCCACCACCACCAACTCCTCCACCACCTTGTTGGTAGTTCCCTCGGTGCTGAGCATTTTGCAGCTGTAGAATCGAGTCCAAGTTTCCTAATGAACCCAAGTTTCCCATTGAACCCAAATTGCCCATGCTTCCAAACTTGTACTTGGAGGCATTTGATTGCCGTGCTCTATGTGGTACGGAACTTTCTGGCATACGATTCAGTGCCGAATTGCTCAACTTGTTGTGGCTCCCCTTCCTCGTTAAATTGTGGATTTGCTCCTTGCTTTGCGATCCTGTTCGCCCCTTGCTTCGACCAAGACCATATAGCAGCTTGTCCTTGCTCACAGATGTCTTGGAACCCGCTCGATACATACCTGAACTTCGTCCTCCTGCTCGCAACAAATGGCCGTCCGAGACGTGTTTGGGTAGAATACCTGAATATTTGTAGGCATTGGATGATTTACCGCTGCCAGCAGCACCTGCTCCCCATTGCGCATTGCCACCTCTTCCACCACTCGCGTCTTGACCCTTGCCGCTGTTCTTGCTGATGGCTAGTTGCTTGAGCATGGATTGAGTCTGAAGGGATCGATCCATGGCCCCAGTCAACTTGCCCCGACCCTTGTTAAAAGGGTCCACTGAAACTCCAGACGAAGCAGAAAAGACAGAGGCTGAAGTTCCTTTGATACCGGCTGCCGACAAGGCACTGGCTCCGCCACCGCCACCGCCTCCCTTGGCTCTCAAAAAGCTGGTTAATGGTGATTCTCCAGGTTCCTTGACTGTCATGTTCGACACTGCTGTGGTGAGAGAGGTTTGCCGTTGTCCTTGTTGGGACCCAGACAAAGCTTGTTGTTGTTGCTGCAAGAGGGAAGCCATTGAATTTGGTTGTATATTCATCTTTGGTGACACCTGCTGCTGTTGTTGTTGCTGCTGCATATTCAGTTGCTGTTGCATCATCATGAGCATTTGCTCTTGAGACATTTGTCCCTGTTGCTGTTGCTGTTGTTGTTGTTGTTGCTGGTGTTGCTGCATGCCCATCATGTTATTGTTATTTGGAGCATAATTATTCATTTGATCTTGCTGTTCGTTAATTGCGTTGAGTTTAGCCAGTAGTTTCATCTTTTCCTCTTCCAACCTTCTTATTGTGCTATCATCAACTTGTTGTGGCATGGGCTGTTGTTGCTGCTGCTGCTGCTGCTGTTGGAAATTGTTGTTCTGCCCCATCATCTGTGACATTCCTTGGTTCCTTCCCCGATTCATCTGTGACATCCCCTGATTCATTCCCTGATGCATCCCTTGGTTCATTCCCTGGTTCATCATTGGATTGTGCTCCGGGATATTCAGTTGTGGTTGATGTCCCATAAGGTTGTTCATGTTGTTGTTGTTGCTGCTGTTGTTACTTCTCTGACTGTTGTTGCTCATCATTAACGGATCTGGTTCCAAGTCTCGCGATGATTGCTGCTGATCTTGGAATTCATCATTAATAGAATCGACGGAACCAGCCAATCGTCCCAATGGCATACTCACCAATTGATCAATGGATGTGTTGGATCCCAAATTCAACTGACCATATCCTCCCATGGACGCTTCAGCTTCTGCTCCTTCAGGCAAAGGAGTCATTTGATCCTGAGCCATTAGATTCAGGAGTTCTCTATCAGTCACATTGAATGACTCACTTCCACCATCATTGAGGAGACTATCAATGTCAATCTGATCCATCTCGGAAGTATCATTGAAATTGTTCATCGTGCTTGCTTCGGTTGAAGTTATTTAGAATGAATGACCTTAATGATCTGACGTTAAATTTGCTGATTGATTGGACTGCTAATGGAATCGATTTGGTGTTCTCTCTTCGTTATGATTGACAGAATGGGAGATTAGTACTGTACAGTACCGGTAGGTGTGTCGATCGAAATACGATCGCTGGCTGCGGTTGTGAAGTCGATAGATGCTGTGCCAAGTTCACTACAGAACAGAAGGTGGAACAGCATCTTTCCAGTTGAAAAACGTGTCGACGTCCTACCGATGTCGCATGCCAGCCCAACGAAATGTCAGAGCTACCTGATATCCAGTATGTTTGTTTACAGAGCTTTGAAAATTAGTCGACGGTCTTTTTTTGAGGTACGAGTATTGAGTATGGTACCTACAGTACTGTACGTACCTGGTACAGTATGTCTGTCAGGATTTTTCCTTTTTCCGATCGATCCTCTTACTTGCACCTCTCTTGCACATTTGACTCCCTGACGACACACACGTTGCAAAGCGAAAAAACCAATCAGAAAATCAATCATGTCGGACGATAGCTTAGGAATCAAGACCGAACTAGAGGACATCAACGAGGATGAAGTAAAGTACGATTCAGATGGCCCAGGAAGAGGCGCATCACCTGGACGACCACCGTCATCAGCCGCATCTGTTGGATCTGTCGGTTCTGGCGCCTCTAGTGGCAGTGGGAGTCGAGGACGAAGACGCACTTGGAAGAAACCAAAGGACAAACCCAAACGGCCGCTGAGTGCTTACAATATCTTTTTCAAACATGAACGTTCTCGGATTGTAGAAGGACGAGAAGACAATCCTTCTCCAGCTGAAATTGTTCGTTCCATTGAACAAATTCTTTCAACCTCTCGAGAAACCAGACGGCATCGACGCACTCATGGTAAAATCAGTTTTGGAGATTTAGCCAGAAAGATTGCAGAAAAGTGGAAGGTTGTGGACAAAGAAAGTAAGGCGGTCTTTGAACATTACGCAGAAATAGATACTCGAAGATATCGAAAAGAACTCCAGCTCTGGAAAGACCGCAAAGAACAACAGGCTTTGTCCGGTTCGATGCACGAGAAATTCAATACTTCCATCTCTAGTTTGGATGGGGAAGTCAACGATGATAACGAACTGTCCTTGGACCAATTGGGACCTTCCAATCACTCCTATGGAGGTCACAGTAGTTTTGGTGAAGCTTGGGGGGCTAGGTATTCCATGAACTCTTCCTTTTCCAGTATCGATTCGACCGAAATTAGCCTGGAACCGCTTCCAATCAATGACATGTCAAGAGGACCAATTGGAAGGTCTCAACACAGTACCAATACAGGGTCTCTTTCCGGATCAGGATCCGGTGCAAGTTTCCCAGGTTTGGGAATGGAAGTCGGTGTTCCAGTCGTCCAAGCAGGTGGAGGCAACACCCCGATTGGTGGCAATACTACCGTTCCTACCACTGCGTTCTCTCAACTGAATGTGGGAGGGAACATGTCCAACGGTATGCAGAATATGCAAAATGGTATGCAGAATATGCAAGCCATGCAGAATTTGCAAAATTTGCAAAATATGCAAAACATGCAGAATAGTATGCAAAACATGCAACCCAATGAAATTGCCTTGTTCAATCAACAACAACAATTGCTCAACAATATGCAATTCGGAAATATGCAAAATACAATGGGGCAAATGGGACAATTAGGGCAAATGGGTATGGGACAACAGCAGATGGGCCAATTTGGGCAAACGGGGCAACAACCGATGGGACAAGTAGCGCAGCAAATGGGTCAACAACAGCAACAACAACAACAACAACAACAACAACAACAACAAAATATGAATGCACTGGACTTTCAACAACAACAGCGGTCGCTGCAAGAACAACGGCAACAGCTATTGTTGTTGCAACAGCAACAGCAAATATTGCAACAACAGTTAATTCAACAGCAAAACAGTCTACGGATGCAACAAGCTAGTCTGGGACAACAGCAGCAAGGCAATTTTGGGCAGCAGCAGCAGCAATCAATGGGCATGGGTCAAGCAAATGGTGCTCAGGGACAAAATAATAATATGGGGGGAGGAGGAGGAGGAGGAGGCGACATGACAGATACCTTGAACACTAATCACTTGGATCTCTCGAATGTCCGATGATACATGAAACGGATAATTTGAAACTTTGTTCAGCGTGAGAGTGGGAAATTTGACAGATAGTACAGGACCATTCCTCAACGTGTTGGCATGATTGTACAAACAAAGCATATAATAGATTCGATCCGTTGTGGATTGAAAGAAGAATAACGTTATAATAGAAACCATTCAATATACTAAAGCATACTGCAGTCTATTTCAGTGCTGGACCCAAGCAGCCAATTCAGATCACCAAGCAGTGCTACGAAACAATGCATCCACCTCACAAAAGATGAGCCAATAGAGGAGCTTGTGCCTGTATTTCTTGACTGCAGATACACCACTTAACGGCAACAGCTTTTGACTTGTTTTGCAATGACATGTTCTTGGTGACAAGTCCAAAGCCTTCTTACTAAATTTACCCACATGCTATTCATCTGAGCAACTTTTTTTTTACAGGCTCTTCAAATATCCGTCCAGCTTTCCAGTCGCCGCCAAAAGGAGGCCGTGGAATGGTGGGCTAGGTGCCAGAGGGCGAGACTTGAATTCAGGATGGTATTGGGCTCCAACGTAGTATGGGTGGCCGGGCAATTCGGCAACTTCCATACGTTCCCCAGTCTCGTCCCTTCCGACCAGCTTGAGTCCACCTTCGTGAATCTGGTCAACATATTCGGGGTTGACCTCATATCGATGACGGTGACGTTCGTGAATGACATCTTTGTTTCCATACAATTGCTTCGTGATACTAATAGACCCATCATCAAAGGTTGGATGTGTGAATTTGGTGACACGAGACCCAAGTCGCATGGTTCCTCCCATGGTAGTTTTGTCAATCTCGGGCATGAAAAAGACAACTTGATGCTTGGCGGATTCATCAAACTCAGTCGAGTTGGCACCTTCCAAATTCAACACGTTTCGGCAATACTCGACAACGACGGCCTGAAATCCTAAGCATACTCCCAAGTACGGCTTCTTGTTTTCACGACAATATTGGGCAGCCAAGATTTTCCCCTCAAACCCGCGGTTGCCAAATCCTCCTGGCACAATGATGCCCTGGGCCTTCTTGACCTTGTCCCAAGCTTCGTCGACATTGTTTTCCAGATCTGTTGCCTCCACCCATTGAAGATCAAGCTTGTGTTCACAGGCAATAGCAGCGTGTCTAAGCGACTTGATAATGGAAAGATAAGAATCCTGAAGACCAGTGTACTTTCCAATCAAGCAAATTTGAACAGTGTCTGTCCAGGATGACATGTTGTTGGCCATGGTCTTCCAGTTTCCCAAATCAGGAGATTTGAGATCAAATTTCAACTGCGCCTGAAGCAATTGATGCAAGTTCTGAGTTTCCAATAACAGGGGAACTTGATAAATATTCTTGACATCGTGGACACTTAGAACGTTATTTGCAGGAACATGACAAAAGTCACTGATCTTCTGTTTGGTAGGTTCCGACAACTCTTCAGTAGATCGGCAGAAGATGATGGATGGAGATAGACCCAAAGAACGCAAGTCCTTGACTCCATGTTGTGTGGGTTTCGTCTTTTGCTCTTCCGATATCACAGGCACCAAACTGACAAACGAAAGAAGGAAATTTTCAGTCCCAACACGGAACTGAAATTGTCGAAGTGCTTCCAAGAATACACTAGATTCAATGTCTCCAACGGTTCCTCCAACTTCTACCAGGCAGACGTCAGCTTCCTTTCCATCCTCAGACGTAGGAATCTTTGCCACCCGTTCTATCCAGTCCTGAATCTCATTGGTGATATGAGGAACAACTTGAACTGTTTTCCCAAGGTAATCGCCTCTGCGTTCCTTGAGGATGACATGTCGGTAGATCTTTCCGGTCGTAATATTATGGTCTTGACTCAGATGAATATTCAAGAACCGCTCATAGTTTCCGAGATCGAGATCTGTTTCACCTCCATCGTCCAGAACAAAGACCTCACCGTGCTCAAAGGGTGACATGGTTCCTGCATCCACATTCAAGTAGGGATCGATCTTGATTGCAGTCACACGAAGTCCACATGCCTGCAACAGACGTCCCATACTACTGATTGTGACACCTTTTCCAAGGCCACTAACGACTCCACCAGTGACAACGATATATTTCATGATGTCCGAAGTTTGGTTGTTTCGAATTTTGTGCTCTGTTCATTCACATCCGGAGATGAAAACGATGGCCAGGACATGGCGGGAAAAATGACAGACTTGTTTGATTCGTTCGACTTCTGTATTTTTGCGCGTTCTCAGTGACTCATCCGATCTGTGGCTTGGCCAAAATTGGCTTTTGCGATTGACGGGGGGGCAAGCGGTCGCATCCTCAAAACTTTTAGTAATTAGGGACAATGTTTTACTTTTTCGTCGATCCCATAAGTAGCCGGACATGAAAAAAGATTTCACATGGGCATTTGATTTCCGACAGATACCCAAATGGCCATCTATTTTCTTTCCGTTGTCGACATTTTTGGTCGCGATGGGAAAAACTGTCGTGACTGGCCTGATCCATCTAGACATCGGGTTACATTTTTCGTGAAGAGAAATCTCGCTAGGTTTCTCGCCAGAATCCTGGTCTTATCACCTCGGTTTGACACAATACCAAATATCAAGGAAAAGGCAGAATATAAACAATGCAATTCCTTCTTAGATCTACTTCACAATGCTTCAGGACGATACTAGTCCTCGCACTATCACTTGGATGCGTGGTACAACAAAGTGGCGGACAACAAGTTGGAATTGATATCTGTTCATGCGCCCCGAGCACGTATGAATTCCAGTTCGATTTTTCGTTATTTTGTCCTCCAATCAATATCACACAAGGCGATGCTGTCGTCGACACCTCGTGTCTAGTAAGTCCCTTCCAGGACCAGTCAGTAGGAGACTTGGTTCCAATTGCTGTTCAAGAAATTACCGTGTTGGAACTTGATCAAAACCTTGACAACCTGTACCAAGAAATCATCCGAGGAAGCTTCAAAGATGGAGACACGTGGAGCTATACCTCAGTGGCCGCACAACCAGGCAGGACCGATCCAAATTCGTTGCCTCGAGGTATCCAATTCAACATTGTGGGAATCAATATTCTCGAACAACCTATCATCAACACAGTCATCATCACTTTCAGTAACAGTTGTCAAGCCTATCCCGTCCTGATCCCTGGTCAATATGCCGGGTGGGTTCGATTCGTAAGTACAAACTTGCCCTTTATCGTCTAAATGAACGAAGCACGACATCTCATCAACATTTTTCATTTCAATTTTACAGCTGGAATTGGAAGACCCGCTTGCCGATTACTGTCCTTTCACTCCAGACGAACCCTCTGCTGCCCCTAGTCCATTCACGCCGGGTCCGACCTTCCCACCTACTCCCCCGTTCATGTCCATGTCTATGGATCTTGGTATGCTTGATCTACTGGAGGACGAATTCGGACTTCAACGATCCGATTGTACTGAAAGTAGTAGTTCTAGATATACCAAAAAGTCAAGAGCTGGCAAGGGAGGAAAGGGAGGAAGTAGTCCTAAGGGAAGCAAGAAGATGGGGAAAGGAGGTGCCGGAAAGGGAGGAAGCAGTGGTGACTTGAGCAGCATGATGACCGATTCTTCCTTGAAGTCAGACAGCTCGTCCAAGGGCAAGGGTGGAAAAGGTGGAAAAGGATCTGAATCCGGATCTCGCCGGTTGCTACGATCAAAGGGCTCCAAAAGAATCGGAGATTGCGATGGAAAGGGAGGTAAAGGAGGAAAAGCAACCAAGAAGGATGGTAGTTCAGGAAAGGGCGAAAGCAGTTCAGGAAAGGGCGAAAGCACTTCAGGAAAAGGTGGAAGCACTTCAGGAAAAGGTGGAAGCACTTCAGGAAAAAGCGGAAGCAGTTCAGGAAAATCAGGAAAGAAGGATTCAAAAGGAAGCAAGAAAGAAAGTAAGAAGAACGGTAAAGGTGGAAAGGGCGGAAAGGGCTCGAAGAGTGGAAAGAGTTACAGTGGAAGCGGTTCCTCGAAAGGTAAAGACAAACTATCGAAGAAAGAATCGAGCGAGAGCAGAAGGTTTATCTTATAACCGAGTACTCCGCTAGCGCGCATTGCACAAACGATGTAAAACACCTTCCAAACGATCTTCATATGCCGTGCAGCGTTCGCACCGCAATTATGTCCCTGTAACAAGTTGTAACTATTATCAATATTAATTTTATTCGATTTCAATCATCATCCTTTTCAACCTTCGACTACTCCTCCATCAATCATCCACAGAAAGCTTCTATCCCCCTGATCCCTTCGATTCAAATCCAAAAATTTGGAGTCGACACGGCACACACATGCTAACGTTTTAGTCTAATTACTGAAAAAACCATAACTACAAATTTAACGTTCGAACAATTTTCCCTGATCGGGTGTAATTTTTCGTGTTAATAACTTTACCGGCTTTGCTAATAATTAGAGGAAAAATCCACGTTGAGATAAAAATATCATAACTCGCCGGTCCGTTTGCATAGTATTTTAGTCTCCACACATTTTTCAAGCACTGTTAGTTACAGGACTCGAGTCGAACGGTTTGAAATTTGTCCATCTCAGGTCTAATTGCAAAGATATTTTTGGCTAGACGGTACAGTACAACAAATAAAGCACCGTTGCAAACACAAAACACAAAGCAACAATGATTTCGCGCTTCACCCTTTTGTTGCTTCTGAGCTTGGCGATCGAGGCATCCACACAGACTGTCGGGCAAGATGTATGTGTATGTTCACCGGGAGCATATGAAATCACACTAGACTTTAGCCTTGTCTGCCCACCCACAAATATTACCGAGTCCGATCCCGGAATCAGGAAAATCTCTTGTTTGATCTCGCAATTTGGATCACCAGGTGCCACAGATCTTGTACCTGCCAGTGTTGATAGAATTGATGTATTAGAAATTCGTGAGGATACCACGCTGATTTTGAGAAATGAAATCAGTGGGCCTCTTAGTGATGGAGATACTATTACATACACAACAAATCCCATTGGGAGCACAGCAGATATTCCAATTGGAATCCAATTCAATACACACGCTTTCAACGCGGCGGGCGAACCACTCCTCAATATTTTGAGTATCCAATACACCAATGAGTGTGATGTGTATCCAGTCATCGGGCAAGGTCAAACAGCTGGGTGGCTTCAATTCGTAAGTGCGGTACAGCTGCTTTGAATCCATTTAGTTGGCTGGAGCAACACGCCTCACCATGATTTTTCTGTTATTAGACTCGTTTGGATCCTCCACAAAGCGGCTTTTGTCCTGCATCAGAATCGGAAGCACCGACTGTCAGTTCGAGCTCCAGTCCCTCTGCAACACCAACAATCACTGGAAGCAGTCCACCTACCATTCTGACTGTTACAGCGAGTCCTACCGTTGCACCAGATGATACTTCCGTCCCAACGGCTTCACTTGTTTCGGAAGCACCGTCAGTGTCTACAACTGAAATCCCATCAGAAAGCCCATCTGCAATCCCATCTGCAATCCCATCTGCAATCCCATCTGAGATGCCAATCACATCCACTGAAGCTCCCGTGCCTTCTCCAACAGAAGCACCAGTTTCGTCGCCGACGGAAGTACCAGTTCCATCTCCAACAGTAGCACCAGTAAATCCACCAGTTGCTGATCCTACTCCATCGCCCATTCCCTCGCCAACAGTCATGCCAATACAGGGTGGTATGTCCATGTCTATGTCCATGGCGATGATGGACATGATGGAAGTGTTGGATGTGGAAGTGATGATGGACATGGAAGCAGCTCTTGATTCCGCAGTAGAGCAATATGAGGAGTTTGGCCGAATGGGAGGTAGTGCCAAATCATCAAAGAGCAGTAAGAAGACTGTCGAAACCCGAAAAGCTGCCGCCCCGACTCCAAAATCCACGAGCGAGAGCTATCGCGGTGCCAAGAAGTCGTCAAAGAGAAGATAGCTTTTCTTACCATATCCGTCACAAGTGTTATAGTATTGGACTAGATGTGAACATTACTTGGCCGTCAATAGAGAACTATACTAGAACTATGCGTTCTCCTAACCACAATAAAAAATGTCATTCCGCATATCTTCTGAGAATAAGATGATTGGCTGGAGTCACAATCAATCCTGGGCAAATTTCATGCTAGAGCCTGAAAGGAGCAGACATTTATCATCATGAGGATATGTGGGCCTATGTTATTGGGTGCTACGTTTTCCACTGATTTCTAGTATCCAAACTTTGGGGTTCTTGTTGGCACTGTTAGGCTTGCTTCTACCAACGTGGTCAAACAAACTTCTCATGTGGTCCTCAAATTCTTCGATACTGCCAGCCAATCGGTCCTCACAGGCCAAGTAAATTTTGGTTCGCTCATGGGACAAGTCGTGTATAGTTTTGGCCAATCCATTGCTATCATAAATAGAAGCGATAACATCGGCACCAAGAATAACATCGTATTCTTGTCCCGAAACATTTCGTCCCCATTCCAAAACTCCAGCGGTCGCATTCTTAGTCGTACTGGAATTCTTCTCCATCAAAGGCAGCAATTGTGGAAGATCTGTCAAATGAACTTGTGCTTGAGGGACCTGCCGTGCTACAATGAGACTGGTGATGCCAGTTCCAGCACCGAGCTCGATGACATTGGGGCTTCCAGCTTGCCAATCTGTGACTCTGGAAACATGTTCCGCAAGAATATAAGCGGCATCCCAAACGAAGCCGCCTTTTCCAACAGTTCGATCCTGTGCTATGACAAGAGGGCTGTCGCCCACAATTCCAAAATCAATTTGTCGGTAATTCACATGTTTGTAGCCGTCATAAACAGCTTGAACAGACAGGTAGAACTGATAGCAAAGAGTATCAGAATCGGCAGTGTCGTCATTGGAAGATGCCGGTACTTCACGTTGGGCTTCGTCTTCCTCAGCCATTTGCCGGCGGAGCTTTCTCAGAAAGGCTCCCCGGTCCATCATGTCATCGTAGGCATCATGGTCATGATCGCTACGTTCAATCTGCATCATGCTGGTTGTCATATTTTGTTTCTTCTCTTGCTGTGGATTTGTGATAGTCCACCAATGCTAGAGTGAACAAACAAATCTGTATTCTCTTTTAAGGTGTCTGATCAACCGGAGGTGAACAAAACAATTCGTGTGGATGTTTTGATAGTCCTACAGTACCGGTAACGGTAGTCGTAGTGCGATGCAAGATTGAAACAAACGAGTATTGTATTTTGAGGTTTTGAAAATGTCTGGTCAAGGAATGGTTCTGCAATCTCACGTGATCACGTTGTCGTACAGAAGTTTCGAAGTTTGTGTGCGGTGTCCCTTACAAAATGTGAGCACAGATGCATGAAGTGTCTGCTCAAAACAGTCCCGCGGGATTCGAGAAAGATAATTTAGGAATGAATGAACAACTTCGTTTGCAAAGTATTTCAGCTCCTGTTGTTGACATATATCTATGTATTCCATCGACATGCATTTTCATTTTCTGTATGAAGACTGTGTGTAGCGTAGCGAAATTTTAAAACATTTATTCCTGATGTAACACTGTCATTGAGTGACGCGTTTTCCACTGATTTCGAATATCCAAACCTTGGGATTATTGTTGGAACTGTTAGGCTTGCTTCTACCAACGTGTTCAAACATGTTTTTCATCTGACCCTCAAAGTCTTCAATACTGCCTGATAATCGGTCTTTACAGGCCAAGTAAATTTTGGTTCGCTCATGCGACAAGTCATATATCGTTTTGGCCAATCCATAGCTGTCGTAAATAGAAGCCACGACATCGGCACCAAGAATGACATCGTATTCTTGTCCCGAAACATTTCGTCCCCATTCCAAAACTCCAGCAGTCACATTCTTGGAAGTGCTGGAATTCTTCTCCATCAAAGGCAACAATTGTGGAAGATCTGTCAAATGAACTTGTGCCTGAGGGACTTGTCGTCCTACAAATAGTCCAGTGACTCCGGTTCCAGCGCCCAATTCAACGACACTGGGGCTTCCTGTTTGCCACTCTGTGACCCTGGCAACATGTTCCGCAAGAATGTATCCCGAATCCCAAACGAATCCACCCTTTCCCACCGTCCGGTCTTGGGCAATCACCAATGGACTGTCGCCTACAATTCCAAAATCAATTTGTCGGTAGTTCACATGTTTGTAGTCATCATAGACTGCTTGAACGGACAGGTAGGAGTGATAACAAAGAGTATCGTGATCAACGGTAATCTCAACATCCTTCGAAGATGATAGTACGGGTAGTACGACGACATCACGATGGGCTTCGTCTTCCTCGGCCATTTGGCGGAGTTTTCTCAGAAAGGCTCCACGGTTCATCATGGCCTCGTAGGCATCATATTCATCATTGTATTCAGTCTCTATCATGCTGGTTGCTTCCATCCTTTCTTGCTTCTTCTTCTTCTTTTGTGTGTGTGTGTGTGGATGTGGATGTGGATGTGGATGTGGATGTGGATGTATTGTATAGTAATTGTGATTGAATAATCCAACAATGCAAAGAGAAAGAGTGAATCAAAACGGGAACGTCTTCAACTTTCGAAAAATGTCCGATCGACCACAGTTTGAAGTTCCTTCGCCTCGTGCAATTTTCGTGGTCCTTCAGCCGGCGCGTTGCAAGTGCCGCCACGTGGGACAACCTTGTGTGACGTGTACAAAGCTCGAATGAATCGAAGACCAACCATTGGAAGTGCAAGGAAAAAGAAAATGTCTCCGATAAGTACGCGTGCGACCAAGACATCCCCGTGACGTTGTCGGAAACCGTGCGAAGGGCAGTAGACGTAAGTTCGGCCCTGGCGTTCAGTAGTCATTTCTACAGCCTGCCGGGCGCTGGGAGTTTTGTTTTGTGCAGCCCTCGTCGTCCGCAACAACCAGCAATATAAAGCTTTGTAGGATAGTCATACATGGTCATTGAACCTTGCAACCAGAGATGAGTGACGGAGAATCCTACAGTAGTCAACCTCCGGCATTAGAGGATGCAGATCTTGACGATGTTTCTTCGAACGCATCTTTTGTCAGTGATGACTCCGACAGTGTTTCCATTGATACAGACGCTAGCGATGACTCGGAATATAGCTCGGACCACAGCGACCACCGCAATAACAACGGAGCTTTAGGAACGCCCTTTGTTGTCCCTTTAAAAGATGACAGCGACTCAGAGGAATCCGACTCGGCGCCTCCAACTGCCCATAACGGCAGCCGTGTCCGAAGGCAATCTTCCAGCGCTGGAAGACTTAGTACTATGAGGGCCGCTGGGGCCGCTGCACAAGCCACTGGCGAGGAAGGGCCCCGTCGGAGGGCACCTCCGAGGACTAAATCAGGAGACGGACTTGCTGGAAGTGCCGGTGGCCCTCGTCGCCGTGCTCCAGCCCGTACCAAATCGAGCGAATTGACTTCTGCTCTTGTGGAGCCAAAAGAGGTGGAAGAGGAAGAGCCTGGCGGTGGTGATAGAAAAGAGGAGGTATTAAAAAGAAATATGGCAAGGCGCCAAAAATCTAGTGAAATGTTAACGGCCATGCAGGATGCGACTCGCAAGGCACCCAACCGATCCAAGTCCAGCGGTGCGGCACTGCAAAGACGGCCACCTCCACGCACAAAATCTGGAGATATGGGCAGTGCCGCAATTGCTGGTGCAGGTGACGACAACCGCCCTCGCAGACGAGCGCCCAACAGAACGAAGTCAGGAGATGGCCTTGGACCGCGCCGAAGACCGCCCCCAAGAACAAAGTCCGGGGATGTATCGTAGTGAACTGAACTATACAATATCTTGAAAAAATTTAAAAAGAGAAGTCATTGTCTATTACGCTACGACTCTATGCATGGAGGCACTAAATTGAAATATTTGAAATATTTTTAATTAACAAACTGTTAAACTTCGCCGACAGTGTATGTACAATACTGTATTTGCTGATTTGCATGGGTGTAGGTCTTTTAATCGACCGATTTTTATTCTACATCTTTGTGAAAGCTTCTTGCTCCACTTCGTTCTGTTGGGGCAGAATGATCGATTCATTCAAGTGCAACAACACAAGACATGCTATCAATCTTGTCCAATAGCCATTAGCTTGAGAACTGTGGTAATGATGTCATCAAGAATAATCATAAAGTGATCAAGCTACTATTCTTTAGTGGTGAGGACTCCTCAACGAACTTGCTGATAGATGTTTCAATTATCAATCTGATCATCGGGGTACATACTTGTACGTTCTTCGTCCGTCATCGGATGGTTGGACAAAGAAGATCCGATAATAATGCCGGACTTTCAACTTTGAACGACGCGAGGAATTCCTACGCTACCACGTGCCCGCACTTGAAGAAGCGCTTCCCGATCACTGGTTGGCTGACGCGGAAGAAGAAAATCCGAAATACGTTTATCGTCGTTTATTCATTCAATGGTTGCAACAACCACAATATCCATCAATCCATCTAGAGTAGCCCTGCTTACCACAGGTACTTGAAATACTACTACAACGACCATGATTCGATCAATACGTGGTGGGCTGCCATCATTCCTGGCCAAAACAAAAACACAGTCCTCAAGAAGATTGGCGGCGACCGAATCCACATTGAGAAAATGGAGGGCTTCGCATCGATCTTTCGCTTCTTCGACCGCCGAGGAACGAAAAAATGATCGACTCTTGGTGGTAGGATCGGGTGTTGCTGGAAGCGCTGCGGCACTGATTGCTGCTGAAACCTATCAGATACCAGTCACTGTCCTCTTTGCTGGAAGTATTCCACAAGACTGCAACTCCAACTGGGCACAAGGAGGTATCATCTACCGAAATTACGACCCTGCATCGGGAGATTCTGCGGATTCTTTGGCGAAGGACATTCACCGAGCGGGCGCTGGATTGTGCGATGAAGGTGCAGTGAGAAAAGTATCCGAAGAAGGACCCTCCAGAGTTAGAGAACTACTATTGACTGGAGGCCCTTTTGCCAACGTTCCATTTGACAAGGCAGCCGATGGAGAATTGGCGTTATGTTTAGGTACGATCTCGACCTGGTTGGACATGATCATCTGTTTCTGTCTTTGTATCTGGCTGTCAGAATAAACATTCTCAACCTAATCCATTTCCATTTTGTGAAACTGCAGAGGCATCCCATGGGGCGCCAAGGATTTTGCACTATGCCGATCACACGGGTATGATAATTACCAGACACATTACAAAGGCAGCAGCCAATCACCCATTGATTACCATGCAATCAGATACCTTGGCAGTGGATATTATTCAAGAAGATGGCGTGTGCATAGGAATCCAAACATTCAATCGTGCCACTGGTGAGACCGAGGTGGAACTAGCATCGAGAGGAACTGTTCTGGCAAGTGGTGGTTTGGCAGGAATCTACGAACATTCCACAAACCCTGCCGGATTCAATGCTTTGGGATCAAGTGTGGGCCTGGCAACCCGGGCTGGAGTTGAAACCAAGGATTTGGAATACGTTCAATTCCATCCAACATCCTTGTTCATTCCGAATGAGTCCCGTTTCCTGTTGAGCGAGGCGCTGCGAGGAGAAGGTGCGATTTTGAGGAATGCTTCTGGTCGTGCCTTTGGCAAAGACTTTCATCCAGACGGAGAACTAGCACCTAGAGATATTGTGGCAAGAGGAGTGTTTGAAGAAAGCCAAAACGGGGATGGAACGAATCACAATGCCTTTTTGGATATTTCACATCGAGATGCTGATTGGCTGCATGCTCGTTTCCCTACCATCCAAGCATATGTTTCAGAAAGAGGTTTAGATCTTGCCAAGGATCATCTTCCTATTATTCCCGCAGCCCACTACACCTGTGGAGGAATCGCGACCGACGAACATGGCAGAACAAGTCTGAAGGGTCTATACGCTGCTGGTGAAGCTGCCAGAACAGGTTTGCATGGAGGAAACAGACTAGCGTCCACATCACTGTTGGAGGCGCTTGTATACGGGGCATCAGTGGCTGACTTTGTGGGCAGTGACATGGGAAGAGAATTGCATTCAAAGTCAACGGAACGTCTTTCCAATCGTGCCAACGCTGGCTTCGATCTTAATGTCGGCGCAACAGCAGAGAACCTAGAAACGACAGCCATGCGAGCCACCCAGTTGTTAAGCCAAGTACGACGCGTCATGTGGGACAATGTGGGCCTCGTGCGTACCACATCAGGACTCGCTGGTGCCATTGATAGCTTGAATGAACTTCAACAGGAAGCTGTTGAATTGCACGAGAAAACACCTTTGATGGAAACTATTGGTCTTCGAGATGCAGCCTGTTCTGGCCAAGCAGTTGCTCAGGCTGCCATTGGCAACAAGGTTTCCGCTGGAGGTCACTATTTGAGTGATGCCGAGGAATTCAGTGATGACGACGACGAGGCAGCTGTTGCCGCACGATAGCAAAACGTGCAGTAAATAGAACCAATAGCTGTAAATGTAAATTTAAAGGTCATCCCACACTTTTTAAAAACTTAACCCCAGTTAATAGCTACCAACAGATGGCAGTAGAATCACCATGATGCTTGTAGCACTTCAGCCGTCCAACCGTCTCGATTTCGTTTTCTTGGCTGATTTGGAATAGACGCCACCCTTTCCTTTCTTGCTGCTTTTTGAGCTGCTTGGGTATGGATATGCGTAGTAATAAGGCGGTGGCGGTAGATGTTGGGGAGCTGGTGTAGGATGTGGCGTGGGCTCGGTATTGATCAATATTGAGAGCGGAAGGCACTCATCGAATTGGTTGTCCGAAAAGGTCTGAAAGATACCTGAAGTGACAGTCACATTACCACAGAAATCAAAGACAGCTCCTGCTTCGATGTTGGAACAATCAATCATTTCTTCTATTCGACCATCTGAACAACTCTGAAACTCGCAAGAGTTGCACTTGTGGTTGTTGGCGTACACATTACATGTTTCACATGATACTATTCTTCCATTGTCGTCTTCCATACACCCAACGTTCTCCACGGCAACCATGTCATTCAGTCCCTTTTCATACTTGAAAACACCACCAATGGCGGTCCGCGTCCCCATTTCGTTATCGTAGAATGCTTGTGCCGAGTTGATTCCACATACAGTCTCCGTCGGATTGCAATACGCACACGCATCAACGCAAATCAACGTAATACCTCCATCTACTGCTTCGCATCTACACTGCAAACCGGTGGCATTTAAATTCTCTTCGTTTATCAACTTGTCTTCTTCACAGGCCTGCCTTGCTGCTGCAGCCTGCAGTTTTCGAATATTTGATTTTTTGACACTACTCATCATTTCACTTTGGTGATGGTGTTCCAATTCTATGACTTCCATAGGTGATGCGCAAACACTGAAGATGGGTGCCGCTACTAAGCATAGTAATAGGTGTTGGGCCTTCATTGTCGCTTGCTTTGGGTGGTCGTTGATGTAGTTTTGGCTACGTTTGGCTCTCAAACAAGTATCGCACTCAAATTTTTTGTCCATCCGTTGAGTTTGTGAGAGCACCTCCTTGTCGGACCACCGTCCGTCATGTGTCATGTCACAGCTTTTTCTCGTGCCGACAGCCAGAAAAATGCGACAGTACTGTAATTGTCACTTTCCTATGGTTCAGCATACTGTACATTGTTGTGCGACTGAGATTAAGTTGACAAACAGCTAGACTTTTCTAGTGTAGACAGTAATGACGCATTTGTGCTGGTATCGTGTTGCTTTGGTAACTTCTTTGAGCCACCATGATCATGAGCCAGAAGGAGGACGACCAAGAATGCTCCTGCCTGGTTGGAGAACGCTTTGAGCATGGATGAGAGTCAGCAACTGAATCGCCAAGTTAATTGCCAAACACTCCAATTTCTATAACATCCTCTGCCCTTTTTTCAATCTATTGTTTGATGCGTCGTCTAAAAGTGCAATACATTCTTCGGGGTTCCCATTACGACTGGGATTTGTTTACTCGGACGAATCGATGCAGTCTTTTTGTTTTTCGCTCGAGCCGGCGCAAAAGACTATCAGAGTCTCAATGTAGATCAAAAACTCGGAATCCCCCAATCTCAGCAGTCACAACAGCAACCATGGCCGACATCTTTATGATAATCGTGGCCATTGTTGCCTTTGTCATCCTCGCGGTGGTGGCAATTTATCTCATGATCAACTACCAACACCCAGATGACAAAAATGAAGCTTATTTTCCTAAGTTTATAGTAATAGTGGGGATCATGTTGGCAGGATTCACTGCCTTTTTGCTTCCGATGGATGTCGCAAATAACGATGGCTATGCTGGTACGTAGCCAAAGTACTGATTTCTACGTGCATTTGAATTCCTATTTTTTTTTCCCTGACCTCTATTGGACTCTTTTGCGGTACTCAGGATGCACTGGTTATGACACGGATTTGTGCGGAGGTCTCGATATGGAACTGGTGTGGAGTATTTTCTTCTGGTTGATCCCAATTTGGTGTTTCGTCCTCATTCCATTTGCCACATTTTTCTACGAAGCCGACGATGGTTTGCTTTTGAATCCAGGAGGCGAAAAGCAATCTAGAGTAAAGTCAGCTGTTGTATGGACCCTTGGAACTATCATTATTGTTGGCATTATTTTTGTGACCACATATTTCTTGTTCAGTGAGGCTCAAATTCCTATTAAGGCATATACTGCAAAGACCGTTGCTCAGGGTTTGACGGAACAAGAACGAGGAAGGATTGACTTCCAATCCACGGTACCAGCTGGTGTGAACTTTACTACTTCATTCCTTGCGGATTTTGATGAAGGAGACCGCCTATATGCTTCAGGGCAAGTCGATCTTGGCGAGCAAACGATTCCTTTGAAAGTCAGTGCAACCACATTCTTTGCCGGCCTCATGGCCTGGTTGGGTTGGTTCTTGTTTGCTATCTTTGGAGGTATCGGAATGTCTGCACTACCAATGGATTTGCTCCTAAGCTTCAGAAATAGACCTAGAAAAATGGATGCTGCTGAATATGCGGAAGCGCAGACATCGCTGAGAACAAGAGTTAATGAACTTGTTGGTATTGGAGAAATGATCAAGGTCGAACGTGATGGACAGGCTCCAACCAATACATCGAAAAATCCATTCAACAAAGAAAAGAGAAAGGAAAGACAGGCACTTAACGAGTTCAAATCGGCAGTCTTCCTCCTGGAACAAGATGTCCAAGACTTTCAAGCCTGTACTTCGGAGTATGAAAAAACCAATCCTCTTGTCCCATGGATCTCCCTGATTTTTGGCTTCTTTTCATGCATCATCTCGCTGTTTTGGCTTATCCACATTTGTGTTTACGTTCTACCCGCAAAACCGATCGCATTGTTCCTGAACACCTACTTCGCCTGGTTTGATGGATGGTTCCCTCTCTTTGGCGTGTTGAGTGTTGCCATTTTCACTCTATACATGCTTTTTGCGGCCATTAAAGGGTGTTTCAAGTTTGGAATGAGATGTGCTTGCATCCAACTTTACCCTATGATCGTTGGAAAGACATACATGTCTGCATTCCTATTCAACGTTGGGTTGGTGTTGCTATGTTCTCTGCCTGTGGTTCAATTCTGTGCCACCTCTTTCTCCTCGTATGCAAGGAACTCAACAATCTTTAGAATCTTTGGGGTACAAATTGAAAACTTGGGGTTCTTTGGCGTCTTCTGGAAGAACAATATCTTCACATACATCTTCTTGGTATGGAGCCTTTTGTGTATGATATATTTATGGTGCAAACCAAAGGATGGACCACCATCCTCTGACGCCTTGAGAGACCGACTCAAGTCTCGAACAGCGTAATTTAGAAAATTGTTATTTTTATATATTTTGAACTTTTATATTGACCTTTTCCTTTATATTTTGATTAGAATTTTTGAGTTTTGACATTTCGGAATTCAAGCGTGCCGGACTGTTTTCCGTTGACTATTCGCCAAACGCCAACAAACTGAGTATCTTCTGACTTGGGCAACTAGTTATCGTCAACTACTGTACTCCTTATTGGATCATGCAGTCGCCGAGGGAAAAGGAGCTCCAACAGTTACGTGCAAAAGGATTAACCAGAAAAAGATCGTCATGTTTTGACGGTAAGAAAATGGAAAGAGAATCGGACCAAACGATTGACCAAAGATGAATTTCTCACTCTTTTCTGATGTTTCCATTTTGCTTCTATCTTCAGGATCAGGTCATGGTGAGCGATCGACACTAGTTTCCGAGCAGCAGGACGAATCCTTCTCTCAAAACATCTCACAACAGCAACAAAATCGAACGAAACAACAAAATCGAACCAATGATTTCAAAGAGTCGATAAGTTGCAGAAATGATGATTATGATGGTGTAGGGTTGGGATTCCTGCTTTCACTGTCGAGTGCGTCGAGGAGTGATGGCCCAGAACTCCCTTCCAATGAAATCGCCCAAAAAGGATCAATCACTTCTGCTTCTTCGTCAATAACTGACTCATCCATAGCATGGCATGAAGTACATGTTCAGAATAAGGAGATGAAAGTATTCCAACAACAGTTTCGTGATGTCATGTTTGGTTCAATTGGAGCATCGGACGTAGAAGAAGAATCTGGGTTTAGAGAGCAATGTCCTCCCACACAGGGGTCTTTGAGTGAGCGGAGCGCAAAGTTATTAGTTATTGCTCCTATGCAAAAGGAACCTTCGCCAAAATCTGTCCGTGTCAGAAACTGTAATTCACCCCATTCGGAGGCACCTTCCGACGAAATGACGACGAAGTCTCTTGATCCACCGGATGTAGAAATGATGGCATCGCTAGCTGGACCATCTCTGGGAGAGCAATCCGAGCGCGACAGTAACTGTGGATCAATAACAGATTCCCTATCTTCCTTTGAGTACGCGTCCCATGAGAATAACCATTTCTATCGAATACTTGAAAAGGTGAAAAGATGGCGTCGTCGAAAAATGAAATCGAATTACCAAGACATGACTCCTCTGCGTATCAGTACAGAGAGAGCCTCTCCGGACACGGAACAGAATCGCTATACAGAGGCTCAGGAACCATGTTCAAACGATACGAAACCTTCGACCAAGAAGATGAAAAGAAACGAGAAGATACCGTCGCCGAAAATGGACCCGCCAGAATTTTTCGTTCCAGAGAAGAAATGCAGTATCTACTACGAGAAAGCGAGCATACATTGCTCCCAGTGTGGCTACCAATTCCTTGTCAGTATCACCACGTTTCTTCTGCTTGTCGGTGCCATCACTTGTGTCGTAGTGCTCTCGAAATCAGATGTGGAGACTAGCCCCACATCTCCGTTTCAATCAAAGCGTCAAGTCCTGCGAAAAATGGTGGAATTGATTTCTGGTATTGAATCGTTGAATAATTCAACCAATCCACAGTACAAAGCATTTGAATGGATGTCAACAATGGATCCTACAGTGCTCGATTCTTCACCCTTGGCAGTTGCCAAAACGGCTGAGCGATACATCATCTCGTTACTATATTTTGCAATGAATGGTGGGGCGTGGACCGAGCAGTATGGCTTCCTTTCTCCTGGACCAGTCTGTCGATGGAATGATGGTGGATCCGAGAAAATCTATCGCCATGGTGTCGTTTGTGATTCTAATGGAAATGTACTTCGAATTCAACTTTGTACGTATCATACAGGCTCCAAATTATGCCTTTGGTCCCAATAATCCTTGATGAACTCATTGAGGGACTCGTCTTCTTACTTTTGTTGCTATCTGCAGCTGAGAATAATCTAGTTGGAAGCTTGCCATGGGAACTTGACCGTCTTGAATATCTCCAATTTTTGCACTTGCGTAAGTTGCCAAGCGAAAACGCTGTCAAAGCTTTGTCACTGCTAATGCAAACACTTCCATTATATTCGCAGCAAGAAACAACATCACTTCAACTATTCCCAATCATCTTGATTTTCAAAATCTGCAACACTTTGATCTAAGTAAGTTTCGAGCATTTCATCGTGTGAATTGAATTGACAGTTGACGATTCTCCTTCTAACTTTCGCGACAGAATCGAATGAAATAAGTGGCACTCTGCCAACCGAGATTGGATTGCCAGAGAACCTCAGGTATCTCAACTTCGGTGAGTAATTGTTTGCATATGCTCGTGGCGAGTCAGTAAAAAAATACTGGAGACAGGTCGGTGCTAATGATTCGTCGTTCCTTGCTCAGGATCTAACAAAATTGGTGGTCCAATTCCCACTGAAATTGGAAGATTAACCCGTCTCGAGTTCCTAAGTCTAGGTGCGTATAGCATGGGTATTCATCAACGAGTTAGCTACTGTCCGTTGCTCACGAGTATTTGTTTTTCGTTTCTAAAGGATCTAACTCACTTATGGGGCAAATTCCAAGTGAGCTGGGGTACTTGGGATTATCCAAGACGTTTGATCTTTGTAAGCTATCGCGTCTTCGATGATACATTCTATATCCTCCTCGCCCTAATCTTTGCAAATTTGTGTTCGCGAAGCTTTCAATCTACTCAAAGGGAACGTCCCCTCGACAATGGGCAGATTAGAAGCCCTGCAGGTGCTACGATTGCAGGGCAATGCACTCACAGGCAACTTGGATGCTGCTTTCTGTTCTCAAAGTTTTGTTTCTTTCACTTCAGACTGCCTTGTCAGTGAATCATCAAGTATCACCTGTTCATGCTGCGACACATGTTGTGATGAGGAGGTCTGTTGTGGGACAATGGGATGCCGCAGTGTCAGATAACCTAGAATGAGTTGAATCTTCGCACGTCGGTAAAATTTTAGATTAGTTCTAGCTTGTCGCCAACCTTTGGAATAATGACGCGATTGACAAGGCTCAAATAAGAGTTTGTAGCTTTCTTGGCCGCACTAAATGCCGACAGGGCTTCTTGCTTTGACTTTGCATTCTTGATATCATCAATATCCAGGGCGATTTCATTGATGTACCATCGACCAAGAAGTAGCTCATTCGTGGTACCTGTGTTTTCTGATGCGAGGAATCCGTTCGCCATTAGCCCCATTGGGCGAATGAAGTATTCTGGGGCTGACCCATCAAGAATACTGTTGAATTCATTGCTTTCAATCTTCTTTCCAATAGATGATATTTCCACAACTCCCCTGCGGACACGCTCTCCGTACTTTTTCAAAGTATCGTAACGCTGTTGGGATGGGGTGAAAGGCATGGTCTTGGGGAAATCAGTGTTGCCATCCTCGATCCAAGTCGGAGCAGTACCGAATTTGTAGTAATAGTCCTGCCCAAAAATTACGTTCGAATTATCTGGCTTTCGGGATACGCTTGCCTCTGAATTTCCGACGTTGACGCCAACTTCATAGTCTACAAGAGTACCACCTGGAGCAAAGGATTTGTCATTAGCACTTGAAGGCGAGGGCAGGAGGACGCCAGTGGCAACGATTGAGGCAGCAGTTCCAAGAAATTGCCTCCTGGTGCTTTCGAGCAATGACGATTGCTCTTGCTTGGGTGAATGGTTGGCGGTTTGGAAAGCCGACGATGGTGCTAGCAATAGACTGGCAAGTAGCAAAAGTCTATTCATGTTGATGAGAAATAGTCAGACATAATAATAACACCGCTAACAAACGAACGCGAGTTAGTCAGCTGAGTCAGAAAGTGCAAAATCGCCATCCAACACATCACTCATATTTCGCGCAAGATGCCACCACTCACCATCAACCTTGGACTCCGAACGCTCTTATTGTCCACCAGTACCGCATTCACACCAAAACCTTGTTCTCGAAATTTCCATCAAGCTTCTGTAATGATGAAGAAGTATGCTCCATCCAAATTTCTGATTGATGACGAACAAAAAAAGTGGAGAATTGCTGTGGCTTGTGCCGTCTTGAATTCCAAGAATGAACTGCTGATCGGCGAGCGTATAAACATCCCTAACGCTTGGCAAGCCCCTCAAGGCGGAGTCGATGATGCTTGGGAGGGAAACAATAACCAAGCTGAAACTGTTGCGGAAGCTGCATCACGGGAACTCTTCGAAGAAATGGGACTACGTACTGGCAAAGACGTTACAGTTATTTCTGAAAACACGAGCACTCTATCTGTCGAACCCATTCGTTACGAGGCAAAAGGAAACGACAACTGGCTCACCAAAAATGGATTCAGTGGACAAGAACTGCACTGGGTCATCTTTCGATGCACAAATGCTAGAGGAGATTCCGACCCGGAATTTATGTGCCGCTTGGAAGGCCAGAATGGTGAAGCACAAGAATTTTTAAAGGTTCAATGGAAGCCAATCGACTGGGTTGTGGAGAACATATGGCCAGCAAAAAGAGGCGCGTATGAGGCTCTTCAGGGATCGTTGAATGATGCCGTGAAGGAATGGGATGAACAATGCAATATGGCGATCGACTTCGATGGTACATGGTCTCGTGATGCGTCGAAAAACGAAGGGGTCGTAGAGGCGTTGATTCAACGAGGTGTTGCCGCCGATAAGGCTGCCTCAGAAGCAGAGCGTCCTTACGTTCAAAAATGGGAAAGGAAAGAGGATGATGTCTGGAATGTTAAAACATATGGTGCAGACAACAACTTGCGTCGTGATGTGGACTACCAAGTAGGCAAATCATGGAGAGAAGAAGACAGCTGTAATATTTGGCGATGTAAAAGATGGTCTCAGTCGAACAACAAGTCTCATTGCAGAACCCGAAGCAGATTCGCTTGCTGCATTAACCACGATAACAGATATTGAAGGAAGAGGGGTTGAAGAATCTACACGATATCTGAAAGATGGACAAATGGTACTGAAGAGAACATTTTGGCCAGAAGGTAGTGAAATCGGTGTAACTTGCAAGGAAGTTTTCTTGAGAGACCAGGAAAGTTCCCGACAGACTCCTGCCAACTGAAGACTATAGACAACAAAGTTTCAAAATTGGCCATTTTACATTTAGTTGAGCCTAAAATCCTCCGTCCAAATTCATCTTTTGATCTCAGGAATGGGGAATGAATGGATGCGTTGAGCAATCCAAGCCTCCTCACTCTCGATGTTTCCACCTTCACCTCCAAGGTATTTCGGCGCAGATTCCTTTGGAATTGACTCCAGAGCTTGCTTTACCGTCACAAATTGAATTCTCTGTAAGATTTTTTGCTTTGTGAATAGAGAAGCTACCTTTAAGAGTCCATTGATGGCAACTCTCATCACCATGCTTGCCCCAGCGATCTTGATCGACTGTGGTCGTAAAGGGTAAGATTGGTTAATCTTCTGGAGCTTGCTCTCATTACCATGTTTCGACATTGATGTTTTAGTTGAGGTATCGATACAAAAAGTGATTCCCTCGTGCAGCGATTTGTCATCCGCATGAATTGCAAGCCAGTAGAGCACACCCGCATGGCATGCTTGAGTCTCGTCCCCAGGCAAGATTTCTTTACCCTTGATCCAGAAAATCGATCTTCCTTCATTATCCTCGCCACAAACAGCGTAAGCTGCCAGTTGCGTTGCGACCTGCGGATTTCCCATGTACGTATCAACCTCGGTGTCGCTGAATGCAATGCCATCAATGTCGACTGTCTTCAACGCCTTCAGGAACTTTGAATACTTTTCTGAAGCCTCATCGACACGCAATTTTGAAACAATTGTAGTCAATGCGAGTGCCCGAAGTCCAATTTTGCTTCCTTCCATATTTTCTTCTTTTGTCAACTTCTCGTAGACCGCTTGGATGGCCTCCATTTCTTCATCCGAATATTCAAACGCAGTCTTTGTGTCTCGACTCTGTGAGACCGAAAGCTTGCTTGTCTCCTTTGCAAGCTCGGCAATATCATCTACTTTCTTTTCATCCGCGACGGAAGCGTGGATTGCCTGGTTTGCTACCCCAATACTTGTCATGGTTGCTGTTTTTACAGGGAAAGAGAGTCTTTTTTTGTTTTGTACAGTAGAAGAAGAATCGAATCAATTCCAACACGTTGCAAATGACCTATCGAAGATAGCCAACTGGCGCCTTCTTTTCGGGTTCTTCTGCTTGGGATTTTGGGGGGGTATTAGGCTCCTATTGGGGGACAAAAGACGAGGGGAAAAGGAAAAAAGAAAGGGAAGGAGAAAAAAGGAGAAAGGAAATTCTGAATTCCATCTGACGCTTTTTGATCCGTTGAATATATTTCATGTCGTACATGGTCCACTATCCTTAAGTAAAAGAAATGCGCTTGATGGGGGCAAGACATGTAATTCATAGGGGCAGAGGGGGCTTTTGCCTTGATTTTGCGCCAGCAGGACCGTCTTTCTTGGAGTCCTCACTGTCTGTACGCTGTAAGTCACCTTTTGAATCAAGAGTGCGGTAAGATTGAATCCGATGATTGATTTCTGCACTATTTTTATTTCCTGGTCTTTTCTGAACCATATTTACAGTTGGGAGTTCAGTGTTGAATTTCGCGATTTTATGGTGTATTTCCTGAAACGCACGACAGACATTTTTTTTTACATGGTGACCAAAATATTCTCTGCATGTTTCATGGTGTGATTTTTTCGCAAAAGATATTGAGGCAAAATTGAGAACCAAATACTACGAGGAATATTACTATGTTTTACTTTTCAAAGAATAACTGGAAAGAACAAAGTCAATCAACTGGAGCCCAGCCCTTCAACATGATTGACTTAGTGGGACATTGTCATTTTGTGTTGGTCTCCCACATACCATCTCGCCAGCTTGTCTGCCCTTGACGTAGTTTTGGATATCATTGCACTGATAAGGAGGGAATACATAGCAGTATTCAAAGGATTGAAAACCACGACTTGGTAGGTGTGCCTGCATCTTCACTGGCCTTAGCAGTCAATAGAGCGGAAGTCCCATCCTCGAGGTTTTTCAAGTTGGTAGGCCGACCGTTTCCTCATGTAGTTTTCGTGTAGTAGCATTATACCGCGCCCATCCCCTGTGTAGTGGCGCATTTGCAAACTCATCGCCACTCCAACATTGCAGTACTCAGGGCGGTTGCTCTTGAACGCGGAAAGCCCATGTTTGAATGTGGAGAGCTCGGGTTTGGAGCCAAGCAAATTGTCAGTTGAGATAGCCGTCGGCTTCATTTCAACACTTCGTTGCGCGGGACGACAATACGGATTTGTGACACGTTTGTTGCATCTTAGAGAGGTGGTCTTGTTGTTCCTTGTTGTGCCGCCTTGATTAGGCTGAAACTGTCGAAGCTTCGCCTCAATTTGTGAAGCAATTTTGCCGGTACCCTTATCTAACAAGAGTGAGCAATGTTTTTGTGATGCGATGGAATGTTGTGTTGACTGATTGAACTTCACAATGAGGGAGCAAGTGCTGCTTTTGAGGGAAGAGGCACGATGGGGCATGGCGAATTTGCTGGATTTCATGCGACGTCTCCATATTTAACCCGATGGTCGATACTACGAGAAAATGTATGGCTAATTTTATTTATAATGCGCGCATGAATATCTTTTGCCCCTAAGTAAATAGTGGCCCACCACAATAATATCCCCAGCTTGGTGTTTTCTTGGAGTGACTCTGGTGGGTTGTGGTGTGAAGCTGGTCCTTTTGAGTTGCGCGCGAAGCGTGCGACTCAAAGGACCAGTCTCAGATTTCCCGTAAGACGTGAAATCTGAGACTTGCTTGTCTGCCAGGCCTTGACACGAAACAATCGTGTCAAGGCCCAACAGGGTGTGGTGGGATGGGAAAGAAAGAAATAACTCTATCTTTCTGTCAGTATACTTGCACACAAGTTCGATATGTGTAGATCGGACTTAGGTTGCTGGTGCAATACTGAGATGACGGTCGCCCTACCGTCGTTCATGGAGTCACTATTGAGTCCATTGGTTCAACCGCTTTCTTCCGTCTACGTTAGAGTCATTTTTCGTGTGGTGTCATGGAGAATGGAGAATTGAAGACTACCTACAGTTCATACGAAGGAGAATGAAAAGCTGAACAGCTAAAAGTTACTAGATTGTCTCTAATGTTTGAATTGACCGTCTTCCATTTCATTATTGAATCTTCTCCTTCAGAGTTGGGCGGGAGCAGGTTGGGAAGAGTGTTTGCTATGATTTGGATATCAGTGTATGTTTGGTCTTTGAAAGTCGACCACCATGTGAATGTGTCATCCCAGACACACATGTTTGACTGAACTTGGGCACAATTTGGATTGATTCGTTCATTCAGGTGCTCACTGCCTGCTCGTATTTCAAGCTATTATTCCTAGAACGTCCAGTGCTTATACCTCTGTATCTGCCAATCTTGCTTCCTCTGGATTTCCGGATATGAATCTCTGCAGAGACTTCTCGAAATTAGGTATCATCTTCCTCAGCAATCCAGCGCTTTCTAACAAACCCTCTGAGGGCTTGTAGATGTGACCAAAAGGGAACTGATGAATATTCATATTTCGCAGGTGCTTTGAATTCTCTGGAGTCATTGGAACCGAGATGAATTTGACATCTTTATATTTTTTCGCAAGCTTATTGTATAAGGGTTTCGCCGCATTGCAAGCCTTGCACACTGGCGAATAGAACATTACGGCGACGAGGTCTTGTTGTTCGTCGTTCACAATCCGTTGGAATTCTCCCAAATCCTTAACTATTTCAACTCTTCGGCTACTATGCCATTTCTCAGCAACTTTGTCTTTTATTCGCGATGACATGGATCGTCGTGGATATGATTCGATGGAGACACTTGCAGCTCTTCTACTCGTCAGGCTGTCGAATTGAGGGTTGGATCGGATGTTCGAGGTCTGAATTTCCGTTCTGCTTCTTGTAGGCGAAATGCTGAAGCTATTGCTCACAACAACACTCATCAATGCTATGGTTAAAAGTAAAAGGGAATGAGTGCTACCTGTCATGTTGTATTTACTGATTGACTTTGAAGACAATTGACTCCTGGTTTTGGTTTTGTGGGCGTTTGTTTCAATTTCTGATGCAGACAGAATGATCCAGATGGTTCCACGTCAGCTTACATAATGAATGGATCATAAAGTGAAAGGGTCACAGAAGTACTGCAATAGGCTCCCTATCCATTTCTGACTGGTTGGATTGGAATGGGCACACATTTTCTACGAAGTGCTTCCGCGCAGACCCTACGCCTACTGTAGGTCGGTCGACGTACCACTGATTTCTTCACGACATCATCGATGCATTGTCATCACTAAAATGTCAGCCAAGACATGAGATGGAAGTTTCTTCAGCGCATTCGACACCTTTTCGGACGACGAAAACTGCTTTTGAAACTTTGGCCAATTCTGGGTGATGCTCTTGACACACCGCCTCTGCAAATTGGTATATTCGGAGCTTCCTTTTTCAAATTTGGCACTCAGATTTAGAAAGGGGAGAGCGACAGCCACGTCAATGACTGGCAGGGCTGTCTCGTTGGTCAGCTTATCCAACAGTTCTTCGTTTATTGTGTTCTTGCTTTGACCGACACACAGATAGGCTGCAATGCTCAACCTCTTGGATTGAACCAAATCTGCAGTTTGCAGCCTACCTCTTGGATTCTTCTTTCGGATATCCCCGAACTCCTCTCTGTAGATTTCAATGATTTCAATCAAGAAGCTTGGCGGAACCAATTTGCCAAGCTCTGGTTTTTGAATGATCATGGTTCCAATCTTGGCTTTGGAAACGGCAATCAATTGCAAGGCATCTGCTTCTTTGGCGCACTTGAAAAACTCGGCCACATTCTCCAGGGATGTACTCTTGCGATAAAACTCCATAATTGCCTTTTCCAAAGAAATGATTTCAAGGCGCTCGGCAATGTTGTACATGGCACAAGCACGAGATGCGGTTAGATTCTGTCTCGCTTCCCTTGTATAATAGATATAGTCCAACACCATGGGAAAGACCTTCGCTTGATATTCTGGAAGTATCAGTTTCGTCATATTCTCTTTTCTGTCCTGTTGTTGAGCAAAAGCCTCCTTCAAAAACTCCGACTTTCGTGGGCCAAATCCGACAATGTTGCGATGCAAATAGAACAATTGCCGTTCCTGGGTTTCTCGAACCAAGACTTCTACTCTCCAATCACTGAAACTAGCATTGGGATCGGAATTCCAACTGATTCGTTTGGTTCCACCTGCTACATTCCGTGACAACTCGGATGGATAGACGATATCCTGCTTTTGTTTCCTCCGAGCAATATTCTTTTTCTTAGCCTTTACCTTCTCCTTTTTCTTTGTTTCTTCTGTGGGAACACCAGGAGTCGTTTCAATCTCTGTCCCAATGTCAATAAGAGTCCCCTTGTGGGATGATTGCTGGGATGAATGTGTGACTTGCTCTTTGTTCGACGACTGCTTTGGTTTTGGTGCAACAGCTGGTTTTGTTGGAGGAGGCATTCGATTCCCTTTCGGGATCGATGTTTCTACCTCATCCTCCCGGTGGCGAATATGGGAATAATAATCATCTAGTACGACCGAACCCTCTTCCTCGGAGTCCTCTTCGGAAGGAGATTGTTGACTCGGATTGTTGGACGTTGTCGATTTCGATGAGGTCGGTTTCGACGAGGTCGTCGACTCTTCTTCTGATGATACCGGTTTCGATGAGGTCGACTCTTCGTCTGATCCCGATTCTTCTTCTTCTTCTACTGACGACGACGATGTCGACGATTTGTTGGAAGCCGATGCTATGGAACCAAATGGGCTTATATCCGTCATGACTTTTAATAGAATCTGCCTTTAGAAAATAGGTTGAAATGTTTGATTTGGAAAGGTGCCTACCATGTGACTACTGACGGCTCCCTTCGCATCATCAAGGTGGGTCAAATTTCATATTGCAGAAAATTTCTGTTTCCGTTGCACAAATTTGCTTCCGGTTTGTGCGCAGTCACCGCGCGAACAAGTTGAATTTTGAAATCAAGATATTTTTGTGATTTGGACATGATCGATTTCGATTGATTGATTGATTGATTGATTGATTGATTGATTGGCACCTTGCAAATTTCCAATTGACGGACCATGAAATTGACCATCTTCTTCTTCTTCTTCTTTTCCTTCACCCTTCTCGGGATCACAGCTGGTTTAAATGCAGTTTGTTACGGCCCACAAAGTCGAGTCCTGTTGCTACTGACCGCCAAGCTAGCAGCTCGAGAAATGAATGACGTTGCTGTCATTTGCGAATCCGGTGCGGAATCCATGTGTCGACGATTCATGTATGGACCCGAGTACGAAGAAAAGGGAATTGACGAAGAAAACAAAGCGAAACCCACCTCGGACCCGACTCTGATGGAAACTGCATTGAAGAAGGCCAACGTCATCTTGTTGACTGGACATGACAATCCCATTGAAGAAAAAGCAGTCAACACGCTACTCAACACAGCCGGAGAGGGTCTTTCCAAGGTGGTTCTAGTGTCACAAATGGGTGGATCGAAAGCAAAGGGTGGGTTCTTTGGCGGTGGCAATAGCATCAAGGAATCAGAAGACTACATTCGCAAAGTCTGTCAGTCCAAGGGGTTGGATCTATCCATTGTCCGAGCTGGTATGCTCAAGGGAGGTGGATGCGGCGATGTCGGTGACGATTTTGGTTTGAACAAAGTCTACTACAATACATTGGTGGATGTAATCGAGGCATCCGTCACGATGGCACACGACAAGTACAGTTTGGGGGCTGATTGTACTCTTGGTGACACTGTGGAAATGCCAAACATGTTTACCCAAATGGGATCTAAATCTTCCTTTGAACCATGCCAGTATGACTCCAATCGAATTGTAGTGGCTGGTGGAGCTGTTGCTGCAGCATTGAAAGATGGAGAGATTGAATTTTCCATTGGCACCCAGTCCTCTAAAACACCTCCTTCGCAAGAGGATTGGGTGAAGATGTTTGACACGATGGAATGAAAAAATTGAAAGAATGAATGAATCGCTGCCTGCCTGGCGGTCAGACCTTGTCTTACGACATTGACACAATGCATGATGAATATACTCGTACGAGTATTCATTTGAAAGTGTCAATAGTCAAAAATATCGTGACGTACAACCGTAAATTTATTGGGCACGTCACGAGTGGGGCCACGTATTGCGAGTGGGCGGCTCGTCCAAGGGGATTTTCGGGTGATGATGTCGATCAATTGGCCCACACCCCCCGAAAAACGATCCACTAGCAGATTGTCCAGAACAGAACCGTTCAATTGCACTTACTAGCACCCACTAAATTTTCGAGTGTATACAATACAACCATGTTATTCAAGCGGTCGTTCTTTCTTCTGGCCTGCACAGCAGCTACAACTAGCGCTTTCGCCCCTCCTGCAACCAACAACAATGTGATGCAAACCATGAGATTTTCTACCGAGACGCAAGCCGAAGCCACCTCCCAAAAAGAAGCTGAAGCTGAATTGTCTCCTGAATACAGCGCCGCCTTTCAAAAGGCTGAAGCTACAGTCTCGGCAGTCTTGAAGGATACCAAACCTGAAATGCTCCCAGGACTTGTGCACTTTTGCAAGGAATATTTGACGGCTCATCAGGTTTCCAATGCCAAGAACAAAGACGAGAAGAGCAGTCCAGAGCAAGCGCTGAACCGAATTTTGGAGGGTGTTCAATATGGATTCAAGTTTGGAATGGGACCTGAAAAATTTGCCTTCGGAGTTACCCACGAAGCTCTGAGAGGAGATGCCGTAAAAGAAGATGGCAATACGATTGACTTTTACGAATGGGGAACTGAATTCTTCCGGGGTTTGATTGACAAGGAAGATTCCAAGATTATGGGAATGGATAACTTGAAACAAGCTTTGGAACGAGCAGACAAGGGAGAAAATGTTGTCTTCTTTGCCAACCATCAATCGGAGGCCGACCCACAAGTAGTCTCTATTTTGCTAGAACGTGCTGGACTGGCCAAGGACGCCGAAAAGTTCTACTACGTTGCTGGACACAAGGTTACCACTGATCCTTTGGCCATTCCTTTCTCTATGGGACGCAACCTCATTTGCATTCATTCCAAGAAGCACATTGATGCCGATCCAGAAACCAAGGGTGTCAAGAATCGTCAAAACTTGTCCGCCATGGGGGGAATGTTGGACCGACTCAAAAAGGGAGGGTGCATTTTGTGGGTAGCTCCATCTGGTGGTCGCGATCGACGGGACTTGGAAAGTGGAAAGACTCCCATGGCTCCTTTTGATTCCAAGACGTTGGACATGTTCCGTCTGATGGGATCCAAGAGCAAGAAGCCAACACACTACTACCCATTCGCCATGGTCACCTATGAGGTATGCCCTCCTCCGGATTTTGTCGAGGCCGGTGTTGGTGAAAAGCGAAACTTCCGATTCACACCCGTTGGAATCAACGTGGGAGAAGAAATTCCTTCAGAGGGAGGACTAGAGAAGAGACAGCAATTCAACGAGAAGTGCTGCGCCTCGGCTCAAGAGGAGTACATCAAGCTTCGGGAATCTATTTTTCCTGGCACCGCCCCTGATCTAGAATAAATGTATAATATTAACAATAATTTCAATAAACTTTTGGAACCAACTGCTATGTTATTACCCTCATTCTCTCTATCTACGGCATAATAGTAGTGCTATCGTTGTTCACGACGATCTGGTGGCACAAGCTTGTGCTGCCAATGACACGATCTTGACTTTGTTTCGGTTTCGACCCGAGACGATTGAATGCGTTTTCACAACGACTTTGCACTTTCCACTACATGTCTTCTTCTCCTTGCCATTTGTCAGAAGAATATCAGCTGGTATTGATATTTTAGGGCTCCAATTCTGCAACGATGATTTCAAGTTGCAAGCGTACGTGAGATGAAGAACAATTGTCAAACAAACAAAAGCACAGATGAAAACGGTAAGACCTACCCCATCTTCTGTCACCGAGTTGATCTGTGATTTCGTTGTTTTATCCAGCAAGTCAATCGTGACAATACCCATCCCCTCATACGACTTGAGAATGCTCATGACAATTTCGTAGCAGCCATCCACCAGATCAATGTCGAACTCAATGTAGTCACCGCCCTCTTCATTGGTAGATATCCAGCCTTTTCGTTCGGCCAGTTGGTCGCCATATAGTCTGAATCCCTTGGAATGATTGGTGGAGACCAAAGGATCTTGAGTGCTGTAGACTCCCATGGTATCCTTCACCATTACAAAATTGGTCATTGAATCTAGTTGATTCGGAGATCCCAACCATGTGGTCAGTGGGAGCACGTGATCAGTAGGGGGTTCTCCGCGACAATGGTCATGTCCAACTTGCGCAATAGCATTGACAATCAAGTCTTTGGCAATTTGATGGCCCATCATTGAGGGGTGTACTGCGTCGTGGGCAAAATAGGGTAGGAAACATTGTTCTCGACCTTTTGGTGGGTTATCGTTGCAGTTTCGGCCACTTCGTTTCATGAATACACAAAGGGATTTGCAGCCCTTGTCTCGAAAGGACCGAGTAATTTGTTCTGCTAGGCAAGGCGCGCATCCATGTGGAAACGGTGCAACAGTATCATTCGCTGGTCGGGAATAATCAAAGGGCTCCAACAAGTTTATCAATCGATAGAATCCAGGAAATAATGCCTCTGAATAAGAGATTACAGGGATCTGGTAGTGTTGTGCAACTCCAAGATGCAAAAGCTGAGCTGTTTTGCGATTCAATATTGCTGTTTGGAACTCCAGAAACACGATCGCTGCATTGGGATACGCTTCCAAGAGCCTTCGCACCACCGCTTCTGCACAGATAGCCAGTCGTTGGAATCCGTCAAAGAATACATCGGTCTTGTGGTCGATATGAATTTTGTGATCTTGACCTTGGTAGTCGTTCACCCCAAACTCTAAAAGGAATAAGTCAACTTGTTGACCAGCTGGTATGTCTTCGATCATAGTCATCAATCGTTTTGCCACATAACACATATCAGCACCATGTCCAGCTCTAGAGTACACTTTATGCTTGGCTGATTGCAGAGGGAACTCGGTGTTCATCCACTTTTCCAGCTCGTTGAGGTACTTTAGAGATCCATCCGCCAGACCATGACCCATGGAAATGGATCCGCCATAAACGACAGTAGACACTGGGTTCGTTTTGGCGGATAACTTCTGGAAAAGTTTCGACAATCGCATCTCATTGCCCACCCAGGCACGAGATCTCCTAAAATCTTCAAGAGTCAAGTTGTGCCGATGGTCTGCTGTTAGTCGTCGAAATTCCATGTCGCATGCATTTGTGTTTTCTCGAACCACTGCGTCCAACGATAAAACATCTGCAGTCTCTTTCCTTTCCTCCTGTTGAGAAAACACATGAAGACTCCCGTAGAGAAGAAACGCCCAAAGGAATACGACGGCTTTAAAGATGCATAGTCCAGTGAAATGGAGACGATTGGAAGTCCGCTGCTTCTGCTTGCCAATTATCATTGTAGGGTCATGAAGTTAAGGGGTTTGTCCATTGTCCATCATTGTTTTGGACTTTTTGTGTTGACGCTTTTGATTTTGGGTAAAAATTCCAGTTAAATTGACCCATTGGATTCAACATATTCGCCTGTCCTTCGCACCAGCATATGAAGGGGCTGACGTTTTTTTCTTCTTCAAAATTCAATGACAGTATCACGGTTGGAGACCAAAATCATCATTTTTTTGCCAAACACGTCGTCGACACAAACACAAGAACTATGATTGAAGACCTAATATCTGAATATGGGATCGTTCTTGCATCTATTGTCTGCATTGTTATCGGAGCCCTGGTGTTCATGAATAAGAAGGCACCAACAGTACTTCCAACAACCGAGTTCCAGTTGTTCCCGTTGATCCGCAAAGAAAAAGTGTCGCATGATGTTGCCATTTTCACTTTTGGTCTCCCAGAAGGCCACGTGCTGGGTCTTCCAACTGGTCAGCACGTTTCTCTAAGATTCAAGGATTCTGAAGGAAAGAGCCATCAGCGATCTTACACGCCAATCACAGACAACAGCTCTGTCGGTGAATTTTCGCTTTGCGTCAAAATTTACAAGGCCAATGTCCACCCCAAGTTCCCCGAAGGAGGAAAAATGAGTCAACACTTGGATTCTTTGAAGATTGGAGACAAGATGGAAATCAAGGGGCCCAAGGGACACATGGAGTATCTAACTGGTGGAAAATTCACGGTCAAGCCACTGGGCAAACCACTTGAACATCGTCAAACGAATCAAATTATTATGCTTGCAGGGGGAACCGGTATCACCCCTATGCTCCAAATTTTGCATTTTATTTTCAAGAACCCTGGAGTACCAAACATTAAGGTCAATCTTTTGTACGCCAATCAGAGTAAGTCGACTGTGGATTCTCATCTTTGATCGTCGAAGGCTATTTTTTTCTCATTTGATAACTATTTCAGCCGACGACGATATTCTTGTACGAGCGGAGCTTGAAGCACTGCAAAGAGATTTCAAGGGCCGCTTCAATGTACACTACACTTTGGATAGACCACCTGCCAACTGGGAATACTCGACTGGTTTCATCACAAAGGAAATGATTGCAAAGAAGTGTTTGTTCGGCGACTCGAGCGCCAATACACAGGTCTTCATGTGTGGACCTCCCCCTATGATCAAATTCGCTTGCAAACCAAACCTAGAGGAGTTGGGATTCACCGCTAAAGAGATGGTCATCTTCTAGGAGCAAAAGGCTACATTTAAATCTAAAACATGTTTATATTATTTGTTGGCATTCAGCTAGTACTACCGGCGACGGTATCAAGGACTCTAGCTACTACTACCACTCATACTTACTATCAAATATTGGCACATCAGGCACCCAATCCGTTCAAGAGCATCAATATCACGCCAAGTGCACACGCTTCTGTTCAAATTTCTGCATCAAGGTGATTACTTCGGTGCAGTTTCAATGAAAGCTGACACCACCCATTGACATCAACCCTGACACTTTCAACTTGAGAAGTCTTCTGGAACAAGGACTAGTATAGGCCTGATCTGAGCAGATGTTCGACATATCGGACTAAAAATGTGTTCATGACGATGCGATGACGACAACGACGACTTTCGTCATGCATAACTCAGCAACTCATTCATCACTCCATGCACCTCCCCGTTAGTCTATCATGAGAATTACTGCTCTACTCTTGGTCTTACCGCTTTCAGCATTAGCTTTTGCTCCAAGCGGTCATGTACATAGTCATGCATCACTACATCGACTACAAACAGTCTTGCGAATGGCAGAGGTGAGCGTTACAAATCCTTCACCTGGCGATGCTGCTGACATGGGCATCCGAGATTGGCCGCAGCAGCAAAAAGAAGGAACCTGGAATGAGGAAGCCAGTGAGGACCAAACTCTTGTTCGATACATACTGGATGGCACTGGATTTCTCGATACTGAAGCAGATGATCTTGGCCAGAAATCATACAAATTGACCCCGGGGACATTAGTGGAGATCACTGGTCAAGCATCTCTAAATTGGAAGGCCAACGACAAATTGATCGTTTTATCTCCAGGGTTTGAAGAGGTTGGAAAGTTTCTTGGAGTCCTGGTTGGGCTGGTGATAACTTGTGGAGTGTTGGTCGGATCTACATTATGAATTCACCACTACTACTATATCCTCGTCCAGTTACTTCATGATTCGGCGCAGCATCCCCCTTTACTGAGGATTGATTTCATGCACTGCATCTTGGAGCTTAACTACCAGCTCCTTGCCCATGATCTAGAGGAGCATTGGGTTGTCTAGTCATGCCATAGAATAGAAGAACACGGCAGCAGGACCCAGCAGATCCAACAGACTCTAATTTAGGACTAGTGTTCATGTAATTGAAAACGTAAACTTGAAATGTAAAGTTTAATCTTCCTCGAATGGAACCGCCCTTCGACCACTGCAACATACACTATGATCCGTTCCTAGTTGAATTTCAAGGATGTGAGTATGTATCTACTGTATCCTCGTCGTGAGTGAGGTTCAAATCGTGAGCATGACATTTGCGTACAGTTTTGACTGATTCGGGTTCTTGCCAGTGAATGCTTGAGTGGCTGGATAATGCCGTTCATGAAAGATGTACTGTATCTCTGTATCTTGCAGATGTCTCAATGTGCACTCCTTCGCGTCAAAAAATGGGAGTACAATACCGCTAGAATTTCTGGTACCATACCTGGTATTGTAAAAGCATAAAAAGTATACCCTACCAGTATCTTGCTACTGCCCTGAAATGAGATGACCCCGTGAGACACGCGGAAGAAGGGGGTCATTTTCAAAACCCGAACATCTGCACCTTTCTTGGCGAAGGGGAGAAAACACCCAAAGAAAAATCTAATCTTCCGCAGTTCTCCGATTCGGACAACTTCCACCCAGACATATGGAAACGCTTTTCGGAGTACGTAAAAAGGGAGCTCTCAATGCAACTCCCTAATTACTTATGTCAAGAGAAGGAATTTCAGTGTCAAAATGACGGCAGAGAATCGACGCAAGTTCCACGCGAGAAAAGGGAAAGTCAATTGTGAATTGGATGCCATCAGCGAAACATCATATATTTCTTTTTTTGAGAAGAACGCATTTCAACACCTTCGCCGCAAGCATTATTCTACCAAACACAAATTTACACCATGGTTGCTGATATGAGTTATGCGACAGTCTCCAATGTCATTGACAGCTGGGAGGAAGTCCGTCGTCTTAAGGATTACGAACAGGTAGTTGGAGTTACACTGTTCACAAAGTACGTCAATTGAAAACCGCCGGCAGCAGATATTGCATTTCCACGTTTTGCAAGTCTAACAATGATCCTTCTATTTCAGACTCTTTGAGCTAGAACCTGAAGCAAAGACCATCTTTGGTTTCGATGTCCAAGCTGATGTATCAACTGAGCTTTCAAAGTCGCCGAGGTTTACGAAGCATGCAAAGTATTTCATCCAGATGATCGACAAAGCACTGGGAATGTTAGGTCCTGATATCGAGCTCTTGACAGAGATCCTTCTCGATCTGGGACACAAGCACGTTGGATATGGCGTAAAACCAGAATATTTCCCCTCCATGGGACGGGCATTGATTTTCGCAGTGAAGGAGAATCTAGGGGAGAGTTTCACTGACGAAACAAAAGATGCATGGATTGAAGTATATGGGGCACTGTCATATGACATGATTCGGGCTCAGAAGATGAAACGCTGAGCATCTCTCCGTATCGAGAGCCTCCCTTGCATTTAAGAATTCAAGGGTCGGCAGACTTTCGCCGCAGACTATTGGAAATGACTAATGTATAATGACAAATTTTTTAAAACAAATGGGGACTGGGAACATTCGTTGTTCTTCATATCTGTGGACATCAATACGATGTAAAGCAAGACCTAGTGCATCAAATTTCATTGAATATTTTTTTCTAAAGGGCACAACGATTCGAATAATGATTCAAACTTTTATGGTGATTCGACCACGGAATTGAATTGGTAGAATAGAATCCAATCACAGGCAGCTTCGTCAGTTCCTGGCACCAGTTTGTCGACATCTTGATTTATACGGCGCTCAAGTTCTGCCAGCTGTTCATCATGTTGTTGGTTGCTTTCTTCTCCGAGTGAAATTTTGAACTCAGGAGGTACTGCAGGATACCTCCGTAGGTTGATGCTAACCTGAAGCGACAATGGAATCGAATTTGTTACCATCTGTGCAGAAACGGTTCTAATCCCATGTTCATCATCTTCCTCGGTCCAATTGGACAGTCTTGCCAACACTTTGGATAGTGCTCTGGTAGGCATGCCACTGTTAGCATGCTTTTGTGGCTCCTTCTTCGATAGAATCGCTAGGATATGTTTCAACGATGCCATGGCTCGTACGCGTCGAAGCAATGATCGAACCACCACCTTTGTCGAAAGGTGCATCTCTGACAAATTTCGTTCGCCGGGAGAAGCGTGTAGACCTCCCAAATAGTTACACCAACTGTACGACGCCTTGTCGCTCTTGTTGTTGACAATATCCCAAGCTCCTGTGTCCCCCGGGAAGAGCTCGCCAATTAATTCTCCCATTCCATGCTCGCTACTGGAGCGTGCCGTCACTATATCCATCTTTGAATCATACTCAAACTTAATATTCGTGCAGACAACCGTTGACGAGCTGGGTTGGTTGGAGACGGTGGGGATTGGTAATCTCAACAAGATGCCATCCGATTTGCTTGTAATTTCCAACAACGGTACATCGCCTGCCTCCCCTCCGCCCGTGGCGTGCATGGCATCCAAGCACGATTGAAGCTGATGATGAAGCGTATATAATGGAGCTGGGAGAGAACGAGCCATCTCCATGGATTCTTGACGCTCAGATCCAAGCTTCCTACTGGTATGAAGGGACGTTTGACAGAACTCTTGCAATGATAAGCTCGCCTTTTCCATATCTTGCAAATTTTTAGGTAACTCCTTCAATAACTTTCGCTTCTTCGTCACGCTTCTTTGAGACGTGGCTGCGCTGTGTCTGGCAATCTGAAGCTCGGATTGCAGCTGCTTCCTTTCTTCCAGATTCTTATTCAGACAAAATGCGATCTTGCCTCTGCTATTTGGATCCTTCGGATCAGAAGAGAGAAATTCCTTAAAGGTTTTGTTCAATTCCTCTTCTGTATCAGGTACTGCAATGCCCATCTCATCACAACACAATTTCGCAAGTTGCGACCATTCCAGCTTGTTATATTCAGCAACAGCATGTTCGCTTACTATTTTTTGATAAGACAAGTTTTCTAGCTTCAGCTTTTCCTTCTCGATTCTTCTCAACTGATCATGTGCTTCTGACTGAGAGGATTCAAGATCATCCAATACCACTGTCTGCAAGGACTTGAGTTCCAAAAAACAATTCATGGCATCAGCCGATACTGCAAGATTGGACACATCAGCGCAAGAAGTTGACAACTGCTTCAGCAGCTTATCAGACTGATCAAGAGCAGAAAGCGCATCAGTAAGGCTTCCTGTGTTGCTGGAACGTGATCGTTTGGAAAGTCGAGACATGTTTGCTATGTCATTCGCTGATCCTTTGTGCGGATCATCATCTACCGGTATTGTACCCTTCGTTCCGATATCGCACGATGGACGTACAGGTACAGGTATCTTTCGGGAATAAATGAGTCCCGTAACTTCAATCGTTGCGTTACAGGTGGAAGAATAAGTTGAACTTGAAAGTGCGTGTTGCGTCTTTAGCAGAGAAGATACCGCAAAGACAATACCTCAACACTCAACAACAAGTACAATGAAGTGGTCCACAGCCGTAGTTTTTGGTCTTCTATCAGCATGCGATGCTTTCGCTCCAAGCAATGGCAACTCCCGATCCCAATTTCGTATGAGTGCTGTTGACGAAGCTGTTACAAAGGACTCCAAGTCAGACGATGCTGGAACCAAGGATCCTCTTTTGATCAGAGCCGCCAAAGGAGAAAAGACTGAGCGCACCCCAGTTTGGATGATGAGACAAGCTGGAAGACACATCAAAGAATACCGTGATTTGTGCAAGAAGTACCCAACATTCCGCCAAAGAAGTGAAATCCCAGAGGTTGCTGTCGAGGTTTCCCTTCAGCCATGGAGAAACTACAAAACTGATGGTTGCATTCTTTTCTCCGATATCCTAACTCCTCTTCCTGGAGTTGGATGTGAATTCACCATTGACGAGAAGCTTGGCCCCATCATGGAGCCCATCAAGAACTGGGACGACGTTAAGAAGGTCAGTTTTCGACACCACTATTTTTTGAAGAACTTCGATTTCCATGATGACGGGCTAACTTTGATTGTATTCCATTTAGATGCACCCCATTGATCCTTCCACTGCAGCACCTTTCGTTGCTGAGACCCTTAAGATTCTTCGTGACGAAGTTGGCCCTGAAACTGCTGTTTTGGGATTCGTTGGATGTCCTTACACACTTGCCACTTATATGATCGAGGGTAAAACTTCCAAGGAATACTTGGAAATCAAGAAGATGGCATTCAACGAGCCAAAACTTTTACACGCTATTCTTCAAAACCTCGCTGACAGTATTGGGGACTACGCTCTTTACCAAGTTGAGAATGGTGCTCAACTCATCCAAATTTTCGACTCTTGGGCTGGACATCTTTCCCCACGCGATTATGAAGAATTTGCTGCTCCGTACCAAAAGCAAATCTTGGACAAAGTATGTATTCTGATTGCTTATGGATGGGACAATATCTAGTTTTCTTCTCAGTCTTCTCAATACCTTTTCCTTTCGCAATTTACAGGTCAAGAAGCACCACCCTGAAGTCCCAACTGTTATTTACATCAAGCATTCTGGAGCTCTAATTGAACGTATGGCTGGAACTGGAGTTGATGTTGTGTCGCTAGATTGGACTGTAGATATGGCAGAAGGCCGAGAGAGAATTGCCAACGGACGCAAGGCTGCTGGCTTGAAGGGACCAGGTGGAGTCCAAGGAAACCTTGATCCCGGTGTGTTGCTCGCCAACCACGACACCATCAAAGAAAGAGCAGAGGAGATCCTGAAGAAGGCAGGAAGCACAGGACACGTTATGAACTTGGGACACGGAATTGAAGCATGTACACCAGAGGAAAATGCTCACCACTTCATCGAAACTGTCCGCAACTTTAGACACAAAGATTAAGCATACAATAGAAGGCCCCATTACATTGTACAACACTACATTATGCCATACAGTGAAGCACTGGATCTTTTAGTGCACAAGAGTAGTACCTCAATGGTAATTGCGCACGGTCTAGCAGAAAATACTATACTTCAAAGACCATCTTCAAATTTGAGCACTTCCAGAGTTCTTCTCAGCGATTATCTGCTTTACCTTCTTACTTGGCCTTTGTGATACATGACAAATGATATTGCCATGATTCTTCATAACGCTAACGAATCTATGATAGTGCTCGACCTAGACTAAAAGTACAGGGATCATTTCTCGATTCAGTTTCGTCTTTTACAATTATCTAGCAACTGTTTCGTCGAGGTGATACTGAATGTCGTGCCGACGACATTTTCAGTCTATGGTCACAGTGGCGTAAATTTTGGAGTTTCTTAGGAGCTTTCATATGGTAAGGTACCGATGGCAAAGCGCTTAGAATAGAGGATCTCCAGTAACCCAGTTATGGTGGATCATTCCTCCGATAGCCAACATAGCCAAGCGTCCATTGTTAAGTTCCTTCAATTGCATGACTTCCATTTCCTCTGCACTCATTTTCTTTCCGTATCCCAAAGGATCGAAGCCAAGGTTTCCTGGGACACGTTCTGGGTCCTCGAACATGTTCTCCATGGTGATATTTCCGTTGTTGGTCTTCCACTCAAGGAATCCCATTCCAAAAACAATTTGTAGCATGGCAGAAACTCCAACAGAGGTAGGTCCAAGGTTGGAGTCATCAACGTGGATGTATCCTGGGATGGTGATGAACTCTTGGACAACGAATCCAACAGTGGCGAGCATAGCAGCACGGGAGTGCTTGAGCTCGGACTCACGAAGCCACTTCATGTCGAAGTATTCCGAGAAGTTAAGTGGATCAAGTCCGACATCACCGACGTATCCCTTCAATCCCTTGGGGTAGGTAAGGAAAGGAACAGACTCGGACATCTCAGCATTGAGCTGTGTGGAGGCTCCAGCAGGGGCGGACTAAAATGACAAAAACAGCCATGTCTTTTGAGTCAAGCAGTTTCTTCAATAGTACTATGCACACAAGAGACTGATACGTAATTACCTGAGGAGCAAAGGCAGCGGCGGAACTGCAGACAGCAGCGAGGATGGCGAAGGACTTCATGGTGAATCGATTTGTTGACGATGAAAAGGAGACTGGATTTGATCTTCGCATCCTACCGCAAATCCTGCCTGAAGATGACGTAGGGAAGCTGTCTTGGTTGTTGAACCCTTGGATCGCGACTTCTGATTCTAAGAATTTCTGCCCGTCAACCGTACATCTGTTTTTCTTTGCCGAAAGACGGCCGAAGTACGTACCATTCAGGCACACAGCAGTGAGCCCCACGTTTATTCCAACGAGTCGATAAATCGAAATCCAAACTTCCAACTGACAACTGTCGTCCATCCGCCACCGATGATCGAAAAGACCGGAGGGAAACAAAGAGAGGATAAAGAGAGGAGGACATGTTTAGGAACGCGTTGCGGTCATCATCCACCACCGCCGCCATGGCGGCAGGTGCAGCTGCTGCTTTCACGGGAGCTAACTTCATGTCAAGTCAAGGAGGCTCCGAGAAGGTGTCAGAATGTGCTGATAACACAATTGTTGGCTTGTTGCAAGGTTTGACTCGCAAGGTGTCGAATATTGAGGCCGTCTTGGGAACCCTTGAGACGAAGCCACCTGCCCCAAAGAAGCATGGTATTGATATTGTCTTGGGAGCCCAGTGGGGAGACGAAGGAAAAGGAAAGCTTGTTGACATGCTAAGTCAAGTACGTGCCACCCATCACGTTCTGAATAAAGTTGTGTTCTTGCATATTGAAACGACTCACTATTTTTCTTTTTCTTTAGGAATACGATGTGTGTGCTCGCGTCGCTGGAGGATCGAATGCTGGTCACACTATTGTTGTAGATGGCGTCAAATACAAGTTCCATTTGCTTCCCAGTGGAATTTTGAACCCAGAAGCAACTTGCATAATCGGAAACGGAGTGGTTATCCATTTACCTTCTTTCTTGAAGGAATTGGAGACTCTTGAAACACAAGGAATCAACTACAAGGGCCGAGTCTTCATTTCTGATCGCGCTCATATGGTTTTTGATTTCCATCAAGCAGTTGATGGAGCTCTCGAACAACGACTTGGTAGAAACAAGATTGGAACTACCAAGAAGGGAATTGGTCCGGCGTACGCTTCCAAGATCTCTCGTAATGGAGTTCGTGTTGGAGATCTCAAAAACTGGGAATACTTTGAAGAGAGATTCCGTGCATTGGCAGAGCATCACATGAGATCGTACGAGGGGCTTGAGGTCGATATCGAAGGAGAATTGGCTTACTACAAGTCCATCTCAGAGCGAATCTGCGGAATGACTCGTGATACCATCGGCCTTACCAACAAGAAATATAGTGAGGGAAAGAAGATCTTGGTTGAGGGAGCCAATGCGACAATGCTTGACATTGACTTTGGAACCTATCCTTTTGTGACATCTTCCAACCCATCGATTGGAAGTGTACTCACCGGACTTGGAGTCAGCCCGCGAAAACTACATGGAATCTACGGAACTGTCAAGGCCTACTGCACCCGTGTTGGAGAAGGCCCATTCCCCACTGAGTTGGATATTTCTGTGGGAATTGGTCACCATTTGGCAACTGTTGGATGCGAAATTGGAACCACGACTGGAAGATCTAGACGATGTGGATGGCTGGATATTCCCCAACTGAAGTACTCTGTCGCAATCAACGGTTTCACTTCATTGAACCTGACTAAGGTTGATGTATTGACTGGGCTTCCCGACATCAAACTAGCTACAAAATACAAGTACAAAGGAGAATACCTCAGCACTATGCCTGCTAGCTTGTCGCAATTAAAAGATGTTGAGGTTGAATTCGAAACTTTGCCTGGTTGGACCGAAGATATCTCGCGATGCAAGTCCTTCGATCAACTGCCTGCGAATTGCCAAAACTACATTCTTCGAATCGAGCAGCTTGCTGGAGTTCCCATCAGATGGATTGGTGTTGGCCCCAATCGTCTGGATGTGGTCGATCGTGGTGAAGAATTTGAAAGTTTAGAGTAAATTTAGATTGCTCAGTTCAGATTTTTGTTAACACTAGCAAGTAACAGTTGCAAGGTAGACGGTTGGGGCGACCTGGTTGCTGTTTTCAAAAAATAGTTTCGTCACGCGCGTCGCGGGACAGGACAGATGTCACCAAAGTCGCAATTTCCGATTGAATGAATTAACAACAACTGGACAACAACTCAACAACAACAGCTTCAAGTCATTCAATCAGCTTCACTTTACGCTTCTACCCCAGTAGAAAATAGTTTTACGCCCCACCAAAGCGTCGACTGATGCATTCTCACCAACATTTTCCAGTTCGAGGTTCAAATCATAAGACACGCAAGGCTCCAATCCCACGTCCATGGTTAACTGACAGCAAAAGTAAAGAAACCGACTTGGACATACTTGGAGAGCCTCGATGGGAGTTTTCAATAAGCAAGCTTTCCACTTGCTGCTTCGGGAAGAAAACGGCCGAGGCAAGAAACTCGTTGCACACACCATTTCGATTAATTCGCCGGAACTCAAGTTGTTCCTTCCCCAGTTATGAACTCAATTCGGTATGATTGATTGATTTGTTTGATTTAGCATTTGATGAATTAATGCCAAGGTGGATTCTTACATTATTGTTGTTTCCCTTAAAGAGCGATGGGTCAGAATCGATGTCTGATTTCACAGACAGCGATGCAACTTCAGTTTCAATGTCACTTGCAGGAGACAAAAATCAGAAGCAAACCCCAGAATCACCGCCGTCAGCCACAACTGGTAGACCGCCAATTATAGGTACACGAAGCAAGTCTGTTGGACTCCCTCCTTTGAATCCAAATTCTAGCTTGGGAAATTCCCCAATTGCAACACCACGAAATCGATGTGACACTGCAGAGTTTACAAAGGCGTCAAACACTTCCAGCACAAGTCGCCATAGACGATTAGAACAATTTGAATTCTCACAGCAGTCTTTATCGAGTATCTGGAGCCACGAACCACACAATCCAAGGCCGACCACAACACCACCTGCAGAGGTCCACTTTCCCGATGGTGATGATTACCTGCAGTTTGGGAACAGCAGCTTTGCCAGTTCATTTGATGACGCTAGTGGATTTGAAGCGTGGAGTGTAGGGCATGATCCACCGATTGGTCCTTCTGTGCACATTTCAGATCTTCGACCTGTTATTGACGAGGCTAAAAAAAATCCAGCAGCGAGACCCCCGAGACCCGATCGGCCACGACGGACAAAAGGAGGACGAAAGAAAAAGTTGAAGCCTGAAATGTCAATGCCCATGTATCTACGAAAGAGAGCATCGCTGGACGAAAAAGTTACTGGAAACTTGGTCATATCTGGTTGGGTAGCAGCATCGCTATATGATGACGCTCTAGATGAGCGATTGGCCGAACCATCGTCCAAAATGACACTAGGTGATATGTTCTACATGCAGATCATGGAAGCCACGACAACGGCCTACATTGATCTTTATGATCCAAGTGGAATCTTGGCTCACCATTTGGTGCTGAAAAAAGATTGGGGCTGTAGTTCCAGAGAGGTCACTAGTCGCATTGGGAAAATGGTTTTTATCCAGTCGCCAATCCTTTCAATCGTTCGGCTTCTTCCGATATCATTGGAAGATGCATTTTTCAATGGCGAGAATTTGATATCGTCCAAAGAGTTTTCGCGAGCACAGAGTATGCTCTTTGTCAGTGGAGCAGGCAAGGTTTACGCACCGGACGAACAGCATGATGCAGCCACCTTCATTCTGTTTACTCTGGATGCCCTTGTCAAACAATTCGGAATATAGAGCCTGAAACTTCAGGCTAGTAGAAATGATAATTTAGACAAACACACAATTTACAACACATTTTAGATCTAGATTTGCGGGGAAGAAGCCACTGATGCGCCGCCACGAACTTCCTTCTCGTCATTGATTATACCTTGACCCTTCAAAAACTTCATTTGCCGCTGTCTTTGAAGTGCTTGTCGCTCGGCCAAACTCAAACCCTTGTTTGATTTGACTGCAGTTGCTACACTCGGTTGGCCGCCATCACTTGTTTTCTTTTCTTCAGGATAAGAGCCGACAGACCCGTCATCTGATTGTGATTGAAAGGATGGCTCCTCATCCCCAAACATGACATTGTCCAGCCCGTCTTCTAACCGTCTTCCAAGCTTAGACAAGAAACTCCCAGTTGCTGACTGGTTCGAGGATGGAGGTCGTTGAGGCGATTCTTTTCGGACTGAATTCCCACGCGTTGGAGTGCCAACACTAGTTTGGCTTTGGTTTAATCGGACTCGAACTGGAGTGGAACCCCTCGTTTCTGCTTCCATTCTCGCTCGTTGCGCCACACTCAACTTTGAGCCAGTACTTGTAACAGAGCGTTCTGAGTTGACTCTTGTCATGGCGGGCTTGGGTATATCACTGCGTGACACCGCTGACGGTCTGCGATTCTGTGGTTGTACAGAACCAATTGTTTCCAACTTGGGAGCTGTATTTTCCTCTCCTGGACCCGGATCATCAGAGACTCCAATCACGGTAGGTGGACCATTAGGATGAGCTTGGTAGCTAGGCGGTGGAGGTGATTGGAAGTTATGCTGAGACGGGAGCTGACTGCGTGGAGAAGCAACATGCATAGCGCGCAATGCAGCCTGCTGCTGTAGCATCAAAACGGCATCAAATTGTCGTTGGGTGCGATCTTCGGTCAGTTCTGACATGTGTGATTTGTTGTCATCGTCATCATTTGTCTTGGCGCGACCTCTTGATTGGCTTCGCTTGTTGGTGTTGGAATAAGGCATTCGGTATCCGCCTTGCTCTCGGCTTTCGAAATCGTCATCGTCCTGTTGCACGGACGAAGGAGTGTTGACAATCAAGTTGTTGTAGGGTGTAGTACCGGGACGCCCCATCTGGCTCGGTGGTGATGTGGGTCCCATTGCAAACTCTCCATCTTGGTTGAATGCCACACTTCCTCCTGCATACACACTTCCTCCTGCATACACACTTCCTGCCTGCGACATCATTTCCATCATATTTTGTTGAACCTTTACTTGAGATTCAACCTTCTCGACATACCGCTCCAACAATTTCGCCTTTTGCCGTTCTTGCTCTACTTCCAACTTGGCACCATTTTCTTTGTGTTTGTATAGATCCAATTCACTGTGTGCTTCTTCAATTTTCTTTCGGAGTTCAATAACTTCCTTCTTCAAAATCTTCTTGTGTGTTTGCAACTCTGTAACCTTCGTTCTAGTCGACGACTGGAACATTGTAACTTCCATCTTTTGTGAAGCGAGCTCTTTTTGAACGTCTTGGCATTCCTTTTGTGATTGAATGTACTTGGCCTGAAGTGTGTCCACTTGAGTTTGGTAGCTGGATTGTTGGAGCTTCATTTCGCTCTTGAGCTGTTCCAACTCTTTCTCAAGTTGTTCTACCTTACTTTGGTCCCCCTCTTGTTTCTGCTCCATTTTCCTCTCGAGTTGGTTAACACTGTCGGCATTTTCTCGGACATCCCCTTCCAAGACTCTGGTATAATCACACACCAACTGCACAGCAGCCTGCAATCCTAGATCCTGCCCCTTAATTGTTTCGAGATCACTTCGATAAGTCTTCTTTGCTGGAATGGAGTTTTCACTGCGATCCATCAAATCTTGAATTAATCGCAAGCAGTTTCTACGGGTCTCCTCCATTTGTGATCGCACCCGATACATGTCATCCTGGTGGCCTTCAGCTCTCTTGTGGACATTGTCCAACTCGGAATGAAGCTCCTGCAATTGTTGGGCAAAACCATCACAAACTTGTCGGTAAGCTTCTTTTTCATCCAAAAGAGCAGAATGGCGTTGACCCAACAATGCCTGTGTCCATTGTTCCCCTTCATTTTGGCCGTTTGCACAAAAGTAAAAGCTTCTCAAATCTGGATTGACAGTATCGTCCCCGGCCAACTCCAGCAAGTTATTGTTTTGAGAATTGCGATGGACGGTTGTGTAACACTCCAAATCAATAATTCCAGCTGGCTGAAGCATCGATGGGGTTCCGTCTTGGTTCTCCTCAGGTTGGTTCTGGTTTCCAGTGGTTCCCGATCCCAAGACATGATACAGCGAGGATCTCGGTTGTTGTTGCTTGAGGGCTCCACGCTTTCCATAACCTTGTCGAACAGCCTTATTCAAGTGTTCTTGTTGCTTTGGTGATAGATTTGGCGGTAAGTCGCTCGTGGACGAAGGATGGGCATCGAAATAGTACAGGAATGTATGAGGGACTACGCAACAGTATCTTGGTTGCCAAACATGTTGTTCATTACGTTTCAATAGCCATCCACTCTTAACGGACAGTAGACCCAGCACATCTGGTGTCCTGGGGGGAGCTGATTTGATGGTGCATGTTGTGTTGAGATTGCTGAACCATAGACTGTTGGTAAGGCTCGTCTTTTGTAGGACTGCTCGTTTGGCATCTTCGCTGACTTGACTTATTTGACCTGAAAGGCCTTGTTTGGTGGCCATGTTAACAATTTAATCTTGTGTGACAAGATGTCTATTGTTCTTGTGGTTGCTGTCTTTGTATTGATTGTTTCTTTCCAGCTCCAAAGCTTCTATAGAAGACTTCTATAGAAGACCCTTCTGACAACTGATCAAAATAGAACGAAAATCGATCGCATTCATTCGTCGTTCATGCTTCATTCGACTCACTCACCCAAAAATCGACGCCAACCTATTGTTCAAGTCGGCCGGGCTTGTACTCGTGTAACGGAGAAGCCAATGCAAGAGCGCCAGACCGCATATGAACGTTAGTGTGGCTCGCGTTTAGTCTGAGGGGCAATTCCCCTTTTTGAATGTTAAAGGGGGCGAAAAAAGATGAGACTGCAACGAAGCACTTTGAACTTGACCCTAGCTAGTATCATATATCGAATCAACCGAGGAGGTGCCGGAGAAGGAGCATGAGAAATAATCTTGTCTTGGTAGCATTATGTTCAATAATCAAAACGACAAATGGTTTTGCAGACAATCTAGTCGTGACAGCGATAGGATGCATGACAGGTAAGCCTTGTTCGTTGGAGTGTCATGAACGAATGAATGAATGAATCATCATTGAACACGTATCCAACAATGCTCATTCATTCTTTCTTCACTCTAGAATTGGATACTACGGAAATCATTATGAACAACGAAGTCAAACCACCAGAAGAATCAGATTTTCCTCGAATGCACTTGGCAGTACAAGTAGGCGATAATCACATTGAATCTCCCTTTCATTATTCCAGCAACGAATTGACAATTGCCTTTGTCAACCCATACACCAAGGATGAATTTCATGATGATTTACAGTTTGTCATGGAAGTGGAGGGGCCAGCAGAGTTTGTCGATGGTGGAGCGATTGGATGCGATGGAAACAAACGGCTATCTGCCCGCATGCAGGATGCCAGCCATGGGGTGCAATTGAAGGTCAACGACATGACTTCCACCTTGCGATTATGGGCTGGATGGGCAACCGGGCAGGAATCAGTGCGACTGACGGAGAATTTAATGTTGGAGCCGCATCACACGCCAACTGGAGGATCAGCCGAACAACAACAACAACAACAACAACGAGACTTGAAGGACGAAGTAGTAGCAGAAGAGGGGAATTCAGAACCCGGCAATCATCTACCAAACGGTGAAGCACCAGATGATCTAGCTGCTGGGAATGGATTGGAAAACTCCGAGCCTGAAAACCCAGTATTCAATGAGGAGGAAGCAGCCAATGAGGAAGAAACAAATCGCGAAATCCCAAATAAGGATCCATCTGGTAAACTGGACAAAATTCAACAAATAAAGGAACAAATAAAACGGTTCCAAGACAATCCAGAGGACTCTTTACAAAAGGGGGATGAAAGCTATCGTGAAGAAGACAACGCATCAGGTTCGGAGAAAAAGAAGGCCTTTCACTTGGATGAGATAAAGGAAATCATGAGAAAAACACACTCGCATCCTGTTCATCATGCGATGCATCTTCATAAGAAAGTGAGTGACATTGGGAAGAAAATCCATGACAAATATCTGTACGATGAAGAAAAACAACAATCCTTCCGTCAACAATACGAATCTGATGAATTTGCTGGTCGATTAGATACCCAGCGCCACATCTTTGGATCCATTTTCTTCCTGGCTACCATGGGATATATCCTTGTCACGTACACACGAAGACGAGGGACGAAGGGAAGACGCGATCTGTAGTTTACAAACAAGCTACTATAGAGAAGACTGCTGAAGGTATACAAGGTTAGCTTAGTCTTGCTTCTTTGTTGATTTCTTGGCTGGTCTGGAAAGATATCTCGCCACAAAAAACTGTAGGAAGAGTAGCAAGTAGCTTCCGTACATGACCAAGGCAGCAACGTTGTTTTCAGATTTCAATGCACATTCTTTCTCAAACTTGGGGGCCAAGATGAATCCTAGAATTGTCACTGCCACACCCACCACCATTTGTGAAATTTGAGAAACAGTAATCCACATACTATTGAACCATTTGGGCTTCATCTTAACCGCCATCAAGAAGTAGTAAAAGTACATTATTGCATGAACAGCGTAGTTCATTGTGGAAAAGAAGATTCCGCCTGGAGCCTTTGTCGTGTATGCATGCCAGCAATATAGGAGTACCGATATGTGATGGTACCAGTGCAAGAAGATCAAAGGCTTCTTGTGAATAACAATGAAGAAAGTATCGAGAAGCTCACTGACCGATACATGTGAGTACAAAATCTGGTGGAAAGGGACAATAAAAGACCCCACGGCTGGCAAGGACTTACGGAAACTTGCTCAAGCAGAACATCTGTACCCAGAAACCAGTTGCACCCGATCCGTACTGCGATTCAGGGTCATGGCACAGGTTTTCTGTCAGTGTGTAGTTGAGCAAATTGTGCATCAGTTGGGGAAATGTCCGTAGGAATCCAATAGTCGAAAAGACCGACAATCCCAAGTTCCACATTGCCATGCTGCGACGCCAATTCCAAGCTGGACGACTTTCAAAATACTTCTTGCCACCAATGATGCCAACAGCATACAGTACAATCCCCACCATGGGGATCCATGGATTGTCGGACATTTTGTCACGAAGCGAAACAGGATCATAGTTTATTTCGAAGCTAAAGCGAAGAGAAGTTGTAGAGCAGATGAGTAATCACAAACTCGGACTTTTCAAGAACCGATTCGAGAGCATCTCTCGTCAATGATAGTACTCACGCAAAGTAGGTCTTTCCCAGCGTATTCGGATAGAGACACGGAATGTTTTCAAAAGCAAATCCAGCATCATTATGACTCACACATGACTCACCAGCAAGTGAAGGATACCAAGACATGGCACAGTGTTAGCAACCTGTCCACAACTTTTAAATTTTCGGTTTTGAGTTTGTCATTTTCATTTTTTTCGATCGCATTTGGTCAGTCTGTCGGTCGGTCCGGATCGAAGCAACCGGCGGGTGAAGGACCGACGTTGCAGTTGAACTTTGGATTGGACACGTGAAAGGATCGGAGAGAAAATCATCTTTCCTGAATCACAAGTCACATTGCAATCGTTGCTTGGATAGAATCAAATTACTTTATCGTGGTGACCATTCGACAAACAACAATGTTCGGAAAATATAGCTCAATCGTGATCCTTGGCGCTCTCTTGGTGGCCCAAATCAATGCTTTTTCTTTGGATATGTCGGCTGGAAAAACCGCCGTCATCGCTGGTGCAACTGGGTACATTGGAAAGTCGACAGTTAGAGAAAGTGTTAGACAAGGATACAAGACAATTGCCCTTGTTCGCGACAAGAGCAAGGTTGAGTCTAAGGAAGGCAAAATGTTGTACGGACAGTTCTTTGAGGGTGCCGATATTGTGGAGTGTGATGTGACGAACCCAGCTCAGTTGACCAAGGTATGGTTTCAAAGGCGTTGGACATGAATTCATGGAGGCTTCTGTTTTGAAAGTGACAATATTCTGATGCTTGTGGTTTTAATGTGATGTTCTACACTTAGACTTTTGAAGAAATCAAAGCCCAAAATGGTGACATCGAGGCCGTCATCTCTTGCCTGGCCTCCAGATCTGGAATTAAGAAGGATGCTTATGCCATTGACTACCAAGCCACCAAAAACTGTTTGGACTCTGGTATTGCTACTGATGCTCGTCACTTTGTGCTGTTGAGTGCCTTTTGCGTCAAGAATCCTTGGTTGCAATTCCAACAAGCCAAGCTCAAACTTGAGGCTGATCTTCAGGCACAAGAAAAGATGACTTACAGCATCGTTCGACCGACCGCTTTCTTCAAGTCTGTTTCCGGTCAATTAGAAGTTATTCAACAAGGGGCTCCTTTTGTAATGTTCGGCGATGGAGAAGTCACCAGATGTAACCCAATTGCTGAGTCTGAATTGGCAGAATACTTGATTAATTGCATTGCTGATAAGACAAAGGAGAACGAGATCTTGAACCTTGGAGGCCCAGACGAGCCATTGACCATGAAGAAGCAAGGAGAGGTAAGCTGATTTACAGTGTTGTGGTATTGTTGATTGATATTGGCGATACCGTCGCTGACATTGAATATTTGAATACTATTCGCAGATGCTTTATAAGGCTGTCGGAAAGGAACCAAACTTCTTCTTTGCCCCACTTTGGCTCTTTGACACCATCATTGATAGTTTGCAATGGGCGGCTGATACTTTCAACAGTGAAAAGTTGGAGAATGCTGCCGAGCTTGGTAGAATCGGAAAGTACTATGCCGTGGAAGATATGTTGACAACTGATCCTTCAGAGAAGTTCGGAAAGATCAGCCTCCAAGAGCACTACGACCGCATCGCTGTTGAAGGACAAGAGTACGATCCTTACACCACAATGTAAGTTGCAATGACAGGATTTTGATTAACGATGATTGGAACATTTTACTAACTACTGCTCGTCGTTTCTTCTTGTTGTAGGTTTGCCAAGGCACCAACTTCGGATTAATCTTGATGCATAAAAAATCAAAGTTTTAAGGCAGGAGTGGAAAGTTTACAAGAGATAAAGCATTAACAATGTTTGTAATTTTATGAAAGTTACCTGTAGGTAGCTCAATTCAGTTCTATCAACTTTTCTCAATTTTGGCATGACTCATTTCTCAAGTGACGACGGTTTCTCATCAATATTGAGCTGTAATTTTTTCTTATAGAAACATAGACTGCAAATAACAAAGCTAGGTGAAATTTGTGCGTTTAGAGTAGGTACAGTGAATGTAAAAGTTTGATTTCTATATGGGTTTTTAGGTGTTACGCAATATAATGTACAGCGGCAGTTCTCAACACTTAGAATTGGTTAGGATCGGGAAGGTTGGTAAGTACGACTCCGGCAATAACAGCGAAGACGGCAAGGCCTCCTCCAGCAATCAAAGCAGATGCAGTCTTCTCTTCACTGCTCTTTGAGGCAACTTCCATTTTTGGTTCGATAGCCCAGACATTGGACTTTCCATCTTGGTCAACAGAAACACCTCGCTCGACAGATGGTGTAGCTGGATCTTCCTCAGCGAAGATAGCCGTTCTGGAAAACACAGAAGCTTGTGTAGCAGGGGCTGTGTTGGTAGAACAAATGGGAAACAGATGTATGTGAGTTGTCGTTGGTCGGAAAAAGAGCACGACAGATTATGTCCGTAGGCTTGCAAAGACTTACCGAAAGCAGTAGACAAGCTCAAGACTTGGAAGAGGGCAATAGCGAGAAGGAAGAAACGGTTCATTTTGATGTTACGAGTAGTTCGATGAAATTTTATGATTGTGTTGCAGCTGTCACGATTAGTTGTTGACGATCAGTGATCGCTTACACTCGATTGACCAGATCATTGCAGGCAGGTCATGCCACGTACTCGTGAACGTCACATGCCAATCAATGCAACTTCTGGAAACACTATAAAACGCTAAGTAATTCCCAAGAGACTAAATCAGGCCTTATTGCGATCCAGCATGACTTTCGACTTTGGTCCGAGCAAAGACAAAAACGAAGAACAGTGTCACTTACGAGGGCAATAAAATGGACAATGCAGAGACAGATCCTTGCGTTTCCATAAACAGTGATGGGATTGCATACCGCGAATTCAGCTGTGACTACCCACAGCTCGAACCTTTCTACTTGAAGTGAGTTCAAGCAACAGTTTTTGTTATGATGGCCAATCGGTTTGAGTTCTCCATATCATTGCATTTGCATTTCAGACTGCAGCAGCATATTTATTGATGAAATCTAACGTATATTTGCTCTTTCAACTTTCTGCAGTTTTGAAAAGAAATATGACCCTATTCCGGTGTTGAGATGGATGAGCGAACATCCAATGATTCCAGTTGCAGCAGTTGTGATTTACGGGTTCTTGATTGTTTGGGGGCAACATGTTATGAAGAAAAGACCCGCATGGAATTGGAGAAACGCAATGGCAGTCTGGAATCTTAGTCTTAGTATCTTTTCTTGGATTGGAATGTTCCGAACGGCACCTCAATTGGCGAGTAACTTGTACCACCTACCGCTAAGAGACAATCTTTGTGAAGATCCTAGAGAAACATACGGATCGGGGTCATCTGGTCTCTGGGTACAGCTGTTCATTCTGAGTAAATTTCCGTACGTACACAATAGTCAATGTAGCTTTCGAGAATGATATCAAGCCATCTAACAGAGCCTGTCACAGTGAACTTGTTGACACCTTTTTTATTGTCATTCACAAGAAACCGCTGATCTTCCTGCATTGGTACCATCACATTACGGTTCTGCTTTACTGCTGGCATTCTTATGTGACAAAATCTCCTCCTGGAATATTTTTTGTTGTCATGAACTACAGTGTGCACGCAACGATGTATGGGTACTACTTTTTGATGGCCATGAAGTTGCGGCCAAAATGGTTCAACCCCATGATCATCACGACCTTTCAGATTTCGCAAATGGTGGTTGGAGTTGTCGTCACCATGTTGGGATTCTACTATTACACAACAGATCCAACTTGCAAAATTGAAAGGGAAAACAACACAGCTGCTTTCGTGATGTATGGAAGCTATTTATTCCTATTTCTACAGTTCTTTGTTGGCCGTTACTTCAAGCCCAAGGCACAAAAGCAAAAATCAGTATAGATCAATTGTACATTTAGATGTCCTAATTTGTTGGATACAACCGAGCTATTCTACTGTAGCCCTCAATTCTGTGAAGTCTCCTGCAAGTTGGAAGTACAGACAGTGACATGGTAGGCACAAAGAGATGAGAGACCTGTTTTTCTTCCATGGACGGTTTGTCCGTCGGTTGTCCTTCCGAGTTTGCGTCGCACCACGTATTTCTAGTACTTTTCAAACAAGATTGCCGAATTTACATACCAATTAGGACAAATTCGTCAAGTTGAGACAAAGTCTTCATAAGTAGAAGAGCTAAGAATATCGATGTCGTCAATTTTTCGAGGGCACCTTTTGTGACAAGCACGACAAAGATCAGTGTTCTCCGACCCATCAGAAAACAGCAACAACACCGTCTATCAAGACCAAGGAACAGGTAACCATGGGCGAGAAAATGGATAGAGGAACGGACCTGATGAAGGGGATGTTATCAGAATGCCAAAAGATGGAAATTCGGCATGCCAGACGGGGATGGTGCCAGGAATGCATTTGCTGCATAACCAAATCAGATTTCAAGTATTACGACACTACATTGAATGATGACCCAGAGAATAACAGTAACAAGCACAAGGTTGCCGTGTCAAAGGAAGAATTCAATTTCTGCTGCCGCTGCTGCATTGGCCCTTGCCATAGCTTTGATATGACTGTCAAGGCACCAAGTCTACCTGAAAATCAGAATCCTGAAATTATCGAAGTCAATCGCCCGTGCCGTTTACCAATGTGCACCTGCAAGTGCTGCTGCTACCAGGAAGCAACTGTTTTCAGTGGTGATGATGATTTGGGAGAAGTTCGAGAAGCATTTTGGTGCTGGTAAGTAGAAGATGGTTCGATATGCATGATGGCAGGTGTTGGATTTTTCTCACTGTATGATCCTCTTATTTCAATAGCATTCCTAAATTCAAAGTGTACGATCATGATGATAAGACAGTCTACATCATCAAACCTCCAACTTGCTGCGGCGGTATGTGCATTGATTGCTGCACCGAAGGCGCACCTTGCCCTCATGGCTGTTTGATGCTCCCATGGAGAGTGTACAGCGCCGATGCTTCGCGTACAAATGGTGATGCCCCTTACGTTGGAAAGATGCTAAAGATTCCAAAGGCAACTTTCCGTGATACATTCAATGAGACCAGTTACGTTGAATTGCAGTTCCCCGATGATGCTGATGCAAAGAAGAAGGGCCTCTTGCTTGGAGCATACCTTCTTATCAACGCCCTCTTCTTTGAGCACTCCGAGTAGGATATTTGCCTTTATAATCGTTAGAATGTACTGTATATCTATTGATGTATTGGTGTAGTGACATCTTGTAATCTTGTAGCTAGCACGCAGCGCCTGACGTTAAGCAAGGCTGCCTAGCGTATTCATCTCTTCTGGTGTGAGCTCAAAGTCAAAGATATCAAGGTCTTCCTTGAAGTGCTCCACCTTTTTGCTTTGAGTGTTAAATGATGCGCCGCTTTGCACAATCCATCGCAAAGCAACTTGTGCAAAGCTCTTGTTGTACTTTTTGCCGATTTGAGCACAAGCCCCCTTCTTACTAGAATCAAATTTACCACCCAAGGATCCACCAAGTGGTGCCCAAGCCTGTACAAGCACTCCTCGCTTATTGTTTTCTTCGACTGAGTTACCAGGGTGGTATGCAACGGAATAGGGCAACTGGTTGACAACTGGAGCTACACTGCACTTTTCAAGGACACAATCCAATTGCTTTGAGTTGAAGTTGGAAACGGCAAGTGTCTTCGTCAAGCCTTGCTTATGCATCTCCTCAAAGGCTGCCCATTGTCCCAGCACCGATTCACAGTCCGGTCCAGGATAGTCCAACATTATTTGATCTAGATAGTCAATGTTTCCAACGCCAAATGCATCCATATTTTTCTTCCAGCCTGTTGTTGTGTCTCTTTTCGCGTTGGCAAAGCCAGATGCACGGTTCGACACAACACTACCGCAGATGAACAAATCTTTCCTTGGGATCCCAGAATCCTTGACAGCCTTGGCAAAACCACGTTGGTTTCCTGCCAAAACAGATGCAAAGAAGTTCCTGTATCCTGTCTCCAGAGCTGTCATTGTCAGCTTGTACGCTGTATCATCGCTGTAAATTTGGAGCCCAAATGAAGCTAGTGGAAACTTGGTTCCATCTGACAAGGTCGCGATAGGTGAAATGTTGGCGGTGGCTAGTGCTGGGCCTGGTGGAACCAACAGAGTAGCTCCACCCAGGGCTACTGCTTGTTGAAGTACCGATCTACGATCAACATTTTGGTTGTTGAGTGAAGAACACGCTGAAAGAATCAGAAGGCAGATTGATAATTGGATCCAACGTGACAACATGATGATTTTGTAGAAGAGTGTGATGGGTTGAGACAGATTCAAGATTGATTCATTCATTCATTCGTCAGTATTCAGTACTTATAGAGTCTTAATCGAAATACTTTGACCTATCCGACTACAAAAACATTCCTCAACAATAATCCAATGCGAGGCCCGACTCAAACAAAGAATGAAAATGATGAACACTCATGGGATAGAATCCTCTTCAAATGATTCTTCAAATGGTTTTATAGCCCCTAGAAACAGATTGTCTCAAAATAGCGGAGAATCCATTGCTGAAATGAAGCCGAAAACCAGCGCATTGAACAAAGCAACAAACGAGAATGGAGAGGCTTCCGATGCACTGCACGAAGATTCGGAGTTTCACCAGGTGATTGAGGAGGGAACCGAGGCTGTTGTGCAAGCTGCAATTCACAATGAACAGTCGGATAGCATGTTTTTGGCGTCAGAAGATGATGATTCCGAGGGATCAGAAGCAAGCGAACCTCTTCATAAGAATTTTGAAAGGAAAAATACAGAGCAATATATGGAAGAAGCTTCCTTTGAAGCAGCAATGGTCGATGCAAATTCAAATAATAAGCATTATTTACGTCCTAGTGGAGATGACTATCTATCCCCTGGTGAACTTGTTGATATGCAGTCAAGTTCAAGCTTGAATGGCGCTCGAGGCAGCAAGCGTAATGATGTTGCCCATATCAGAAGTCGATCCGAAATATCGACGAGACTCTTCAAGGACCCTAGTTTCCAGGAAGACAGTCAACAAGCCTCAAACGACACAACTCCCACTATCCAATCAGCAGAAACCAGCAATCTACAAGACAACAATCACAGAGGCAATGCCAAGGACTTGAAGGCATTTCTCAAATCTAACGGAATTGAACTCTCCGATGTATCGAATGGCCATTCAGAAGATGCACTGATTTTGCATGCCATTTTTCGCGGCTTTTGTTCCCCAGCTCTTGATTTGGATTGTATAGAAAGTATTATCGATATGGAGAACGGAAAATCAAAGAGCCCGGTCGACTTCCCTACAGATATTGTCATTGAGAATCCATCGGCAGTACTGTATCAACTGCTCGGACTCCCACTGTTTGATCTTCCGAGCTATTTTTCACTTAGTCTGCTGAGAATATTACTACGATTGCTGACAAATGATACAGACGAAGAATATGATTATGAGGTCTTGGCGTCTTGTCCTTGGTTGGAGGATCTGGATAGGTCGTCGATTGTTGGAAACGAGCGGGCTGCTTTTGCCCGTGATCGGACTTCGTCTGTGACTTCTCTCAAGGACCAACCTTTGGTGTTAGTAAAGTCACCTCAGCGCGATGATGAAGGCCAGGTTGCCAATAGGCTCTATACCATTGTGAGATTTCGAAGAAATTGGGATGCAGCTGTGAGTGGACTGCTCTATTTGATTGAAGAGATCATGAAATCTCCGCAGCAAAAGTATTTGGAAGGTCCAATTGTTCGGCTGCTGGGGATTCTATGCACTGCAAGTGTAAAAGTAAATGAGCTGCGGAGGATCTTGGCTCTAATTAGCTCCAGCGAAAGCTCGCCACAACTGCAACTGCTGCTAACGAGAGCATTGCGAACAGCTGCAGCTGGAGCATCAAGATCGTCACTTCTCGCTGGAAAAGCAAGTCCAAGAAGCTTTTTCTCCTTTGTTTCGGGTTCAGGAATCAAGCGTACCATTCATCTCGAAAACTCACCATGGCCATTTCGAAACGATTTCAGTATGGCTGTGTGGTTCCGAGCAGAACGCTTTTCGCATTCGTCGACACTTCTTCGAGTATGCGATCAATCAGAAAATGGAATGGAAATATCAATTCTTCCATTTGAGAAAAGCTCTTCAGAATCGCCAATAGCCACAGTTCTAGCAGTATCAGTTTTACAAGGCGGGAAGGTAGCGAAGCGTGTCAAGGTGCAAAAGTGCATATTGCATGCGAGGGTATGGTATCATGTCGCAGTCCGACACAGAAGGTCGGGTTTGAAAGGTGTCTTTTCTCTGTCTTCGCGAGAACAGTTATCGGTAATCTTGGATGGCAAATTGATGCTTTCTGAACCGCTAAAGTTTCCGTCGATTCCAGACCCATTGAAGTCCTTGACTGTGTCATTCGGTCAAAACTTCGACGGTCAAACAGGGAGCTTGTACATTTTCCACGATAATGTATCAGAGGCTACGTTTAAAGCTTTGTATGAGACAACTGCCGGAACAGTTCATAAGAGGCAGTCTGTTCCAAGCGAGTGGGATTCACGTCGAGGGGATATCGTGAAAAAGAGTAGAGCTTTGGACCTAAACATGAAGCGGGATGATATCGATGACATTGTATTGAGTCAGCGAACTAGCGGAAGGGGGACAGCGACAAATCCCACAGTTGTTGACCTGGAAGAAGAAGAGAATACTCCTCTGTCCAAGACAGCATTCAACTCAAGGCTTTTTATTGTGTGGGATCCGAACCGGATTGAAAATGACGTCGCACTCGAACTTCACGGGGGCGCCCACGCTCGAATAGATGTGGACAATGTCTACCACTGGACAGTTGAAGGTGCACAAGATATCGTCGGTAGCATTGGTGGTTTACAAGCACTACTCCCAGCGTGTCGGTCATTGCTTTCCGGAAAAGCCGAAAATATGTGGGAGTCGTTTGACAAGAAAGCAGAAAATTCCATCTCTCGACTCTTCTCAAATGCTGTTTTATGTTCGATTATTCCTGATATGATCCTGCTTCTTTCATCATTCGTCCGCGATCACAATGAAAGCGCCCGAGAAATGCTGCGATGTGGAGGCATTGATATCATTGAGCAGCTGCTGCAAAGAAACAAAATGAAGGGGAAAGGCAAAGCATTGCTCCCGGCAAATTCACTTGTGACATCTATTTCAGTCTTCCCAAAACTGTCACAACGCTTGGCCAATGCATTGCTTGAGCTCCACTCCTCTTGTTCCCATTACGTTGGCTTGGAAACGAAAGTGTTCTCTCGTATCTTGTTTAATTCCACCCTTTGGTTTGGTGGAAACGAACCGGGCATCTGGCTATACACAGCATTGCTCCCAATTTTGTCAGCCACCACAGTGAAGAATCCAGAGAAGGTTCGTGACTGCGTTGGAATCAAGGATCTAATTCTATGCATAAAGGAAACAATAGAATCGGAGGTAAGTTCAACTGATTGATACAGATGTGTTAGCGGAATCGAGCTAACATCCACTCTTATTCACGAAAGAACGAGCCAGATATTCCTCGAAACCTTTTCCTATTTCAAAGAGAATTCAAAACCCTGGATGGGATACCGACATATTTGTCCAAGGAAGAACGCCGACGTGTAGTTGATGTCTATCTAGCCATGATATTTGCGATCCTCGCAGTCGGAACGGATGTTGACGGATTTTCTCAATTTATACATATGATATCTGACTGTCTTGAGTATGAATGGGGCAAAGCTTCTCAAGAACAACAAATGATGCAAGATGGGGGCAAAATACAGAGAACAGGAGTTCGAAAAGAGCGCTATATTTTTGTCTGTAAAGCAACCGTAGTACTGCTGTTATTGCTTCAGACGAGTCCGAGCGTACCCGGTATCTACGAAAGTTTCGCTGCTACATGTGGCAGTGTCCAGGATGGAGCAGCTTGGATATTGTCGGCGGTTGTAAATTCATTCAGTGACGAGATCCGATCAATCGGCGTTCGACTTTTGGTCACATACGTCGACCGAACGTCCAAGAGCCCAGATCTCCCTTTGGCACTGGAAAAGCCAATTGCTCTTGACTCAGACAAATCGCAAAAGGCACTGGACAGCCGAGCTTCGATTCAGGGCAACACGTTGAGCATAATATCCAATGTTGGCCAAGGACTCCTAAATACCAATGTCGGAAAGGGGCTCGCGGCCTCGGTGCGATCGAGACTCCTATCGCCAACAAAGTTGACAGCTCGAGTTGTTTACAAGGTGTGTACGAATAAAGGCTGCAAACTGCATGTATTTTTGGATTTATACTCACTTTGCAACTTTAAACAAGCTTCTTTGGCATCTTCTGAAATCTCATAGGCACAGAATGGGTAAATCAACACAAGCTGGGCTCATCAGCATGGTCTTCACTCGAGAGGAAGAAGCCAAGCAATTGTCAATTGACTCTCTAATGGAGAATTTTCTTGCCGCTGATGATTTTCTTGGCGGAGTACGGATTGAAGTGGAATGGATTCGCATGGTACTAGAGGATTCTGTTGGGCTCGATTGCGCGTCTTTTCGAAACCCGCTGGGTACGAGCGCAATACTGCGTCTACTTCGCTTTTTACCGGGGAATCTTCAGGATGAATGGCTTGTCAACCTCTACAAAGTATCGTCTCAGAAAAGGGCTGCACTTGAAGCGTTATCATCCAGCGCTGACTGGCAGTCCTGCATATTCCAATTCTTGTCTGAGCTGGTTGAAAGAATATCAAATATTGGGATGAGCTTGGCAGCACAGACTGAAGGGAGTGACATAGAGGAGATGCAAATTGAATTAGCTCATCAAGAGATGCAAGTCTTGGAAAACCGCCTTGATATTACTTTGGAACTCTATGCCTCCTTGCTTGGGCATTTGTTACGAGAAGGGGGTGAGCAGGTAAGATCAATTTTGCCAACATACAGTTTTTGTATTTTACAACACAAAAATCCTAAGTCGTGTGTCATAGGCGTCTATAGCAGTTGAGGATGCGGCATCTTTGCAGAGGGTATGTCTGAATGGGCAAGAAGTGTTCACTCTAATTCTGAGCCGAGTGTATGCAAACTTGTCAACTTTTGGGGTTGTGTCAATAGACCGATCAACAAATGCTGCCCATAGCCAAGAATCGTCCGAAGGCCAAATTTCAATGCTCAAAAGAAGTGCTAGGCTTGTCACAGATACGATTTTGTCGAATGGGAGTAAAGGTATTGCAATGCCTGCTGCTGTCGGCTGCTGGCGTAGTCTACGTCATATTACCGCTGTGACGGTTGCAGTGATTACAAGGTTAGGGTACGTTTCCACTTGAGGGGATGTCGACGTTAAAGGAAATTGTATGCTTAAATGTCTTTTATTTGGGCACAGATTCGGCGTAGCGGACCAACTTGATCCCCAAAATGCATGTACGTCTACTGTTGATGCAGTTTCAGGTGGTTTGTATGGCATTCGGTTACGTGAAGGGCCAGATGACTGGGTGTCGTCGAGTGATCTTCGTGAATTCTACGAGAAGTCCGACTTGGTTGTTTCCAGCGCAAACGGCAATGATGAGAAAGGCTTGGATGCGGCACGGGATCACGACCTTCATCGCCGGATATGTCTATCGATATCTGAACAGCTCCTTTCTTTACTGGATGTGTTCATCTTCCCAGATTCATTAGACGCTTCTCTGCCAGCGTCACAACTACATGGACTTGCCCTTGTGAGGAGTACAGAAACGAGAATTGGAAGCTCACAGGGCCCACTGCTTACATCCTTGATCAGACTTTCATTGTTGCTTCTTGGCCAGTTGGAGCCGTGCAGTGTCAAGCTTCTTCAATGTTCAAGTCGACTTCGCTGTTTTCTTCACTGGATATTTGAGCTAATCCGAGAAGCCGAATCTTTAGAGGGGTACTCTGCTGCTTTCAACAAACTCACAGCTCCATTTGATAGAATGATTCTTGCAATCCTTCTCCAATGTCACAGAACACTTGGTCGTTGTGGAGCCCTTCTTCGCGAGATTGAATCTGCGCCATTTGATAAACACTTCGACAGCAAAGACTCTCAGCGGAAGTCGCACCGTCGTCTGCTAAGAGTCAGTCTAGAACTCCGCGACATTTTGGTGGCCATTGTTGAGCGCCGGTCTGAGGTACTGAAAGCTTCTCTGTCCACTGAAGCATTCGAAGCAATAAAAAAGAGTCTCGAGATTTCGCCATCCCAATCAAGCACCGCGAGTGGGAAAACTGGATCATCCCAAAAGGAATTGCTTGTTCGCAATCTCTTGCTTAGTGACTGGGTAGAAGGGTTTCAAGGTGTCCATGTCAGTGAGGGTGGTGGCATTCCTCTGCCCGAACAACTTCGGCAGCCTTCTCACGTCACTCCAGATAATGACGCCCTCTCGGCAGTTAGGGATTTGCTGAAAGAATCCGAAGATATCATGACATCGTTTGAAAAGTCTCTCAACATCTGTTTTGAGAAATACCTTGAAACACAGAGGAAGTGGGCAGAAACCGATGCTGTTCGAGAGTTAGAATGCGAAGGTGATGCAGCGATGAAGAGGCTTTCACAACGACACTCCAGCGATGTGAGCGAGCTGTCGAAAGCCACCTTTGCTCGCAAAGTTGCCGCTGACGGGCGATGGAGGAGTATTGATCGCAAGACTGAAGAATTGTGGGATGTGTACAATCATTGGATGTTGGCCAAGTACACGGACAGACTCGGGCGTCGCATCTTGTTGGTGCGGAATCGACAATTTGATGACCATGCTGAAGCAAGCTATGACCTTCGGATGGGGAAAGAAAGGGAGAAGGAGGAGCGAGACCGCGAAGAAAGGCTCCGAAAGAAGCGCGAGCAGGTTTCTGATTTGATGAAGCGCAATGTCGATGCCTTCAAACCACAAAATGTCGAAGACCTTGAGGATGATGACAGGTCGGAAAACGAAAACGATGCGGATTATGGGATAAACGGCGATGAGAACTCTGATGTGCAGGAAGGAAGCCCAGATGGCGAAAAATCGTTGAAACCCAAATTCGAGGAAGCAAATACATTCGATGAAGAGGAGGTATCAGATCAACCAGCATCCCTTCAAGGTTTTTCTGGTGATAATGATGCGTGGGCTCGAGCGTTTATATGGTCAGAGAACGAAACTGTCGTTGCGCGCTTTGATTCTGTAATGATCGTTACTCTTCAATTTCTTGTTGAGGGGAATCTTGTCCTTACAACACACGGCCTTTACTTTCATCAAATTGGTGACGCGACAAATGTAGTATCAAAGGAGTCCATACAATCGGAAGAATCTGCCGATAGGCGATGGAGACTAGGTCGATTGACGGAGGTGCATGGTCGAAGATATATGCTGCGCTCACAAGCACTCGAGCTTTTTTTCTCCGGTAGCCATGAGCTCTTTCTAAACTTTCTTGATGGCAGCCGAGAGAGGGATCGATTTTACGCAAAGCTGAGAAACAGCTGCAGGGTAAGACACCACCACCGTTATACATCGTCTTTCTTTAAAGTTCCTCACATTTTGGGTCAAATTGCAAAAGGTACCAATGCTGTTTTCACCTCGCTCGCTCAATCCGCGCTCCGTATTTAGGAGATCGAAGCTGACAGAGATGTGGAAAAAACGAAAAATCTCGAATTTCGAGTATATCATGGCGTTGAATCGAATGGCAGGGCGGACATTCAACGATCTCGCCCAGTATCCTGTTTTCCCATGGATCTTATCTGATTATTCATCAGAGAAAATTGATCTGACAGATTACGGGGTCTATCGTGATCTATCGAAACCAGTAGGTGCATTGAATCCTAACAGGTTGTCGCAACTTCTTGAACGATACAGCCAGCTAGAGCAGTTTGGCTTTGCCGAGAATGAAAAGTTTCTATATGGAAGCCACTACTCTTCTCCTGGTGTAATCCTGCATTATATGATTCGACAAGAACCATTCACATCAATGGCTATTGATTTACAGTCAGGGCGTTTCGATTGTCCAGATCGCCTGTTCTTCGACTTTGCAGAAACCTGGAAAAGCTGCAATACGTCTTCTTCGGACGTGAAGGAGCTGATCCCAGAATTCTTCACGCTACCGGAGATGCTATTGAACACAAACGATTTTCCATTAGGGACCACGCAAAAAGGAAGATCGATTGGAAACGTTGGCCTACCGCCTTGGGCGAAAGGGTCTGCTTATGAATTCGTGAGGATCCATAGACTCGCACTTGAGTCTGAGTATGTATCGAAGAACCTGCACCATTGGGTTGATTTGATCTTTGGCTACAAGCAACGGGGACCAGAGTCGGAGAAAGCACGCAACATTTTCCATCATTTGTCCTACGAAGGCTCTGTTGATCTTGATAAAATCACGGACGAAATAGACAGGCAGGCTGCAGAGTCTCATATTGCAAATTTTGGGCAAACTCCAAGCCAAATCCTAGTGAACGATCCGCACCCAGCCCGGTCAAACCCCGATGTCTGTTGGGCACCGCTCATTAACAACGTGAGCCTTTTGTGATTTTGACGCTGCAGCCACAAGCTGATTCGTAACTCATATTTTCTTTGATTTTCAGATGTCAACAACTGTTCGACTACGGTGCCAAACGCCGTCACGCCAGTTTGGTGGCAAAAGGGGAGGATGCGGCAGTGTCGCGAAGATCCATGTCCAGGGCGACATGATCACTGCAATTTACTCCGACCTTAAAGTTGGAACCTTCAAATGGGCCCCAAAAAGCTCGACTGGCCGATTGAAATGCGAAAAACTCAAGTCATTGCCCAACCGACAGGTGAGCAACTCTCGCTCTGTAATAAAGCGTGGCTCTGCAGCACCGCAAACGATGGATAGCAGTGGGAGCAAGCTGGCAGTTGGAAATTGGTCTTTTGCGATAACTGTTGGTGGATATGAAAAGGAGCAGCAGCGACGCAAGGCTGTTATGCCTTCAAGACTAGCGTCTGCCAAGGATGCCCTCTACACAGACGCTGCGTTGTTGATTGTGAGCTGCGGGTATTGGGACCATAGTGTTAAGGTGCACTCCACAGACTCGTGGCGCCTTGAACGAAGTGATACTGGTGGGCATCGAGGCGCGATCCGATGTTTGGCCATGGGACACGACGGAGGTCTCCTCGTAACAGGAGGAGAGGATTGTACTTGCCGCCTATGGGTTGTTGATGTAAGTGACAGGATGTCATAAAATGGTTCTCAAGAATTTCACTCTAACTGACCTACCTTCGCCTCAATCATCCAGCACCCTGACATGGCCGTCGCACTCTCGGACGGCTATGTGCAAACTGTCCTCGGGCAAACTACCGATGGAGATCACGCCATCAGCTGTTGCCATGTACTATGGGGCCACCAAGCTCCCATTATCTGCATTGATCTTTCTTCTGATCTTGATGTGGTTGTTAGTGGCTCCTTAGATGGGAGGATCTGTGTTCACACTCTGCGACGTGGTGAATATGTTCGTTCCATAGTCCCGCTGCCAGGTTCAGCTGCTCCAATAGATAAGATTGCGGTCGATGGCCATGGCCGAATCGTTGCGCATACCACTGAGAAGCTCTTTGTCTACACTATCAATGGCGTTGAGCTGTGTTCCGCGGACACTGGAGAAAGAATCCATGACATGGTAATCACAGGAGAAGTGCTGGTGACTGGTGGGGATCGGTGTCACGTCTTCATCCGCGATCTGACGAGCCTCAGGGTACTGTCGAGCCTAGACTTGAGCCGACACGGGCCAATTCGAAGTATTACTTTGACACCTGATGAGCTCAATCCAATTCCTCAAATCCTCTTCATTGGGAGTGATGACGGTATGATCTCTATTGTGGATCGAGAAGGGGGCAAGTAAATAGAAAGATTCTGAAGCAAATACTGTACATGTAATAGAAACACATATTGATACTGAAAAACAAAATCTACTTCACGATTGGTAGCCTTATTTTGGATATACACCCCTGATACCAGCAGATAGTTTCTCCACTGTATCCTTAGCATCTCCCAAAAGCATGTCAGTGTTATCCTTCAAGAAGACCGGATTCTCCACTCCTGCATATCCAGCAGCAAGTGATCGCTTCATCACAATGACTTGCTTTGAGTTCCATACACGTAGGACAGGCATTCCAGCAATTTGAGAGTTTGGATCATCTTCGGCCGAAGAGTTGACAGTATCGTTAGCACCAATGACAAGAACGAGATCTGTACTAGCAAAGTCGTCATTGATTTCTTCCATTTCCTCCACAATATCGTATGGAACACCAGCTTCGGCCAAGAGAACATTCAATTGCCCAGGCATACGACCAGCAACTGGGTGGATTGCGAAGCGGAATTTCTTTCCATTCTTCATCAAGGTCTCAGCCAATTCCTTGAGTGGATACTGAGCATGGGCAACGGCAAGACCATAACCCGGGACGCAAATGATACTTTCAGCTTCAGATAGCATCCTGACAGTCTCATCAACACTAGTCATGGTTGCTTCTCCTTCAAAAACCATAGCTTCGCCACCACCTGAGTTACTCTTCGTTCCGTATCCACCTAGGATGACACTGACAATGTCACGATTCATAGCATCACACATGATCTTGGTGAGCGCAGCTCCAGAGCAACCAATCAAGGCTCCAACAGTTGTCAAAAGAGGCATATCCAACATGAAACCCTCAGCACACAAGGCCCAACCAGAGTAACTGTTTAGAACTGTAATTACAACTGGCATATCAGCTCCACCAATGGAAGCAGTCATGTGCCATCCCAAAATTCCACTGGTTGTCAAGGCACTGGTCAATGCAGTCATTCCAACACCGAGCTCGGGGGCTCCCATGACGACGGCACCGGCACCCAGAGTGGCGGCACCAAGCCCCATGTTAATTTGGTCGCGTCGCTCAAGCTTCAAAGGTGCTGAGGACATTCGTCCATCCAACTTGCCAAAGGCAACCAAAGATCCAGTGGCAGTGACAGATCCAATTACAGTAGCAAGGTAGATACTTGCCAGATGCACACCATCTAGTTCAGTGGTAGCGGGTGCTGCGTTCAAAAAGTCACCAACTGCGGCAGAACTAGCTGCGATACCAACCAACGAGTGGAAGGCTGCAACAGTTTGTGGCAAGGATGTAGGATCAACCTTTTTGGCAATGATGTTTCCAGCAATACCTCCGACACCCATCATACCAGCAATGGCTGCTGCAGTGGAGAATTTGGGAGATATGTGACCAAGCGTTGAAGCAACTCCGAGAGCTACCCCCATTTGTCCAGAGACTGCACCAAGACGAGCCGTTTGTTGGGATGCGAGTCCACCGATTCCTCCAATACACAAGAGTCCCGACAAGGTTGCAGCAGAGGCATCAATCTCAGGGAACTTGCCAGTCAACGTTCCAATAGTGTAGAGTCCCATGGTTGTGGCAGCTGGAACTCCATAGTAATGGTAATATTCTGGAGGATCATCAGGGCGCTTGAACATATCCAACATCTTTGTTGTGACAATGAATCCACCAACAATGTTCACAGTCGACAAAGTGGTAGCAGTAGCTCCCAAAATAGAAGCAACGGCACTATTGGAATGAGCGTAAAGGTGCATTCCTCCAAGAGCAGTAGTTCCCGAAATGGCGTTTGTGACAGCCATCAAAGGAGAATGCAAGGCGTGGGAAACACCCAAAACCACTTGCACACCAATAATGTTGGACAAGGCAAAGGTGGTAAACATGGAGGAAAAGGCTGCATTGGGAGCGACTGCTCCAATAGCAAGAATGGAAGTAGAAAGCAAAGCAGCATTCTTGGCACCTGTAAAGTAAGGAGCCTTGTGATCAATCTCGACTACAACGGTATCTTCCTCCTTCTTTGCGACTACAGGTGGTGGTGGTGGCAATGGTGCAGGGTACATCATTTCTCCATTCTCGACAACGAGCATTCCACGGACAGCTTCATCCTCGTGATCAATAAAGTAATAACTTGGTTCCTTTGATGTGTGTGGACCAATGCTCAACAAGAACTTGGAAATGTTGTTGGAGTACAAGGAAGAAGAAGTAGTTGGTAGACGCGATGGAAGATCAGTGTATCCAATACAAGTGACTCCATTGGGTGTCACAATCTTTTTATCGGCAACAGTGGTTTCGATATTTCCTCCAGCTTCCGCAGCCAAATCGACCGTCACACTACCAGACTTCATCTTGGCAACCATCTCCTTAGTTACCATGATGGGGGCAGTGCGACCAGGAATCAAAGCAGTGGTAATGACAATATCGACGTCTTCGCATTGCTTGGTCAACATTGCTCTTGCTGCAGCATGCCACTCTTTACTCATTTCCTTCGCATATCCTCCAGCTGCCGAGCCATCTTCTTCAAAGTCAACCTCCAAGAATTGTCCTCCCATGGCTGTAAATGACAACAATCAAGGAGATTTATTTAAAGTTAGTAAGAGTTGGAAACTGAGATTGCAAAAGTTTGCTCGACTTACCCTCAACTTGTTCCTTGGTCACTGGTCGAACATCAAAGGCTCTGACGACGGATCCCATGTTCTTGGCAGTTTGAATAGCTGCCAAACCAGCAACTCCCGTACCAATGACCAATACCTTGGCAGGAGGAACCTTTCCAGCAGCAGTCATTTGACCAGCAAAGAAACGTCCAAATTCATTGGAGGCCTCCAAAACGGCACGGTATCCCGATATGTTGGCTTGACTGGAAAGGGCATCGTAGGTTTGACCTCTGGAGAGAGTACGTGGAATACAGTCCATGGCAAAGGCAGTAGCCTTTTGATCCTGCAATTTCTTGACCAAACCTTCATTTTGCTTAGGGTACAAGAAACTAATCAGTGTTCGATCTTCCAACATTTCGACTTCCTTATCAGTGGGTGGCCGAAGCTTCATGACAATGTCAGACTCCTTCCAAATCTGTTCTGCTGGTGCAATGGTGGCACCAGCAGCCTCGTAATCAGCATTAGAAAAGAAAGCTTTTTCTCCAGCGCCATCTTCCACCACAACCTGAAACCCAGGCTTGGTCAACCGTTGAATGGATTCAGGAGTGGCAGCGACACGCTTCTCCAAAGGAAAGGTCTCCTTGGGGATTCCTAATTTGAGACTAGCGTAAGGAGTCCCCTTGGGTTTCTCGTCAGCCTTTGCCGAAAAGGCGCGGATACGAATACTAATACTCGTTCGTGGCCGACGCAAGACAGCGCTTGAATGTCCCGCCAATCGAAGCATGATGATGATTATGTCTTTGGGGTTCTCAAATCAAATTTTTAATCCAACGACAGTGGGTATAGGAATCCAATCAAACGGCAACCTAGGAGACTGTTGGGAAGCTTGTAACTGGGCTTTTCGTACTGTAGGTAGACACTAGAGCACCAGTATTCAAGACGACACAAACAATCTTTGCACAGGCTGATTTTGAAAACACCCTGGTGATCGTCAAATTGCATTGGATCTTTGCTGATTGTCCAATCAAAATCAGCCTTTTTGGAATGTTCCAATGAAGAACACGTGTCGCAGTCGAAAGAGTCGAATCATCAAAGCTCTCATTCATATCATTTCACACCAAATGAAAACGAAGAGTAGCTAGTGACTCATCAAGTCACGTGCATCCCAAACGTTTTCCGTGGGATTTGGATAATCCCACTCTAGATACTGTACTGTACAGTATCTTTTCGATGATGATGACTCAACAGCCATATCCCGCGGGGTTTTCCCATGGGATTTCGAATGGGATTTCGAATGGGATTTCGAAATCCCACAAGATGGAAAGTTCAAGATTCTGCTGATTTCTTTCGTGGTCCCTGAAATTACCGCGGGGTTTTGGAAATCCCACCAAATTGGCTGGAGTGGAACGACTTCCTCCAGGGCCAACGAAAGGTGATGAGGAGCCCACGACAAGTAGAATAGCAAACTAAGAAAATGAATACCATCTAGGTAATAGATGTTTCTGGCTGAGCACATGAGGCAACTGTGAATATCATTTCAAGCATATAACCCGTTATAGTATTAACAATATGTTTCGTCCCAAACAACATCCTAAGCACTCTCGTCTTCGATAGCTCCATTGGTAGACTTCCAAGTCAAGCTGGAATCAGCAATCTTGTGGTCGGCAGGTTCAAATTGAGTGGGGAAGCGACGCATGCTAGTACGGCCAACCATGACATCAATGGTCTTGCGGGTCCGTTCAAAGACATTCTCTTGGACGTATGGGACTCCATACTTTTCGCAAATCGCCTTGAGCTTGGGTGCTCCTCGTTGGTATTGAAGCATGGAAAGATCGGGCCAGACATGGTGCTCGATTTGGTAGTTCAACCATCCGTGCCAAAAGTCTGTAACATCATCGCCAGTATCATAGTTGACGGAACCAATAATTTGACGGACGTAAAAGGATCCAGAATTGGGTCTGACGGCATCGTCAAAGGTGTACATGTCTTCACCAGCATGGTTGGTAACAATGGTGACGAAAGCGTGCACATTGGTTAGGAGTTCAGCCAAGACCAAGCTAGTAAGCGCTCGAACTGCAAGGGTAGGACCGACACCTGGAATCAAAGCAAGGGCGCCAGGAATGGCTACGTAACGAGCAAAGAACATTGGTCCCACGACGTTCTTGTAAAAGTCCAATGGATTGACAATCTTTCGGGTTGCTTTGCGACCAGGGTCCAACATGGAAACCACAGTGACGGCCAGTTCAGGATCGTACCCCTCTGGAAGTTCTTTTCCGGACCGGATCCATTCATTGGTCTTTAGCTCCTTATAGGTGTTGGGAGCATAGTAGAACCACTTCCAGATGGGGAGGAAAAAGGCCACCACGACGTACTTTAGGAATTGAGGATACTTTCCGTCTCTGATAAAGTCTAGGTTCCGCTGAACCAAATCGGGATCTTTCGATTCGTTCAACCGGTAGTGATGCAAACGATTATGTTCAATGTTCCAGGCTTCAGGTTGCATCCAATCCAACCAATCCACGACACGATTCAAAGCCCCCAAGGCAAAACCACGGCTATTAAAACGCCCAGCGTCCACCCTATTGTAACCACCGTGGCATGTGTGATGGGCGATCATGGTCCATGATGCGCTTTAAGCAAAAATACAAATGAATGTTAGTCCATGGCTGGTCGTGTTCAAGTGTTGTGTAGACATTGGAGGGATCGACTTACTAGGTCCAAGTAGAAAGCGCGGCAACAGTCAAGGGGTTTACGGGAAGCCAAATTGTGGCCAAACCAAACACAGCGGCCATATTTCTCCAGTTGACAATCTTGTTCAGATGGTCCACATCGTCTTTCCCAGTATTTTTTCTCAACTCTTTCCCAAGCGCTGAAACTTCCTTGGCAAACCCATCGTAGTCGAGGTTACGGACCCAGTCATCCTTAGGATCTAACTTGGTCTTACTCAAGTTGGGGACACCAAAGTTGGGAGTATCCATTGGGACGGCGACTGCCTTCTTTGGCGAGGCGACAGTTGGTGTAGACAATGGAGATTGTCTCTTTCCTCCAATGTTGAAAGCCAATGCCGAAGAAGACATGGCTAGAAGGATTGTAGCAGAACGGAACATCATCATGGCTTTTTCTTTCGACTCGAAGAAAAAATGTGACCTTGATACAGCCTTCAAGATAGCAAGTTTTACGTTGTCGGAAAGAATTTGCGACGAAAAAATGAATGACGATGTGCGTGGTTGGAGATATTCTCGGACATAGAGCCGGTCCGTCTTCTTGATCGTCTTTGACTTGCCAGCACAGAAACCCGTTCGCCGTGTGCGCGTCACGTGCCGTGCGATATTAGCATCAGTTTGACATGACAATATTTCAGAAGTGGTTGCGACTCCTCCGACCAAACGTCATCGTAGGAATGGGCTGATGTGTTGCTGTTCCAGAGCCGATGGGTGACAGGCAATCAAATCCAGCGCCGAAAACAATACAAATCGCTATCTATCAGACTCGTCGATACCATGTACTCTCGAACACTTTTGCTTGCTCTACTGACTGCAATCCACTGCGAGGCTTTTGTAGTGCCACAAAGTATGAGCCGACCAGCTCTTGCTCTTCGCGAAGCAGAAGACGACGAGGATGGCACCGAGATGAACCCAGACAACCCAAACTTGCCAGCACTCAAGGGGGATTTCGATTGGGATGAAAAATTCGGAGGAGACGATGACTGGATCACCGAAAATGTGCCCGGAAAGGTTGTCTTGGGCGAGCTCGAGTTGGCAGAGCAATCGAAAGCTTTGGCAGCGTTGGAGTCCAACTGGCGTAAGGAGCGCGAGATCAAGGAGTTTGAAGAATCTAGAAAGACTGGTTGGACCGGGTTGGCAGAGTTGGCAAATGGAAGATTCGCCATGTTCTTCCTCGTGACTGGGTTATTGACGGAGTTGTGGACTGGAGTTAGCATTCCTGGACAAGTCGAAGAGATGCTGCGTATCGGAGGTTTCATTGGATTTGACTAAATGCTATTTATTAAAACACATGGAAAGCTGACAGAATGTTTCAAGAACGGCTTGTAGACAGCAACGTTACTTACAATGATCATCCACTACGCGAGTCGAGGCCGGGGCAACAGGTATAGTCTGCAATGCATCGAATTTTAATGCCAAAATACAGAGAGCTACAACTTTTAAAATCTTTTTATCTAATATTACATGATATCTTCATCATCGTCTTCGATGCTAAACTTGGCAAAGTCATCAGTCACAGGCTCAGTAGCTGGTTCAGCGACAGGAGGATTGTCAGAGCCAAGCCAATCTCCTTCTACTTCTTCGACAACAACGTCTTTGCTTTCGTCTTCTTGTGGTGGGGTAGCAAAACCCATAGTAGGGGATGATTCCTCGGCTATAGGAGGCGGTGCTTCCTCCTCTGCCACAGGTACAGATCCCTCCTCTTTTCCGCCACCTTGAAATCTTGACACTAGACCTCCAGCAACCCCAGCAGCTCCAACAGCGATTCCACCAGCTAGACCTGCAGCCTTGCCAACAACATCCTTCATTTGCGGAGCTGGGGCAGTTCCACCATTAGCATGCTCTTCTTGTTGCCTTGCTCTTTCGATTCGCTTTTCTAGCTGAACCTTATATTTTACGCGAAGTCGACCAGCGATTGCATGTACTTCCTCAACTGTCTTTGGTCCAGCTCCCAAGAGATCGTCTCGCACTCTAGTCTCAGTTCTCTCAGTAATCAAGGCAAAATCAAACACAGAGACCTGTAGGTTGAAAGACGAGGTAAGTTTATGGTAATGGCAATGCATCAAATGCGTGCTTCACGAAAGTATTGCTCACCTCAGAGCTTGAGTCACCATGCATACTGGTGCTGTGTTGTCGCGCAAGTGAAGGTATCTTTCGTTCCATTGAAACCTCTACCACGACATCACACAGCATTGACATTGCTAGTTCTTGCACCGCCAAAATAGCGTTTGGGTCTGCAAACATTTTCCAAAATGGCTTTTGTGAAAGCAGAGCATCCATTCGATCAGTGGACTTGGCCAACATGAGGAATTTGGCAATCATATCTGTCACATTGATACATGTAATTCCAAATGGTAGGACAGAAGCATCACCACTGAAGAGTCGCTCACAAATTTTGGGACAAGATTCAACCATGTGAACCATCATTGCCAAGGACAGAACACCACCAGATCGAAAATCTGTTACAGGATCGGGTTGTTGAAATCCCAAACGATCAACCCAGTACTTGTGAGGAATTGGTGGTAAGCCATCCTCGTCGATCAAAGTATCCACACTCTCAGTGCTGCTTTCTTGAAATGGAATTATGGCTCCATTCAGCCACAACCGAGTGATAAGGTTGTCATACGATATCGTCATTTTTTCAGTTTGCTCAATTCCTTCTTCCCACCAAGGCATATGCATGACTGCCTTTTGTGCTGCCGTTCCTTGATAGGGTCGAGTAAGCTTTAGCCCAGGGCGGCATTTTGTGTGTAGCAGCTGACGGTACATCAACACTTGCGAAGCGACACTCTTGTCTGGCAAAGTATACTTTCGAGTTGTAATGCTCTGGAAGGCGGCACTTCCGATATTCCCAATCACATTCCCAGCATCAGCAGCAAAAGTTTTAGCAAAGAACCCAGTCTTCCGTAGCAAACCTTGTGACGAATTCTCCTGACTTCGGTCTGTCATCTTTTTGAGGATGGATTCAGAACGTACAGTGCTGATTTCGTCTTGGATATCGTCTGTGGGAGCTTTTCCAGAGGCACAAAAGTTGTTTTCTCCACCAGCACACTCAAACAATGCGCTTCCTCCACCGCAGGAAAACTGCTCAATAGTCCACTCGGCGTATTTGAGAGTTGTCCTGAACCTTTTCTTGGCAGCAGGCGGTGAGTTTGATCTTCTTGCCGTTCCCACGGGACTTTCTTTATATTCTTGTATCTTGTAGACACAATTATGCGCAAATAGATATTTGCGCGAGTCTACAATGGAATCGGGAACAGAAGGTACCGTATTTGCAGAGTAGTAAGATCAATGCTTGTTGGTTTGTCGGCCGCGATTTTTTTTTGGACTTTTTCAAGTTTCGTTTCGCCAGCCAGAATTGAATAAAATATAACGGTCATCCGTGATTCACATTATTCGTGAATCATCCGTGATTGACGTCATTCGTGAATGACATTCGATCCAATAACCAACTCATTTTAACACATACACCACTGTACTATATCCACTCGAGATATCATGGTGCAGCCTCGTACCTTCACGTTCAATTCAGGATTCCTATTGAGTATCTTCTCAGGACTCTATGTATTGAAATGGAGCCGAGTTTCTGGATTCTCTTCACACTTTTCAACGCTGCGAGATTCCAACATTCGCATCAGCACCAAACTGTTTGCTGATAGAGAGATCGATGATGAGAATGAGCATCCCTTGGGGAGCCAATCTTTTCTTTCGCACGTAATGTTGAAGGTTCCTTCCGTTGATAGAACTGTCGCATATTGGATAGAAAAGGGTGGGACAGTCCGAGTTCAAACAGAAAAGCCTGGATCCAGCAATGGCTCAACAGAATTGAAATCTGCGATGTTGGAGCTCGGAGCTCTGAACAACGACAAAGACAAGTCGCCTTGTTTTGCCCTCGAACTTATCGCTACTAATAATGAAAACTGGAAGTTAGGAAATGAAATATCATACATTGGGGTTTCTATGCTTTTACAATTCCAAAACAACTTGTTGGGCGCTATCAAAGGGGACAAACCAGAGTCACAAGGCGACGAACCCAACGGAATTCCTGTTGAATCATCAGCCTCTGCGCCAGGAGATCTATTGTCCCGATTCGCCCTTCAATCACAAAATTTGGAAGAATGTGAAGACTTCTATACAAAAGTGCTCGGCATGGAAGTCAAGGGCAAAGACGATAAAATGATGTGTCTTCGATATGATAACGATGTGTTCAAGGCGGGAGTACCAACTACTCTTATCTTTGATGTTACAGAAGAGACTATTGAATCAGGGAACTGCTTTGATCACTTGGCTATTGTGACAAAGGCCAGTATTCCGGATCTATATGCTCAAAGTCAGAATGATTCAAAGCTGAAAATTTTCATGAAACCAACCACGATGTTTGGGAAAGACGTGATGGGGCTCATTGATCCAAATGGCTACAAGGTCGTAGTAGCTAGCATGTAGTTCTTGTCTCCCTTGTTGAACTATCTTGAGTAAAAAACATGATCAGTAGACAGCTTTGTGGTCGCTGAAGCTTCATTCCTTTTGGATCCCGTTCCATTGGAACGTATAAACGAAAACTCCCTTTTCGTGATCCGATTCTTTGCACTCTTGGTACACGAATCCAGCCTCTGTCGCAGCAGATAGAACGTCGCCAATCTCTACGGGCACTTGCCGTTTGGCATATGCCATCAGAAACGTTCCATTTGGTTCCAACAGAATCTGAATTGTTTCCCAGAGTGGTTTTATGATGACTGGTGAATATACAATATCTGAGGCAAGGATTACGTCGAATTTTTCCTTCTTTTGCAGTTCCAGAAATTCCAAACTTGTTTCTTCACCCCAAATCAACTGTTGACATAGAACTTGTCCTTTCTGTTCATCCTTGTTTTCATCCACATTTTCACGCAAATGAGGGAGAGCTTCGCTGTCTCCATCTGTCAAGATTACCTCGCATTGTGGAGATGCGATGCGGTGTGCTAAAATTCCCACCAACCCAAGTCCCGCTCCAAGCTCCAGTACTCGTCTCTTATCCTTTGCCGTACTTTTCTTCATGCTAAGGTCCATCGCCTCATCATCTTTGTGCTTGACAATGTAATGACAGAGGTACTCGGATGCCTTCCAAATCGTCAGTCCAGTAGACTGCCAGATTTCGTCCGACTCTGCCTTATACCCATCCAGCTCAATTTCCACCGTCTCAAGCTTGTCCACCTCAAATTTAAAATGAAAGCTTTCCGTCGGGTCTGGATCTTTGAAAATGTCCATTGGACCTTCTTCTTCCTCCTCCTCCTCCTCGTTCTCCTTATTTTTGTCTTGGTCTTCCGGCCATCGAATGCTATCGTCGGTCCATTTCTTGTCCTTGGTGGCGCTCATGGCATTTGTGAAATTGAAAAATTGGAGGGAAATAAATACTGTAAATCCGGGTTCTTCAAAATCGAAAACGTCATAACCTCCAATCATAGTAGTAGTGATATTACTCGTTTAGCCCTTAGCGAGAGATTGATTTGTGTAAGTCGAACAGTGCCCATTGTAATGACCATTGCTTGGTATGCACAAGAGATGAAAGCAAGCTGCGAGCATTGTTTTCACAAAGGAAAGGCGTGCCCCGGGTGGTGCTGTTGTGGCGAAACGACAATCTTCCGTTTGATTTCGTTGAACTCAACTTCAGCTTCTTTGTGGTATTTCCACGGCGTGGCGTTCATCATAGACATTAAGATGGTATTCACCGCGGCCGTCCGATGACCTACATACTGTTGTTGGGCGATTTGATTTCGTTCTTTTTTTATACCATCGATTATCTTTTGTGTTTTTCAATGGGAATCCAGGCTAATGAGTGCCCGAGCCTAGAACCATTTTCCAGTTCTCACCTTTCTCCAAAAATGCGATGCAATTTCTGAGGAAAAGTCCCTTGCATGCTTTCAAACCGGGAAATATCGATTTGAAGCCTAGAACCATGTCTTTCTCAAAATCGACCGCTATCTCCCGAGTGGTATTCAACTGTTGAAATGCCAAAAGGTAGTTGAGATGTGGTTCCATCGTCGCGATTTGTTCTTGAAGATGCAAATTTTCGGTTTGCACTTGCGAAACGTGTTCTCGAATATGAGAATTTTCTGTTAGCACTTGCGAAAATTCTGTTAGCACTTGCGAAACTTGTCCTCGAAGATGAGAGTTTTCTCCATTCAAGGATCCAGGTGTTGCGAGCAGCTCATTGATTTCTTTCAACGCACGAAGGAGGTGTCTTTAGATCCTGCCGACGAGTGTCATCCTGTCGCAATGAATTGCTTTGATTTCTTGAATCTGGGAGACTGTTGTCCCCATTGTTGACGCCCTCGGCTTTTGGTTATTTCATCTTTGTCGATGGATCAAGAACCACTAGATCGCGAGTTTTGACACCATCGTCGGCTTGGACGTTTCCATCAGCTTTGATGTTTTCCTTGCCGGGTGCTGGTCTGGTGGTGAACCAACCCAGCTGTGACTATAGCACTGCTATTATTGATTGCTTTCATTTGAGTTTGCTCTACAAGCATGATTATGTGGTGCCTGAGATGAAAAGAGCTACTGCAGCGTGTATGAGCACGAATTTATGACAACCGACAACATCACGGCAACGGTTTCTTTTGCAAACCCTCAACCGGTTTGCAAATTTGGAGAAAAAAGGGCTACTGTATCTCAATCGCGTGAGTCGTGTGCACGAAAGAAAATGCAATGCAATCGGAGAGATCGTCGATCAATTTCGAAGAACAATCAAATTCGAAAATAGCATTGACATGCGATACGAGTAAGAAGCATTGAACTCTTCTTGTCCAAAGCAAACAAGAGCGAACCAAATCAAACTCAAAAGTCATTAGGGAACAATCGCACATCGAAACTGAGCAGACACCGAAAAAGGATCTATATAAAAAGTTGCAATGGACACGTCGACAAATTTCCACGATACTTCAGAATCCATGTTTGGAGCAGAGGATGGTCAAGAATTAAAGGAACGACAGTCCATGGAGCATGGAATGGATGTGAAAGAACTAGCTGTAAGTCATGGATACAACTACGAATACGGGGATGTGCCTGATGGAGATGATTATGACGGATCCACACTGCTTCACGAAAATTCTCTAAAGAAATCACAGTCCATGGATGCTACGACCGCCTTTACAACCAAATCCGGAGAGCGAATCCCGCATATTTATGTTGTTGGAAAGACGTTTCATCCAACTCTAGAGTTTCAATTGAGAAAAGACTTTCAAGCTTCACTATATTGGTTCACCTATCGATCCAATTTCCCAGAGATCAAGCCATATGGAATCACATCAGATGCTGGCTGGGGTTGCATGCTGAGATCAGCACAGATGCTCTTGGCACATACATTGCGTGTGCATTTCAAATCAAGAAACTGGAAGCCTCCAAAATCTTTGGAAAAATGTCGCACAGATCCCTTCATTGTACGGTTGCTAACGTGGGTAAGCATCACTTCGGAATGAAATGTTGAATTGAATAGCTGTGATTCCTCACCTTGACCAATTTATTTATCAATTGCTTTTCAGTTTGCCGATTTCTCATCAAAGAATGAGTCCGTGTACTCTTTGCATAACATGGTTGCCGCTGGATTTGCAAAGTATGAAACACTTCCTGGAGAATGGTATGGTCCAGGGACGGCCTGTCATGTTCTTCGTGATTTGGTGACATTGCACAATCAATATCAGCCGTCATTGTTTCGGGTCTACGTGGCCTCGGAAGGCACCGTCTACCGAGACGCAGTTACATCACTCATGACCACGGAGTCGAAGAAACGAGCAGAAGAAAGGAAAAGAAAGGAACAAAGCTCTGTGAAACCACCTCCAACCCCATTACATCCATTGGATACTTCCGTGCCACCTCCGCCGGTCGACGATGATGAGCAACTCGAATGGGACACTGCTCTGCTCATATTGATTCCATTGCGTTTGGGACTCAACAATTTCAATGAAACTCATCGAGAGATATTGGCTAGAACGTTTTGGCTGCCACAATCTGTGGGTGTATTGGGCGGAAGGCCGAGGGCCGCAAGATGGTTCTTTGGGGCGTATGCGGATGGTACATCGGTCTTGGGATTGGATCCCCACACGGTTCAGACGGCACCGCAGCGTACTTCCGACTACGACGAGGCGGAAGCAGCAAAGGATAACGATGGGACTTACACAGCGATTGATTTGTCCGTGGACTACATGCAGTCAGTTCATACAAGCTATCCCGAAGTTTATCCCATCAATCGAATGGATCCTTCCATCGCTCTTGGATTTTACTGTCGCGACAAGAAAGAGTTTGCTGAATTTGAGTTTGCCGTTAAGCAGCTGAAAACAAAATTATCTTGTCCGGATCTATTCACCATTGTCGAGAAGACACCAAACTACTCGACTGCTGCCGTGGGCAGCATGCTGGACGGAGACTTGGATTTGGGAGATAACATGCCCGACGATGATGGTGGAGACTTTGACGATGACGAGTATGTGCTGCTATAGAAACATAAGCAAGAAACAAAACTATTGAAATTATAGATGACACCTAGGCAAAATCCATGCGACCCCTCCCAAAATTAAGCACCAAGGCGTTATGACCACCAGGATTCCACAAGGGTCAAATCAACAGAGTCTCGACGCAAATTCGCATCGGCAAAACCTTTTGTCATTCGTGCTGATTGCCTTGCACTCAAAAGTCTCGTTGCTTCGTTGAATCGTCCTTCATTGACAAGTGTGTTGGCATGAAGCTTTTGCAGATCCGTCATGGGAACAAAGCGAAGTGAAGTCGACCGCAGCCCAGTTCTCCCAGCAGTTGTTTTGCGTATTTGGCTGGGATCTTCCATTTTTATAATAATGTGACTGCTTCGCTGTAGTTGATCGCAGGTCATTCGAGCTAGGATGAGTTCTTCTTGACTTTGGTAGTATATCGATTTTGCCAAGTTCTGGGAGAGAGCTTGCTTCATTAGGGTGCCAAGGGATGTCACCCTGGAAGCATATCTCACTCGGAGCAACTGTTGCTCCCTATACATGCAGACTTCCACCTCCAGGACGCCGTTCATTTCTGCAAATTTTCCTTCTGTCAGCTTGCTATCCATAACTCCAAAGAAAGCCACCCTATCCACTTTCTTGCTCTTGCCCGTTGGCAACACTTCTGTCTTTCCCGATTCCTCTTCCAACATTAGACTTAGATACTTAGGTACCGGTTTCGAAGAGAGTTTCAACCCCTTTACCAATGTATCCACCACAACCACAAGATTCCTCTTGCGCAACTGATCATCCGCAATGGCTGGGAGCAGAGGTTTTCCCCGCTTGTCAAGGATTTCCACAACGGTGGTATCCCATTCACCAGGAGGAATTTCCACTTTTAATGTTACAAATAAAGTTTCCACTGCTTCAATAACGAGTGGATGATTCAACGCTCCTGACTGGAACTCATGGCGTTCGCTTTCTCCAGTTTTGAGACAGAATATTGGTTTCTTCTTTTTTCTTGCTTCCTTTTGAGCGTACTTGAGCTGCCGGTGAACGTATTTGATATCACGATGTTCACTTGCTGGTATAAAGACTCCGTGATCAATTTCGAAGAAGGAGGAGCCTCCCGATGCCGAGTCCGTGCCGTTGTTTAGATGATTCGGATTGCTCAACTGCTGTTCTTTCGTCAGTGCTTCCTGCTGCTGGTCCAACACAACGGTAGCATCATGATGGGTACATAGATTACCCATTCCTCTAATATATTTCAGATCAATACAAGTCTTTGATCACGCAGATAACGTTGATGGAAAGCCGAACAAGGGATGGGAATGCTTTGAATAATGGTATGATGATGACGATGGCAATTCATTCAAACCAGACTTCGAGTATTCGCGATAGTCAAACGCCACGGCGTGAGAGAATACTCTTGATTTTGATCGGCGCACGCCGGGCCATTCGTACTCAATTAGTTTCTCCGACGGGAATTGAACTGTTCTTTTTGCCGCGCATCACTGCGGTGATTCCCGGAAGTTTGATGAGCTACTGTACATGAAAGTTTCAAATTGGTAGCTTAAAAGTGTGTCTATAGGTATATTCATGTATTTCATGTGTACACTATTGTACTTCACAGTAGGATGAGTGTGGATCTGGTGGGTAGGTAGAACCCATTTTTCGCTGTTATAATGCGATGGTCTAGTGGTAGCAGAACGAGATGAAATTGCATTAGTTTTCGCGTTCTTGTTGTTGCTCTTCTTTTTGCTCTTGTTGTTGTTGGTGTTGTTGCTCATAGTTTTCAACGTGGACAGGATGGATCTTCTCATTAGAGCCCACACAGCGATACATGTTCTCATCTTCGAGTGTGTTTCTCCAGTCCCACCCCTCAGCTGCAAATTCGATCGAATTCCTTGTAGCATTTGCCATAATCTCTTCAGGTGTATTCCATAGTTGTTCTTTGATTCGCTTTGAATAGGCATCGTGATTTGGAATCGAGCAGACTGTCACAGTTTCATTGAAAGTCAATCGCTTGTTGGCAGCCGATGAAGTCTCACTGACTGAGTCAGAGGTGGTGTGGCTCGATGAAAGCGATGCGAGATCAGTAACACTGGGAGTCCTACTCGGACTCTTTGAGAACAAGGCTGATAAGTTCCAGCCAGGGCTCTCAATGATGTCCTCCTCGTCCAATCTTGACTTTAGCGGCTCACTAGCAAATTCCTGTTTCCCGAGCACGGACTTTTCAGATCTCACAGCAGGTTTCTGATCAGATTTTACAACACCGAGTTTGAAAATCAAGTTGTCGCGGATTCGCGAGTCAGCTGCAGGGGCAGGTCTTGGTCTCATGTCCTTTGTCATCGTTAGAGGTGCTTTGTTTGTTTAAGCTGATGGCTGATGGCTGATGTATCTAAAAGTGTTGACACGATTCTGAATAATGAATCTTAACGCATACAATCAGATCACTTCAGAAATTTGTGTTGGAGTTGGATTGTTCTTTGCCGGTATCTTGCCGGTGGTTGACTGGAAGTTCGCCTCCAATAAAAACATTGGAGAAAGTACGAAGTTCCTAACTTTCACAAACTTTCGTGACGTGGTACCGGTTTGTGCACTGCTTTGACACTTCCGGCAGCACGACCTTGTTGAATCTTATAATTAAAAACTTCGCATGACAGCTCAAATCAGACGCTCCTTGATCAGATGATGGTCGATCAGACGTTATTTAAAACGAATCAGGTGGTTTACTCCGACTGTCCAAAGAAAATGAAATTGCAATGCATGATGATTGGTCCGATCAAGTATCACGTAAAATGTTGTTCTCCATTCGACTACTACGACCGTTTTGGGTGAAGCGACTACTCTGACCTCTTTCAGTTTTAACCATTGTGTAGAGTCGTGGTTGCGTTGCTGCAACTTTTTTCATCACGAGAATAATTTTACATCGGCATTCAAACTACGTACTGTTGTAGACGCATACAACAACACCCCAGCAAGCAGAACCTGTAATGCCAAAGAAGCAATCAAGTGATTAAATACCTGCCCAAGAATGCCCTTTCTTGTACCAGCAGTGATTGCTGCATTCTGTGACCTTTTCAATATCTATTTGAATCAGTTTGAAGCACCTGAAACAATCATTGACATTGAAACATCTCCGTCCTGTCGGTTGGTATACCTTACATCCTACATTTTTCCGTGTGCAATCATGCGACTGTTCCTGCTATTCGTTCCGCTACCTTATCATTCCTACCATGGTACGGCGTTGCAATGTCCAGGACTCTTCAAAGCGTTCTATGGGTGCATATTGGTTCTGTTGTTTATTCACATTTTCATGCTCTGCATGTGTGATCCAACAAGTTTAAGTTCGCTGCTACCGTCGAAATCAAAGTTACATGCTCATGAATTGATGTCGAGACATGTCTGGTCACTCTTGCTGGTTTCCCTGGCCTCCAATCTGTGTCATATTCTACTCTTTCTACACGTACGATCGACAGCACCTTCAAGTGCTGATTTCATTCAAGGGCGGCCAAAAGTTTTGTTTTACTATGCAAAAGAAAGAGAAGATACCGAACGCGACTCTTTATTGGGGCCGAATGGAAGCAACGGCACCCAAGATTCGTCGTCTAGTTCCATGCAACAACTCTCCAATTCATTAGTTGTGGAAGTTCATTCACACCTTCAAAGAGCAAAGGTGGAATGGACCAAGAGAATAAATGATTATCACATACGGTCAGAAGGCACGTTAAATCAAGATTATCTTCACCGACCGGTCGTGCCATTCCGGATCATGCTGCAGCTCTTTGCATACGAAGATGTTTTGTCGGATGGGAAGCTAAATGCTGTGTACGATAAGGACGATGGTGCAACTCTGTTGTTCTTTGTCCCACAGCTACTGTCATTTCTTCTCCATGGGGCTTACGAGTCATCATCGAATCTGGAGGAATGGATATTGGCCACATGCAAACGAAACGTGTATTTTGCACACCGATGTTATTGGTTCCTGAGAGCTTGGTCGCTGGAAAGCAAGCACACGACACCTAACCGACTCAGTCATTCCAGTAGTCTGACTAGTTTTGAAAACCTTGATGAAGGTAGCAATATAGATTCATCAAGCAAGTACGTGCCAAAATTTTTGCCAGAGGAACGTGCCGTGATTGAAGACTTGTTGCGAAAGGTGATGACGGCTGGTGAAAAGCCAGCTCGTGCATTGCACCTGGGAGTCGGAAAGGACATGGATGACGATGATATCGATACGGTTGACCTTGGTACATCGTCACTCAATGCCGTAATGGCGGCTGGGTCGATTCCTGTTGATCCAAATACTGGCGAATTTTCTTCGAGCCATTGGGAGGCTATTGCTGCAAAGCGAAAATATGGGTTCATGCCATTGGATCAGACGTTAAGGGCGTCCCATGCAATTTCGAAGCACACTGGTGCTCAGAAATCGTACTTTGATGCAACCCCAGTATTTTTGGATGCTTTGCTGACAATTGCCGACAACTTGTTTCGAGTACCAAGGGAGCACCGCACTGATGAATTTCGTCGACAGTTGAAGCTTCTCGAGTCGGAAGCATTGCCTTCTAATTCGATCTATCTTCCATTGCAAGATTCAAATCATCGAGTATGGAGAATCGTCGCTGACGAATCTATCGCTATTAGCACAAAGGAACGGGTTCCCTGCATCATATGTATGGAGGTTGTAGACTACGAGGCAAAGCCCACGAAAAAAAAGACCGAGGTCCTTCACACAGCCTTGCCAGACCTGACTCATCCTGGCAGTGAGAAAGAGTTGATTCATCGATGGCGTTTTGGCTATCGGGATCCCCATCGACGAGACACCGCTTTGCGAAAGTTTGCTTATCAGATGAAGAACTCGATGCAAAAAATTCATTTGAATCAAATGAAAGCCTCCGTGAAGAATAGAATTGAGAAACTCAAAGACACAAAAAAGGACTTGCAAGGCTTCTTTCCAATCCAAGTTCCACACTCTTTTGATGAAGACGAGGAAGATGTGCGACCTTCATCACCAGAGCTTCACACCAGAGACCCATTGCGGAGCACGGATATTGAAAGAGGCGAGACGAAAGGGACTGCTACTTCAAAACCAAGGAGTGTAGAGGGTTCCCCGCAATCAAAGAAAGCCACCATGGCGATAAGCCCAACAACACCAGAACACGACAAACCATTAGCTCCAACGATGGGGCAATGGGAATCACCACAAATTAGTCGAGTGGTCGACATGACTCCAATGTCAAACGATGCCTTCATTCCTTTTGACTTACGGGACGCATCCTATCAGCAAGAATACCTAGACAATGTCAGAATACAACCAAACTTTGGATCAATTGATTTCAACCAAGCTGCAGATATCGAATCTGGCGCAGACGAAGAAAAAGATTCATCTAACAACCCAAAAAGAACACCACCAGTCGTCTTCAAGGAGAATTGGAAGGATAAAGAAGAAAGAATACGAATGGCTTCAGCCTATGGATCTCATCCAGGTTGGAGATTACTTCCAATCCTTGTGAAAGCCAATGATGATCTTCGTCAAGAACAACTTGCTTCCCAACTCATCTACAAAATCTCAGCGATCTTGGCTCGGGAGCAAGTTCCTGTTTGGTTATGCCCTTACGAGATTGTCGCTCTAACTGAAGGAGGAGGATTGATTGAAGCGATACCAGATACCATATCAATATCTTCATTGAAGAAAAATGATCATCACTTCACTAGTCTGAATGGTTTCTTCAACAGCTTCTTCGAGGATCCAGATCAATTGGCTGATGCTCAAGCAAACTTCTGCGAAAGTCTAGCTGCATATTCAATAGTATGTTTCCTCCTCCAAATCAAGGATCGCCACAACGGAAATATCCTTCTGGACAACAAGGGTCATTTGATCCACATTGACTTTGGCTTCTTTTTCCTCTCTTCCCCAGGAAAGAATACTGGGTTTGAAGGAGCACCTTTCAAGCTGACTCGAGAATTTGTGGATGTGATGGGTGGACCAGATTCTCGTCTGTTCCGAATTTTCAGGATGCTTTGCTACCGATCGTTTATTGCGCTGAGGAGACATTGCATGGAGATAATTCTGTTGGTGGAGATGTTGAAGAAAGGAAATGAAAATTTACCGTGCTTCAGAGGAAGACCTGATGATGCTATAAAGGAACTGAGAGATAGATTTAGGTTGGATTTGAATGACAGGGCATGCTTGGAGTATGTTAATGCCCTAGTCGACGAAAGTCTAGAGAATTGGAGGACAAATTGGTATGATCGATATCAGCGCTACTGTGTTGGCGTGTTATAGGGTTAATTGTAATGACCATAGTAGCTGGTTTTCTGCGTTCGAATCTTATCTATTAAAATCTAAATGTGTTTTTGGCAGTACTCATTCTTCCAACAGCAGATGAAGTGATACTGCATTATGCATCAAGCAATCCAGGGACTTTCACCATACCCTTCTCTTGCCACTCTAGAGTTCGCCACATTCGTTCGATTTCTTCTTCTGATCCAAGCACTGTAATGGAGTTTTCCGTCTCGTCATCATTGGCTTCTAGTTTGAACGAACAATCATCCTGTCTATCTCCTTGTTGCCAGTAGTAGATTCCAGCATAAGGAGACAAAAGAGTAAACAAGAACCAATTCGGTTTGCCGATAACAGGAAGTTCTAGGTCCTGGAATTGAATTTGAAGTACAAGTGCGAGAGAAGCAAAAGCAATGGCAGTGCAGAACACCAAAAAGAATGCCTGAGATGTACTTCTTTGAACGAGACCTCGGAAAGTGATTGTTTCTCCAGCTTCTACGACCTCATAGTTGTTGGCCTTCATGTCTATGTTCAAACAGAGTCAGGAAGGTGGAAACACAATGATGTGATATACAGCAGATAATAATACTCACAAGCCATAATTTCTCCTGCTTGTTCTCGCAGACTCTTTCCATCCTTTTCCATCTCTCCCTTGCTAAAGGTAGACGACGACAATTTCATCAGGACACAAGGGCTTGAAACAACTGACGAGCAAACAGAATCGCTTACGTGACATAGGTCTTTTTCTTTACTTTGGTCTTTGTGGAACGCTTAACTGTCGACCAGATACCAGGAAAGGAAATCAAATATAGCCCCAAAATACTGTAGTAGCTAGCTCGGGAGTACGAAACCTCTCCGGAGGTTCCGGGAATAACATCGTCGCTTGACAAAAGTGTTGAAGCTGAATCAAGAATGTGAATTGGGTCTAAGGCATTGAGATTCGTTTGTTGTTGGACAAATCTGGTGGCAACGGATTGTTGAGGAACAAATGCTTCCACAGTGCAAAAAAGTGCGAAGACGGAGGAGATGACTTTCCAAGTGAGCATGATTGTTGAGTTTACTACAGGTCTCTTTCAGCTGGTTTTGGAAGATGATAAGGTTGTGTCAGGTTGCAGTCAGGTGATGGATTGAAATCGATGAGTGAGTCACAAAACGAACGTTGAACGTCGGTCGTACGTCAATGATGTCGTCCGTCATGGTAAGTCTCCCATCAACAGATGATTGGATAAATCCGACTAAAAGCATTTTTAATCGAACGAATCAATCAATCAAACATTCACTTCTTGCGTTGCGTTGCTTGGTTCACATACATACAGCTACTGTACATCACAGTACCTGGCAAAGGTCCATTCAACTCGGTTTTAAGTGTTGGAAGCATCTGAACCAAAGCTTTTATCCAATACTAAGATCTCTTACTAAGTAATAGATAACACGGAAAACTCGACGAAAATTCTGCCCCATTTTTGTCCACTATACATATTTACCAGAGGTATGTTCGAGGTAGAGAGTAGCTTCGCGTGCGTATCAAAAATCGAAAATCGAAAACCGAAATCCGAAAACCCGTGTCAATAGCAATCTTGAGTGATATCATATCTCTTTTAGACAGTAGCCCGCTCAAGTAAACATGGTCAGAGGAATTGAAGGTGTCACACTCGATGCGGATGGAAATGCGGTCAAAGAATGGGATCCCTTTCTGCCGCGTCCACCTTCTATGCGAGATGTGGAAGCTGATAGATCTACATCCGAACAAGTTGCTGTATTCGGTGCCAATACCAAGGAAGGAACTACACTTGTTCGGATGATGTCGGAGAAAGGATTGAGGGTTGTAGCAGCAGTGCGTGTTATCAGGTCAAATAAAACAAAGCAACTCATTGGTCTCCCAGGAGTTACAGTGAAGCAGGCGGATGCAAATGATAGAGCTTCGCTGCTAGCCGCGTTGAAGGGCTGCACTAGGGCATTTGCAGTTACACGATACTGGGGAAAGTTCGATGGTGCTATTGAACAAACGATGGCAAACAATATCTTGGACGCATGTGCTTCTGTGAACCCACCGGTGAAGAACATGGTCCTTGCTACATTTGAAGATTTAGCAGCGCTGGAGTCGAGAGGGCGGAAGTCACAGATTGTGCCCACGAAAGATGGTAGAATCTTCCCCGATTTTAGTGGGAAGAGCAAGGTAGACACTGTTGCAAAGAAAAAAGGAGTGAACATTACCCACATGATGACTTCCTTCAAGGATGAGGAAGGCAACAAAAAGTCTCTCATTCTGCTTCGAGGTATGAACAAGCGAATTGTAGTGAATTCGCACATCAATGAGTAAAAATATCGTAGAATCTTCAAGGGTGTATATGTGTCTCTTTTGCTCTGAGTGCAGCACTGAGGGCAAAAGGTGAATCAAGACTCTTGATGGGGTCAAAGGCATTGAGAATCATTTGTGGGATATTTGTGTGGCGCTGGATTGTTTTAATTAAAAACAAAGGCTCGAGCTTTCTCCACGAAATCTAAGGAATGAGATAATGTGCAAAGGGATCATGGGCGCTTCGTGTAATACGGCCCTTTGTGTTGGATCCTACATGAACAGGTAACTACTACTACTAGCATGATCATCTCATCTAATACTATCTAAACTCATCTAATGCTACAGTCCAAATTTAGTAATAATGTTTTTTCAAATTATGCGTCTCTTTGATCCCATTAGAGACGTAAAATCAGTGGATATACACTGGGCTACAATCTGTTGTTCCAAGAGTCATTATCAGGTTGCAACTGCGGCGGACAAAATTTAGCCCCGAATTTGTCGACTTCCGAGTTCCGTCTTGCGTTGGATTCTACTCATGAAAAAGGGGTAATATGGCGGGAGTCTTGAGACGTGCTCGCAAGAAAACATCGAAAACCATTAGTGAGGTATACTCGTACGAACTGTCAGAAAACCCTTCAGCAATTCACTTCAGAAACCATGGGCAGAGGAATTGGAGGTGTTACAATCAAAGAGGATGGAACCGTGGAAAAGGCATGGGATCCGTTTCTACCCCGCCCACCCTCAATGAAAGATGTGAACGCTAGCGATGATAGATCTACATCCGACCAGGTGGCTGTATTCGGTGCAAATACGAAAGAAGGAATGACACTTGTTAAAATGATGTCAGAGAAAGGTCTGCGAGTCATAGCAGCAGTTCGCGTTCTCGGTTCAAATAAAACAAAGCAACTCCTCGGTCTCCCGGGAGTCACAGTGAAGCAGGCAGACTCGAATGACCGAGCGTCGCTGCTAACCGCATTGAACGGCTGCTCCAGGGCATTTGCAGTCACAAGTTACTGGGAAAAGTTCGAAAGCGTTATTGAAGAAACAATGGCAACCAATATCTTGGACGCATGCGCTTCTGTGAGCCCACCAGTGAAGAATATGGTCCTTGCCACTTTTGAAGAGATATCAAATCTTAAGAAATTCAATCGAAAGTCACAAATTGTCCCAACAAGAGATGGTAAAATCTATCCCGATTTTACTGGCAAGAGCAAAGTCGACGCTATGGGAAAGAGCAAAGGGGTGACGGTAACCCATATGATGACCTCCTTTATGGATGACAAAGACCACAAGAAATCTGTCATTTTGCTTCGAGGTATGAATAAGCGAATTGTAGTGAACTCGCACGTCAATAAGTAAAGGGATTGAAGAAACCACAACGGTCAAGCCACGTATCTTATATCCTTGAAACTAGAGCTGTATATGTCTAATTATATATATAACAACGAGAAGAACATCATTGTGAAGAATTATGACAGAATGAGTCTGATGATGGTCAAAGCTCTATTGGTTCTGGATATTCCTCATTTGCCTGTAGCAAGTATCGCCAAGCATTCAAAGAGGGGTCGGGCCAAAGAACGTCTTGGTCCACAATTTGTGTATAGCAGAAAGATAAAGTTGAAAGTTGATTGGTCTGATACTTATTGAAGCCGTTACGCGTGGTCCTCATTTGCCTGCATGAGATCTTGGTATTATATACAAACTACTGGCTTCAGCATAAAGTACCTGCTGGTCAAGACTTGTCATTTGCGCTTTCCAGAATAGTTTGCGTCCTTCTCGAGACTCAAGTTGGGCAACAACACGAACACGAGTCCCGGCGGGAACAGGAGAACGATAATCAACGTTCAGATTCGCTGTAAAGGCCATTGGAATGCCAAGAGAATAGAATCCGAATCCCAACAAATCGTCGAACATTAGCGACAAAATTCCACCATGTACAATACCAGTATGCCCATCCAAGTGTTCACCGAATGCAATGTGCGCAATGACAACGTTGTCATCTGTCGATCCAGTGGGTCGCTTGTATACTTCGTATTTCTCGATCATATTGTTCCCGAGAAGAAGATCAAAGATGGCATGCTTATCTTCAGGAGTGCGATCTGGTACCTCCATAAGCTTATATGGCGAAGGATCAGGCCAAGTATTGGTACTTTCACATCGTGTCTGCCTCTCAGATTCCTTTGCTGTCATACCCAAAGCACTGAAAATGAAGTTTGGGCTAAGTGCCGTCGTTGGAAACTTTTCGAATCGATCTCTGTGCATTGTGAAGCCATACGCGCCCGTTGAAAACGCAGCAGCAAACAACACCCGCCTGAGTGGCTGTGCTGATTTCCATGTTCCATTCCACATGATGTCTCTGTTGTTACCCCGTTATAAATTACCCCTTTTTATAAAAATGAGATTGCACAACATGCATTCATTCGTTCAACATGCGGTTGGAGCAGTCGGGGTAGTCGGACACTGAAGATTGGAACGCCTTCGAATATTGAACATGGTGAGCGGTGCCATTTGGCCTTGCACGTCATTCTCATCAATAACAGTAGAACATACAACGGCACATACCGGTTCAAAACTCGTGAAGTCAATTCCAGCAAGTTCGCATGTTTGATGGTCACTACATGTACAGTTCCCCATCATGCAATAGTACACTGAGTTAGTCAGCATGATATTCATTCATATCAAGAACGAGTTAAAATAATCATGAATAATGCAATTTTTAACAGTTTAGTTTCTTTTTATTATGCATCCAGGTTTCTACGAAATATTTTATAGTTCTACATGACGGTGATCCCCATACCTGCCCTGGACGGAGAAGAGCTCATAACTATTCTTTTCAGGACCGTCGTAAACTCTGAAGATGTGTCCTGGATGGGAAGATTCTTCCCAGGTGCTCCCTTGATCAATCTTGGCGACCTGAATCTCTCCACCATACTCTTGGTCGTACCACCACAAGTAGATATCCTTGGTCTTTGCATGGAATGTGATCTTGACATATGCATCATCAGGCATATCTTCTTCACTAATCATGGCTTCAACAGAAAGTGCCACAGTCTGGACTTGCTGCTCGTTCATGGCAGGGATGCTTCCAAGCTGAACAGCAGAGTTTTCGTGCAAGTGTCGTAGGTTAACAGTTCGTGGAATGACGGAAATGGAATGCTGGACGAGCCAGGCCAGGATGACTTGAGCGGGTGTCACCTCCTCCTTGTCGGATGGAAGTAACCCCTTGTTTTTCATATCTTTGGTGAGCTCGTTGGCCACAAGTGCCAGGTGATTGAAAGCAAAGGGTGCCTTGTCGGCCTTCAAGAACACACCATCCATCAAGTTATGGGCGATAACATGAATGTCATGTTTGTGGCAAAAGTCAATCATCATTGGGTCGTACAACAAAGACCAAGCATCGGTTTGGATAATTTGTGGCTTCACGGTAGCCATTTCATCCAACATTTTCAATTCCTTAAGATGGAAGTTGGAAACGCCAATGCTAGAGACGACGTTCTCTTCATTCATCACAAGGCTTTCTAGGGCCTTCCAACTGTTCTTCCAAGCGTTGGCCTTGTCCAAGTGAGGAGGAGGTCCGGCATCCTTGACATCTTGAGGTAGTTCATTTTCTTCGAGTTCGCAATTCATCCATGGAACATTGTCGTAACAACGTGGCCAGTGAATCATCACATGAAGCTTCAAATCAACGTTTTTGTGGTCAATGGCCTCTTGGAAGGCATTGATTGAGTTCTGAACCGCATGAAGTGTTCGGTCATAGCCCAAATGGGTGTACCACACTTTGGTGATAACGTGGACCTCGATCTTGTCGACGCCAGATTCACGTTCCAAGATTTCGGCACCTTCGATGATTCCTTTGGCCACATAAAGCTCATTGTGGCTAATGTTGGACGTGTCGAATAGATACACTTTCTTGTCTGGTTGTAGTGACCGGCTGATCATTGATGGAATAAGATCCATCAACATATTTCCAACTCCCAACCCGATAAGAGGGAATTCGACGCCATTGGAAAGAGTTCTCGTTGGGATTCCCTTCAACAAACTCCCAACAAACTGCGTTTTAGCAAACTTGGCCATTCTTGAGAACAAACCTTGACCTGAACCCTCAAGGGGCAAGAGCGCCAAAAGCAGGGGCAAAAGGGAAATGGAAGCCTTCATATTCTATTTTAATGAGATGAACTCTTTGAGATCATACACAATGGGTGGATTTGGGTGGAAAAGGACTGGGAAGCGGATACTGTAGAGGTATGGATAGGATTCGCATCAAAGTCTTTGATGTGAAAATTGCGATGACCGTTCACAAGCAGACAAGAAGGCCCATACTTCATGTCGTAAAATCACTACCTGCAGCCACTCGTTCTCTGCAACCCGCACCCTGATGAACCCGGAGATTGAAACAATTCAACGAACCTACTGTTTTTCGGTAAATATACATATATTATGTCCGAATTTTTGGTAGCGTTCAGTAGCGTTCATGGAAGAAGCGAGAACCCCAAAGCAAAACAGCCGCCGTTTTCTCGGGAGAAAAAAATGAATGCGAATCCTTTTTTATCAAAACTTCCGAAAAGAACAAGGGTATGAGAAGCCTTCTCTTACTCGGCATTCAAACAAAGATCTTCCTTCTCTTTTTCCAAGGTCCTGCCCCTACCGGTACAAGGTACCGTACCTATCGAACTTCTCTCTTCATCAGGCCTATTTCAAAATACTGTACTGTTACCTACAGTATGCTATCCTCCTTCTCTTTTTCCAAGACCCTACATTAGACCGTCCGTGATCAGGAGTTTGACGATCAGTCTCATCTCAGGCGTCTCTGAAATGCGAATGCTTGGATCGTTTATCTTCCTTTCCAATAGATCATCCATTCTACTTCGAAGGCCGTGAATCAGAGCACCGATCCTCGCATTGGCCGAAAGTTTGACCCAATTGTCAATCACAATGGTATCATTGCGTGCTTGGACATCCAGTTGACCTCCAAAGAGAAGCAGGGCATAGGCACTACATTCCGTGGCATCGCGAAGAAATGGCTTGCTCGTCTTGACCATGCTGTGGTAGACTAACCAGGGACAGCTGTAGTTGCCAACAGAGAAAAGCGCAGATGAAGGATGGATGAAAACACGCTCTTCCTTCTGTGAGCTGTCGTCGTTACTCTTGGACTTCCATGGCACCAGGGTTGCCTCTTGGTTGCGAACAAAGAACTTCATCTCTCTTGCAACACCATCCTTCTCCCGGGCTCCTTCAGCAGTATCTGCATACTTTGTAGACGGTCGATGCAGACGAACCAATTGCCCAGGGGCCATTGACGAAATGGCACAGGTACGTAGAATGCGATACGAGTGAGCATTGCAGTCCGACTCGGCCGATTTTCCATAGCCAGCAGCTGTCAACGAGGAGTCATACTGATTCACAAGTTGAAGAATATCGCGTATTCCAGTAAAGCTCAACCCTATCGAATCACAATATCTCTTTCGCCCACCGCCGCCATGCGGGATACTTTCCCATTCTATAAAGGCAGTGGCGAGCATTGCGTGGTCACTATTGCCAGATCGCTCAAACAGCTTTGCTCTCTCCTCGACAACCCGTCGTTGTTTGACATCTTCTGAACTGTCTCCTTGCCTACCCCGGAGATCTATTTTCAGAAATGGTGACCTTCCGGCACTGATTCCTGCGGCCATTGCAAGTGCAGCTCGTCGACAACCAAGAATGGATCCCATAATCAGCATCTTCCCAACAACAGGCGGTGCAGGAATACCGGCAAGGTGCATTCCAAGAGGGGTCAAGTCAAGCTCATCATTTTTGTTTGAAGAAGAATGGTCCAAGGCCCCAACTTTCCAGAGACTGAAAACGGCCGCGTCAAGAGATTCCTGGGCTGGAGGGTCCAAAAGGGTCTTGAGAAAAGACCCATTTCCTTGCTCCACTCCAAGGAACATCAGCGATAGCAAGGTCTGATCCAATGCACATCGGGTGATTTCGGGTGCCGTGTGTTCCCTTAGTTTTTCATGCGTCGCTTTCGAAATCAACTTGTAGCATTTACCAGAACGGACACGACCGGCACGACCTCTTCGTTGTTTCAAACTTGCTTTCGAGGCAAAATGTTCAATCAACATCGGCATACGGTTGGCTGGATCATACGTACTCTGCTTCTCACGACAGGAATCAATCACAACCGTACAGTCCGGAATTGTAATGGAGGTTTCGGCCACATTTGTACTTAGGATAACTTTAGTAACCCCTCCGTAACTTTTGAAGACAGCATTCTGGTCCTTCGGTTGCAGTCCACCATGAAGCGGCAGCAGGTTTACATTTAGCCCTCCAGTAATTTTGCCTACCACTGCCTTTGCTTGGTTAATCTCAGGCGCACCAGGAAGGAAAACCAAAATCGAACCGTCACGACCCATGGCATTCTTTTGAATCAAATACCTAACAAGCTGGCCAAGCATGTCGTAATCCACGCTAGACTCGTCAACTCTTTTAACTCTCTCTTCCAAGGGTGGGACGTGGCCGCCAAAGTTTCCACTTGACTTCGACTCTTCGTTATCTTCTTCTTCTTGATCCTCGGGATCTGACATTTCAGAATCGTTCCAGGGAGTGGACTTCCTTTGTCGCGGTTGACTATGGGAATTGAAGTACCGTTTCTTTTTCTTCTTTGGTGGGATGTATCCAGTTAGATCCAATACATTCTCCAAGAAAAAGTCTTCCACTGGGAATGTGCGACCAGGAATATGCATTCGTGGAGTTTTGTCACCCCAATAAGCAGCAAAACGATCTGCATCGAGTGTGGCAGACATCAAGATCACTCTCAAGTTCGGTTGCGATGACAGGGCCTTTCGGAGAAGGGCCATTAGAACATCGCCATCCAAGTTCCGCTCGTGGACCTCATCAATAACAATGTGAGTGATGCAATCGAGGGCACCTGCGCATTGCAGCTGTCTCAGTATAATACCAAAAGTGCAAAATAGAAGCCTAGTGTTCTTGCAATACGCCGAATCTCCACGGACAACGTAACCAACACTGCCAGTTCCAGGCTTTTCTTCTCCACGCTCTTGAGCTACACGAGCAGCAACACCTGTCGCTGCTAATCTTCGGGGCTGTGCAACGACAATCTTAGATTCACTCGGTGCGTTCTCCAAGATGAACTGTGGGATCTGTGTAGTTTTACCACATCCAGTATCTCCAGTGACGAGGACCACTCGGTTAAGCTACGCACGGTAGAAATTAAGAAATCGCGTCAGTATAATTATACGTAGGAACAGTGTGAGCGATTGACATGACATGCACTTACACTCTCGGCTTCCTTCATGCGCACAAGGAAATCAGCACGAGCCTTGCCAGCTGGGAGTTGAGCTCGGATGGCGCTAAGATTTTTCTCAATCTTCGGGTAGGCAGTCGCAGGTGGAGTTTTGGTAGGTAGAGTGGACCAGAACTCACCACGAGCTCTTGGACGCTTCTGAACCCTGTGCATTGTATGTTTCGCATCAAATTGTTTGCCGTTTGAACTTTTGGGTGCTGTGCCCTTGCCTTGTGTCAACTGATTTGTTTTGGCAGCAGGTTTAGCTTGGGGTGACAAAGATACAGCTGGAAGTTCGTCCAACGTCTGAAAGAGTTCCTGCACTTGTCCATAGATTTCAAACAGCATTGGCTCGCCGAGGGACAAAGTAGAAACAAACTTCAACAGTTCTACGTTGAAAGAGAGGCCCACTCTACTTGGCCAATTACCTGTCACAAGCACCTTCAGCGGGAAAACGGATGGATACTGATCGGACGGTACCACCAGATTTAGAACCAAGTCTTCTGGAGTCTTGATTGCAATATTGGATAGACCATTGATGCTAGTGATGGCACAATCGGACGGAAAGATGGCCTCCATAGCTTCCATTTCCTCTTCAAACATTTGCTTGTTCTCGGTTGCATTGCCACGCCTGTCACCACCAGCAAGATTGACATTGGCAAGTTCGCAGACCTTTGTCCAGAATACATCTTCCAGTGATTTGCCGATAGTAGCTGACTTTGCAAAAAGGGCCACCTCCTGTTCCACGAGACCATGTTCTTTTGCGAATTTCCGCACTTCAGGTGAAACAGCAGGAGCGTCCGTTTTAGCAGTAGTTCCAGTAGTCGTTTTTGTCACTGGACCGTTGGAGACAATCTCCAGTGTCGCACCTCTTGGATCAAATCCTTCTGGCAACTGATCTTCGTCCAAATGAATACACAACCATTGCAGGCAGTCATCGTATAGACCTTCCCATAGTTCTTCGTCATCATTATCATCGGCATGTTTCTTTGTTTTCGACTGCTCCTCGAAAGCCTTTCGAGCTTGTATTTTCGTGAAACCTTCTTGGTGCAGTCGTTCTTCCACATATCCTTGCCGATCAGATTGATACGGTTCTAGGGGAGCGTCGTCAGCAGAATCATCAAATACAAGATTGGTATCTCCTTTTAGCAACCGTTGAATCTGTTGACGTAGTGTCGCCGAAAGAAAGACGGGGTGGTTGCGATTGGCCATCCGAATAGCTTCGTGCTTGTGGATGCGAGCGTTTTGTTGTCGTTTCTTTTCTTCTTGAAATTTTCGTCGATCAGCGTGCGATGTAAAAGTGTTGCCTAGGGCAAGGTTGGTGTTACTGGAAGCTTTGCTATTTCCTTTTCCGCCACTGCTTGCTGTAGGGGCAGCTGGTTTGGAATCACCGCCACTGTTGCCTTTCGGCTTTCTGTTTCCAGATTCCTGTGCATCCTTCTGTGCCTGTACAGCAGCTAGCCATGTTGTTTTGTATGGTTCTGGTAGCTTGCGCTCATGAGGTAGGTTTGGCGTCAATTGAAGCAAGGCAAGTAAGGAGGCTTCCTCTTTAGCTTGTTCCTCATTTCCGACTGGGTGTGCCGGCCTCAAAATCAAATCCTTGTTGCTATCCTTTCCGTCAGGAACAATCACCCGTACTTTGAAATTTTTCTTGGCATGATCGTTCATCAACTCCTTGAATTTGGGAGGAGGTCGCTTTTGCTTTTGGCAATAGTCGCGAAGGATGGTGGACGGTAGTTTCTGCCATTGCGCCACTTGAGTCTGACCCACCGCTGTCGTCTGTGCTTGTTTTCCTGCCTGGGAAATCTGTCCAGATGCCCCCTTTTGTTTATGACCTTTACCTCCCCATTGCTGAGTTTCAGGATCCCATTTGTGACCTCTGGAGGGACGTGGGGGACGGTTGCCGCAATCGCAATTGAAGGGATGATCACACGTGCATTTTGGTGCGTTTTTCCCATTGTCACCAGAGGATCCTTTTCCCTTTTTTGACTTTCCCATATAATACTTCCAACAGTCCTTCGAGAGGCTAAAGCGGCTTGCGATGAAGAAGAGTTTGAACTAGGTGTGTAGGAACCACAAAAGGGTGTTTCAGTTTTACCGTGTTGTGTTCATGTGAGCATGGATGAAAACATTCCAATCGAATGTGTCATCTCCCTTTATTATCCCCCTGAACAGCAAATGAAAAGAGGGAGCAACCATTATGAAATGATTATTCCCACATGAAAGAAAATCGTACAGTAACCTTGTCAACAGAAAGACCATGACAAGCGTTTCGTCGACTAAACGCCACCCTAACAGCGGGAATGGTGTTGGATTACGTGGTGGCCGCGGGGGAATGGATTTACAGGGAATGGGACCCGAAGTAAAGGCACGATTGTTTCTGTTCGTTGCATGTCTCTGGCCGCTTTGGGTCATGGCCTTGTATGGAGCCTCTGCGCGTGGTGTCGATGTAGCTGGTCCCAATGCTGCGATGAAGACGTCGCGGATGATGAAATTGAGGAATGTATTGGATCGTGTCGATATCATGGGTTACGGCCCAACACATCCTCGAGTTGCCGTTATAATTGTCGGAGATACTCGGGAGTCTTTGTTGCAAAGTGTGGAGTCCATATATCGTACCACCGACATGAACCGCCTCTTTTTGATTTGCGCTGTCTTAGATGGACATGGAAATGACTCCACTTTGCTGGCGGAACTCGACAAGATCGAAAAAGGAAGTGTCCCACATTGGCATGGGCTTCGGCCAGAGATTCATATTGGCAAGTCCCATGAAGAACACTCCAAAAAGATTCATGTCCTCTTCAACCCTCACAAGCGAGGAGTCGCTGCATCAAGGACTGACGCTGCTGATTTCATTAGCCTTTTGCAACACAAGCATGAATCGGCTGGATTGAAGAGTCCTCAAGAGGACTTGATCTTGCTTCTCTTAGAAGGAGGGACCCAGTTGACCGACAACGAATGGCTTCCTGCAGTCACAACGTCTCTGATTGTTCCCCCACCTCTAATTCACACAGAGACCAATGACGATGCGACGGAAAATATTGCTATGAAGCTAGCCAATGCAGTTGCCTTGCGTTCGCAAGATCACGGTGAACGCATGGCCGCAGACGAGCATTTGCAATTGGTGCAAGAACCAGTCCCAGCTGCGCACATGCAACAATCTAGTGGACAAACATATCTTACTCCCGTATGGAATGGAGGTGGTCTTGCATTACGACTTGATACCTTCTTGAATTTTCCAGCTCAGGATGCATCTTTGAGGGATGCATGGGCAGCCAATTTGGACGTCACTATGAACCTCTGGCTGTGTGGTGATGGTATAGACGTTGTTCAAGAAGCCTTGATTACGCAACCGTTAGCACCTACCAAGATAAATGCTGATCTTGCAGCTCGTTTTGCTGCTGTCTGGATGGACGATAAAAGTGCCCAAAAGTTCTTGCAATGGTTCTCCCCTAGCACCAAATCCTTGGATTGGGAAACCAAGCTGACGCATGCTCGGAACTCTCCAACGTTCCCAAAGAAGGTACAGTCTAGGTGTCGATCATTTGGATGGTACGTGGAAGAAATCAACACAGTCTTGAGCAAGATCCTAACCGAAGAGCCACCCAAGCGAGACGAGGGAGAAGCGGACACCTCGAATGAATCGTCGTCCGAAGATGCCCAAGCCGTGGCACGGAAAATCTTTGGTGGTGCCAAGGCTGGTCGTCAGAATGGAAGGCAAGAGGAGGAACACAAGGCACCACCAGCACAAGAAGAGTCCAGCAGTAGTAAAGACGAAGATGGGCGAAAGAAACCCACCTTCCCATTGAGAAAGATAAATCTTGAGATTGTTCAAAAGGCCAAACCGATTGATATCAAATTCGTTGACGTATCAGGCGGCCACAAGGAGCATCCGCATATGGGAGCCAATGATGAGGATGGAAAGATAGGTTACATTCACAACGAGGCAATACTGCACAGAAATCCCCCGACTTTCCACTTTGACAGTGATAAAAAAGAACACATGGCTTGCGCTCCTCGAGATAACAACTGGAAGATGATGACGAAAAGAGTCAAGGTTGAATCGGAATATGACCAAAAAATGGAGAACAGCGGAGTTAAACGCGACAAAATCTTCTGTCTTGTTTACACTACCGAAGAGAGTCACGGCAAGATTCCAAATATTCGAGTAAGTTGCACTGAAACTATCTTTTCAGCGCCCACGTTCGCCACCTAATCTTTTTGTTTCGCAGGAAACTTGGGCATCCAAATGTGATGGATTCATGGTAGGAAGCACAAAAACAAACAGTAGCTTGGGTACTGTGGACATTCTTCACGAAGGCAAGGAGGAATGTAAGTTCTGTCTTGGTGGTGAGGCATGTGTGAGTGCCGATTAAACTGACATGGATATTTCTTGCAGACGAAAACATTTGGCAGAAAGTTCGATCAATGTGGAGCTACATCTACGACAACTATTACGGTGAGTCCACAAGATTCTGGTTAGAACTCGTGGAAATGCTGTCTGATCTCACTTGGTCTTTCAGAGAAGTACGATTGGTTCCATATTGGAGGTGATGATCTCTTCATGATTGTTGAAAACTTCCGCTACTACCTCGAAAGTGAGGAAATCAGGACAGCAGGAAATGGTGGTATGTACCTTCCATTCGGGAACGAAACCATGCAAACGCCTCTACTATTAGGTCGTCGATTCGCCTACATGGGAGATATGAACAATATTTTCGATTCTGGAGGTTCTGGCTATACGATGAACAAAGCTGCACTGAAAGCTCTTGTTGTGAACGGATTCCCGAATTATTTTCCACACATGCACACCTTTTCGGAGGGTACGTTTCGCTCCAGAACACTCAGTTCCCTCTTCCTTTGATTTCTTTGCACTAATCAGAATCTCCTTTCGCTCTAGATACGATGGTTGCTAGAGTCTTCCGAAAGATGGGAGTATATCCATATGATACAAAAGACGATAATGGAGGGGAGAGATATATGCCCTTTATGCCAGGGCATCATTGGAGCTACCATTTGCCAAAGGATCCTTCAAAAGATTGGTACGCAAAGTATTCAATCGACATTAAGGAAGGTCCAGAGCATTCATCCCCGCAGAGTATTGCTTTCCACTATGTCAAAGGTGACGACATGAAACGGCTCTACGCTCTTGCATACGGACTGTGCTCCGACGAGTACAAGTAAAATATAAAGAAATCTGTTACATTACGAGCTATAAAAGCATTGGTACAGTATGGAAGATTAAAGAGTACGGTACCGGTACTGGTACCTGGTTCGAGTTTGCTTTTAAAGTCATTCCACGCAAAAAGGAGCTGATCAGTGTACAAAGACCGGGAATCGAACCCGGGACCTCAGCTGTGTTAAAGCCGCGTCATAACCAACTAGACCATCTCTGCTACGATTGTGCACTCCTCGCCGTATTTAAGCTTTACAATAGTTTTTACTATATCCCTGCATCGGTGAAAGAGAGCACTACCTTGTATCATCTAGAAATTTGTTGCTTTACTCTTATACTATCGAGTATTATGCGTTGACAAGTATTGCGCTTTTACAATCCACTACTTCCTTCGATTTTTGCTATGATGAACGGATGACACCCCTTCTGAGAAACCAATACTGTCCAATGTCACTACATCAAAGCGGTCGTCTTGTGTACTGTATAGTAGAATCTGAATTGAGCGTCTCTTTGCATCTGTCTGATTACTTGAGCTCCAGAATCCCGTGCGTTTCATATGGCTGTCGATTGCTCCTCCCAGAGTCTTTAGTGCTCTTTTTTGAGACGGGTGCCTTTCTGCCACGTCGCTACAAGCCTTAGATGTGCTGTGCTCTCTTTCGCGTTTCATCAGACAAGTCCCAAACTCTCTCAACGTAAAGAACGAAATTTCAGTGACTGCAAAAATTGGTATTGCTTCACCTGATGTCTTCGAGTTTGGATTTACGAAAGCAGAAAGAAACCCTTCTGCTCGTTGTTCAATTGCTTTCGTGGTTTTCTTCACAGTCTTCCAGTTGGAAGACGACCGATGTTTATCTGTTTCATCGTAGTACTGCCCGTGATCAACATAGATACAATCGAGCGAAGGAGAGATGCCGCGATTTGAGTCACGATTACCGGCATTCAGAGGATGGGCGAGTGAATCGGATTGTTCCTCATCGGTTTCTTCTCCACCACCCACATTGGAAGACAAATCCCGTATCATTGATGCCAAGTTCTCGACGCTCACCGAGTGGTCGTTGCTATTCTGCACTGTTTCGACACCGTCGTTCATCAAGACACGGCGCAGACGGACAGTACCCTTGTCATTGAACAGATGTGGATCAACAATGACGATAAAAGGTATCTTGGATGCACAAAACACAACGTTAGCAAGGAGTTTAGTCGACAGTGCATGTAAAGCTCTCTCGACACTTTACCTTCATGATGGCACAAATACCGCAAACATCTTCAAGCGACCATCCCTAAAAGCGAATCTATTCAATTAAGATACACCACACATAACATAACATAACATAACAAGAAAGGCGGAAACAGATACTTACAGTTGTCACAGCACCGTATGCGTCATCACGACTCTCCTTGATCAAACTATTGATGACTCCACTCTGGGTCATATATTCTGCTGAAATTCCTTCAAGCCACAGGCGGGATGTCACAACTAATCTTTCCAGGGAATCTGTACCATCAAGAGTGTTCGCCCCAGTTACAATGCATCGAATTGGCGATTGTATCGCGCTGAAAGGATGAGCAAGGCTAGTTCGCAAAACATCGATGCCATGTTTATCAAGGCTGAATTTTGTTGAATCTGAGATGAGAGAATTATCTGTGGTGCTATTCGCGCTTGCTAAAGAAGCATCCAAATATACAAGCTCTACCAACCTTCCAATCAAAAACCTCACTCCCACACACTACCGGTACATTTGCTTGAGATTGAGATGTGAATTACAAGAGAGACAGGAAATGAAATCGATCTCGTACCTTGGGAATAGACGCTGTTGTGTAATCGTGAAAAAGAGCAGACCCAAAATTTCCTGGAGGACGTGATTTTCGAACGAGGTCGTCAAACCGTCCTCCTTCAGCTATCTTGAATGCCTTGCCCGACGACAGTAACATGTCGCTCGATTGCTGTTCGTCAATAGTCAAGCCAATTTGATCAAAGTAATCAGCAGGTAGTGCAATACAGTGGAAAAGCACCTGTCCATGATAATGCTTGCGTCTTTGTCGCAGTCCCAAATCTATTGAGACAAAGAGTGGCTGATTCAATCTTGAATTCGACCCATTTTCCCCGTACATAGTTTGGATCCCAACAGAGCGGAGCGTTTGGATGAGTGTCGACACATACTTGAGAAACTTATTGATATCTCGACCAATTCTTCGACGCTCCATTTCGGCATTTTCAGGTCGAAGATTTGAAACTGCTGAAGCAAGTCTTGCAACTGCTTCCTCTGCATTGGACGGTAATGGCATACATAACTTAAAGAAGATACGCAGATTCTCCACAGGGGATGCTTCCAGGCCATGAAGGCTTCGTAGATCAGTCAGGAATTTCTCCAACAATTCTTCTCTTGAGTTTTCAACCTGACAGCTATCTGACCGCTTCCTCCTCAATGGTAGTTGTGACCGAAAGAAATGACACAAAGTGCTTGGAGAGGGACTGGTCAATCTGCTGAACATTTGTAGACAAATTTGCCGCACCTGCTCCTTCGCGGGAATTCCACATAACTCCAGGATCGAATCAGCCAATCGAGTGTGGCCAAGACGCAGATACCACATCGGCAACCTTGACCCTTCAGGCAAACTTCCATATGTGACGGCTTCAAAACTAAATTAGATGGATTCTGGTTGTGTCAATGCTAGTCCCCATCAACTTACAATGTATTGGGATAGAACTCATTATTTGGGAAATTGAAAGGATAATCTCGGCCTCCAAATGCTGCCCTTTTATTCTTGGATCATCTTGCACAATATCAAAGGTTGCTTCAAGTGATTCTTTGGGGTGCCCACCAACGGCACTTTTGTGATATACTCTGGAAATGTCGTATCTTTTTACGTTAGAGGTCGCCACCCCTCCTCGACCAACCGCTCGAGCACTGTGCCAGGAGAAGATATTTGAGATGATTGCAATCACATTCCGAATTTCATGAAAACACTTACAATGGAGCTGTCAGATCTTCTGGTAAGAGTAAAACCGACCCCCTTGCGTTCAAAACCTCGGCTGGTCCACTGACTGATGTTTTCGTGTTCTTTGTGCCTGGGCGAGGTCTCAGAAGCGGATTCCTCAAACGTACTGCGCCATGGCTCAGGAAAACTGTTGACAACTTCTCCTTTATTGAATCGACTAATCGAGGATCAGCGCCGAGCATACCATCGAAATTTCCCTCAAGGGCAGCGGTGGTTGCAGCTGACATGGCCAGTATACCTGCTACACGCTGTGTAGAACGTTTCATTACTCCTTTAACGCCTTTTCCAACGTTTCCTGCATTTCGCGCCCTTTGAAGCGCTAGCGTTGCTGCTATAAGCGAAGCATTGTTCATCGAAAGTGTAGAAGTCATTGTTGACATTCGAAGCTCCTTAATTCCTTGTAGCAGAGCAGCAAAAGGCGCCACTTTGCCCTTCGATTTTTGCGACTTCCTGACAGTATTTGCTTCTACAACCACGTCCGTATCGTACGTGAACTCTACCAAGTCACTGGTTTGTCGTTTGAAAAGCGAATCCAAGATTTGGCTGTAGCCTTCAGATTGAACGTCAGTCAGCAGCTGCAAAGCCTCTTCCAAATAGCGCTGTTCTACTTCCATTTTCCTTGGAAGTAATTCACTCTGTACGATTTGAATTTTTAGTGAAGATTCTGTAGTATCTACATTTGATCCCATGACGTACCTTCAATAGCTCCTGTGCAGTCGGACGTTGCTTTGGATCTCGTTCTAAGCACCATAGAATTATTCTTTGCGCATTTTCCGGTGTCGTTTCAATAAACGAGGTGGGAAATCGACATTCCCTCTTCGCGAAGAAGTCATCATCTGGGCTTTGCTCTTTGTCCGATATGATCGCATCCCCACGGAGCTCTTCTAGTGTTTGGGATCGCTCCATGTACTACATATGCAATCAGAGTCAGAAGGGTCAGTGTTTGCAGAGTATTGCTTGAAGACAAACGTGTTTTGTATTACCGTTTCAAAAGGTGGATGGAACATCTCGAAAAGGATGATGCCAAAGCTGTACATGTCGACTTGAACATTATACGATCCTGTACCTTTTATATTTTCCTTTGATGCAGATGCCTCCTGTTCAGGAGCTCTATATCCAATAGTACCCACACCACCAGTTATAGATTCTTGAACTGTTGATTGCTGGGAAACCATGGAATAAGGATGGATCGTCGATGGTTGAGAAACCATCGAATATGGTTGGACTGCTTTCCCAACAAGCCGGCTAATGTCAACAATGTCTTCGTAGATCGCATTGGCCTCAGCAGACGCTGCGTCGTCTATGGCAAAGTCAGGTTTCTCAGGCCTCCGAGTCGCCAAGCCAAAGTCACCCAAGCGAATGTTCCCTTCAGAGTCCAGAAAAATATTTCCCGGTTTCTTCAGTGAAAAAGCTTCAGTTAGTAAGAGTATCATATGCTCCGTAGACGCAGTGCTGTACAAGCCTCACCAGATCGCGATGGATAATGTTGCGGCTGTGGATATACACGAGTGCCTCGATGATTTGCCGCGTTAGACGCCACATTTCGGAAACTTCCATATTTACCAGAGCTTGGTCGTCTATGAGCTTGCGAAGGGTTGTAGAGCAAAACTCCATCTGCTGGAAGTCAGAGAAGCAATCAATGCGAGAGAATGGCGAAGTGATAGACGTACCTGTATGTACAAAATGCGTTGATTGCTCTTCGTATGATCAACCTTGACTGATGATTCGTCCCACATCGATTCTCCACCATCAGAGCTTTGCACAGGAGAGCTTGATGCCATCTCGTCACCATACAACCCATGATATGAAATATTCTGAAAGCCAAGTCCCGATAGTAAAGGATTCTGAATGGTTTTCATTGTCAGCAATGTTGTGTTAACGAAGCACCGAAGTAGTACCGATCAATTTCCTCACCTGAAAACCATGCTCATTTTCTTGCTCTAACAGGTTTACAAGAGAGCCCCTGTGAAGCTTTTGAGACTCCAACAGAGCACCAAGACCTGACGATGTGTCCTCATCAGGCCAAGGTGAACTTGAACTAGACCCAGACGAGCGGACACATGAATCTGATTCATCACTCCAGTCATCGCTTTCCTGGTCATCGTCTCCCTTGTCTCGCTTAGGTCGTGAAGAAATCTTGCCGGACTGCTCCAAGTCCTTTCCTGTATCTATCGATTTTTCGAGGCTTTCGTCATCCTCTGAGATGGTGTTTTCACCACCACTGCTCCCCTCTTGCCAGGCTTGGTAGTATCTAACAATATTCTTATGTGTCATTCGAGAAATTGTAGTCACTTCTCTTCTAAGCTTCCGGTTCTGTACGGCCCCAAACTTTGCAAATTTTCCACGCTCTGATTCTAGGATAATCTTTTTGACAGCGTACACTCGACGATCTAATCTATTCCGCACTTTCACTACCTCACCACCTCCGCCTCTTCCAAGTACACCTAACTCGATGAAGTCTGCCTTATACCGGCTAGAACCTGAGAGAGGAGCTAATGCCCCTTCGTTGTAACTGTCATCGTCGTAACTGAAATCATCTTCGTTGTCATCCTCGTTGACACCAAAGAGGAACACGTGAGTAGTCGATTCAGCCTCCTGATTCGGATTTAATAAATTTCCTTGGTGTTTTCGCCGCCGATTTTCTGCAATTGCCTCTGTTTGCCTCGCGAGTTCTCGTTCCAAGTCGGCGGCTGGAGTGAAAGTCCTAATGTTGTCTGGTTGCGAGCCAACTTCATCAGTCACCGTCATTGAGTGCGAATTTGTTTCAAAACTTTGATTCTCCATACTATTCCTTTGCTCTCGCTCTTCTTCTGCTTTCTCTTTCGCTTCTCTGGCCTTCATTTGTTCCCAGGCTGACATGCTCGGATCAGTATTGTGGTCGAGAAGATAATCCTCGGCAACCTGAACCAATTCGCAAACCATAACAGATCCAACCTCTGCGAGTTCAGAAGCTCTGCCTCTCAGATGTTTCACGAGTGACGATTGTTCATTCTTTGAAAGTCCGTTCACATTTTTTATCTCTATTACAGGGACAACATATGGATATTTTTTGCCAAGTTGGACTGATAGGGTCAATGTGCTTCCAATCTTGTCGGTATCAAGATCAGGAGGCCGTACATTCACTTCCAGCCGCGTTGAACCCCATGCGCCCTCCGCTTTCGAAAAATCTGGGCCATACACAGCGCCGAGAACCGTTTCTTCATCTACACGATGTGACGACAAATCTTCGTAGGATGGAATCGTCAGGTCGCCAGCGTCTTTTTCATTCTTTGGTTTATCTGAATCAGATTTTTCCTCTTGTAATGCAGCGAAACGTCCTGATGGCATGATATTTCGATCACTAACTCGTTCTGTCCATACTATGCAGTCTTTGGTTACGTAATGTTGTGGTAGATATGATGATGAAGGAAGTGAACCCAGAACTTCGAATCGTGCGCTTCGTAGATTTTAGTCAATCTGGTCGTCCCATTTTCGCCCTGTACTCGTACATACTTCAACAAATCGTTTCCCATACTTTGGCGCAATACAATCTTACGAGCGACACAGCAAGGCATCAACTTCATTCATAACAGGTGCAGTAACCAGTCAAATAAGATAAACAGTAAAAATGATTCTTCAGGCAGGTCACGAGTCCGAAATCCAAAATTCGACAAAATTACAAAGACCGGGAATCGAACCCGGGACCTCAGCTGTGTTAAAGCCGCGTCATAACCAACTAGACCATCTCTGCTCAGTTGTGAAGAAGAAAAAAATACAGATACACAATCTCTCAACTATTGATCCCATACGTTATGAAGATCGGTGCCTTCGATTATCTAGAATTGGTTGCTTTGGTCCTAATATAATCAGGTATTACACGTGTACGGTCTGCTACTTCCTTCGGCCTCGGCTATGATGACCAGTTGACACACCATCCGAGAAAGCAGCGTTCTCCAACGTCAACCGACAACACTCTAGTCGAGCTATCTCCTTTGCAAACACACGAATGTGATTGAAAAGATAGTATAGTCTACTCCTCCATCTTATTAGAATCGTCTTTGTCGTGCTTCTGTTGAGCTTTCAGCAACTCCTCGTTCGATTTGGTTGCGTCGAAACCCTTGGTACCACCCTTGCTTTGATCGAGGTCCTTTTCATGAAGAAAAGGAGTTTCCAGGTATTCCGTAGGAGATAATCGGAACTTGAGCTTCCCTTGTGTCAAATCTATTGAACAGGTATGTCGCTTCAACATATCCAAGCCCAGTAAGAAGTCCATATCCTGCGGTTTTGCTTTGTCTTTGTCACCGCCTGCCATGGGCATAGTAGCATCGTCCATTACTGTTACACTACAAGGGAAATGTATGTGTCCGATTTGCAGTTGTACCATATGGATCCTTCCCAATATTTTTCCTGTTCCCACACCCATTGCAACACCCGCAAATCTTGTGTCTACCAAGTCAAGAATACCGCAATTCCTTGCCATCTTCTTGGACATGATTGTCGATTGGGCTCCTGAATCAACGAATGCCTGTATTGGATGCTCATTGATCTTGGCATCAATGTAAAGCATCAGAACTCTTCCCATACTCTCTGGATACTCTTGCATCACTTGACGATATTGCTCGTCGACTTCACGCTCTTTCTTCTTCTTGTCAAAGTATTCCTTAGCTTCGGTGTCATTGGGGTTCTCACGAAGCCGTTTGGTGAAATCTTTTTCTTTGTTCAAGGATTGCGAAATCGCAAAAGAAGTCTTGATACTGCCCTTTACCACATACTCCCTCCAGACTTGTACAGCCTCGTCATACGAGAGACCTTTGATCTTTTGTGCAAGAACAGGGTTTCGAAAGTTCAGCTCCTTGAAAAGATTTACCTGTTCCTGGAGGAGCTTCACAATTGCTTTAGGATGGGGGTTTGCGCTTCATGACGCGGTGCCAAAGAATTTGAGAGACAAGCAACGACAAGACACAAGGAAGCAAGCGTCAAACGAAGTTCTTACTCCATGGCATCTTGCAAGTTCATGCCTGCGTAAAACACTGTAGAAGGATTATCGGCATTTCCACTGGATGCCCCAAGAAGATTGCTAAAGTTCAGACCGCCAGCAGCGGGAGCAGGTGCGCTTGTTGATTCCAGCAGGTTGGAAAAGTCTAACCCACCGGCTGGAGCTTGTGCAGGAGCAGGGCGTCGAGCGGCTGGAGGCATTACGACAAGCAAATCTCCATTCGCAACGCCAGCTTGTGCTAGCGACTGAGTTGTTGAGGCCAGAGGTTTTCCGTCTTTGGCGATGATGAGGTTGCCATCCATTCCTAGTAGGGCCTTTCCAAACTCAACTACTTCACCGATCGTCATTGTGTTGGCAACAGGAATTGACTCAGATTGCCCAGTCTGAGGATTGCAAAGTGTAATGGTAATATCACTCATTGCTAAGTCTACTCTAAAATAGTGACGTGATGGAGGGTTTGAATTTCCGCTTTTGTTTTCTGCAACTTTCTGTGTCCGTGAGTCTTCGCGGACGAAATTGGACGCTATTTGTAAAACGATGTCTGTCTGAAAGGTGGTTATTAGTTATTAGCAGCTTTCCGACGAGCAACAGGAGTAGAGAATAGCATGATATCGACGGAGTGGAGGGTCCGCTGATGGTTCTTCATCGTCTTTTAAGTGAAAAGAGACGGTACTTGTTGAAATCTGACCCATTCCTTCCAAGGAGGTTATCCCATGGACACTCATTAAATCCTCAGCTCGCCATACACTGGGAGTGTCTCTTCTCCACTTCACATGAAAATTCGCTGTGGCTTGGTGGTATCTTGTTTCCTTTAACTCATCATTTGTATCCATGCACTGTATACCCACCGAAGAGAAGCATGAAGAGATAATTCGATCTTCTACCGAAGCTTGGAAGTGAGGCCGGCAGGGGTGCGTATCAAACAAGTCTTCAACGAGTATTTTCAAAGCAACACGGTTGAGAGTGTACCCAGATCCCCCTCCACAGTACCTAATCTGTGTTTGTGGATAGTCGATCATATTGCCCCCGAGTAAAAGGGGAGCGGATTGATTCCACGCCCCTTTCCACGAGCCTGTTGAGACCAGATGCTTCAAATTTTCTGCAATCACATAGTGATCATCTCCTCCAATGTGAAAGAAGTCGTATTCACCCCGATAGTGTTGGTGTGCATACTCGAACATGGCTCGAACCTTCAGCCACATATTCTTGTCTAGGGGAAAGTAGTTGTGAGAAAGACTTCTGCAATCGCGGCACGGTGATCAAATACATCACTTACAAGCTTCAGGACCCTCATGAAGAAGGTGAACTGCTCCGATCGAAAGGTCTGTATGATTGGATGCTGCCATGAAACCATCACAACGTGGGCCGTATGTTTCTGCTATCGCCCGAATCCGATTGTGCGCTCCAGAGTGCGTATACACCAGACAGAGCACCTTTTTTTGTTCACTAGAAACGGGCATGATTTGAATCTTTTTCAAACCGCGATAGCCAGCTTTCCCTTCAGGGCCTTGTCCAAAGGGCAGCTCACAAGTGTCACCTTTGGTGAATGGCAGAATGTTACGCCTCAGATAGGTAGAATCATGTATGTAACCCGGATTACCGTCTTCATCATGCGCAACGACTGGAATATCCCATTTCTCTTTACAATGTCCCTTCAGTATTGCATGGACCCTCTCAATGGAATTCATATAGGAAATCTTTGATGCAGCTTTATTGACTTCGTCCAAATTAAAAGAAGCTGTATATGTTGATACTCCGTTCAATCCAGACTGCATGAATATTCCATGGTGCTTGGAAAGTGGTTTGTTTTTAATCGGGCCCTTGACTTTTCGATTCCAGTTGGCGTGATAGTCAACGCCAAATTCCAAGTATCTCAAGGCAGAAGAAGAATCTGTCGTTTTGCGACACTTGGTGTCTAACAATTGATCCAAACACAAACCCAACAGCCGGTCGGATCCGAATTCTAGTGACTCTAGTTTGCATTTCTGAAGATCAGCATTTAGAGCCAATCGATTCACTGTGAATCCTGCTTCGCCACCACAAAACCTCTCCTTTGGCTCTTGAATAGAGGGAACAACTGCACCACCGAGGATCATGGGCTCCGAGTGATAATTTTGACCAATTTCCGATACCATCTTTTTCAGATTTTCTGGAATGACATAGGTATTGATCTTTCCAAAATGCGTTGCCGTGTAGTTGTCAAGGTGTTGCGTTCGGACGTATGACCAAACCTTGGAAAAACGATCCCACTCATTGTCACTTGATGAATAAAGCTTTATGGCTTGTCTTTTATCATCAGTTTCGTTGGACGCTGCAGTGAATCCGTCGCATTGCGGTGCATAGGTTTTCAACACGGCCTCCAACGAAGTCGAATGCTGTGTGGAGTCTGTCATGACTATGCACAGTAGTTTTATAGAAGATTCAGGATCACTTGATATTTGAATCTTTGTCAGCGCTTGAAATCCCATTTTGCCTTCGACTGAAACATGTGTTGAGATAAGGAAAAAGCCTAATGGATTGATGACAATTGGGAAACAAAATGGTCCGTACCTCCAAAGGATGGTGAGATTTGACAAGGGTCACTGGCATAATTGGATGCCACAACATCACCGTTATTGCTTGAAGAATCAAATAAGTGACTCTTGCTTATATCCAAAGGGATTTTTGCCAAGTTGAGAGCATGGCCCTGCCCCGGGAACCAGCCATCTTCTCGCTGATTTTCAAATGTTAACAAATGATGGAGAAATACAGTCTTCTGAACCACCTCCAGCAGAATCAGACAAAATCCAAGAACAGCCACATGCCTGAGAAATTTACCCATCCCTGTACTCTTCGCCTTCTTCTTGCGTCAAACTATCGAACAGACATCTTCTTAGAAGCCTTGAAGATACAGTTTGTTTTGGTTTTTTTAAGTTTGACTTTTGTTTTGGTTGGGTCGGGTCTATTGAAGCTCCTTCATAGACCAGTCCGATCAATGAGTCGAATTGATCATATTTGATTTTTCGAAGGCATTCAAAAATGAAATCGCGTGCAAGGCGTGGTACTGGCGTACGTGGAAATGAATTTGGACGATGATGAGACCGTTGACGAACCAAGACGATCCGTCGCAGAAGGCATTGCTCATTAGAACAAGCAGCTGCTTCCAGCTATTCCAACAAAATGTTTCTAGTAGACTGGTGGTATAGTGCACTAGCGAGTCTAGGTGGGTGTTCGCCCGTCGGTGTTTGTCTCGAGATATTCCATGCAGATATTCGCACGAATGACTGAAGGGAAATTCTCGTGACTTTCCGATGCAAACAACCGACAAACTCATACTCACAATTAATATCTTGCTCCTCTCTCTCAGGGCTTTACCACAAGAATGCCAAAATCCTATTTTTGGGCCTTGACAATGCGGGAAAAACAACTCTTCTTCACATGTTGAAAGAGAACAGAGTGCAAGTTCACGTTCCAACGTTGCACCCAAATACCGACGAATTGATCATTGGAAACATCAAATTTAAGACCTTCGATTTGGGTGGTCACGAAACCGCTCGTCGTTTGTGGCAAGATTATTTCACTACTGTCGACGGAGTCGTTTACCTTGTAGATGCGATTGACAGAGGCCGTTTCCCAGAGGCAAAAAAGGAGTTAGACGCACTTTTGACCAGTGAGGAGTTGCAAGAGGTTCCATTTTTGGTTCTTGGAAATAAGATTGATATGCCAACTGCTGCCAGCGAAGAAGAACTCAAGTACGCTTTGGGATTGGTCGACACCTATGGAAAGGACAAGGGACCTGATGGAAGCGGAACTCGCCCAATTGAATTGTACATGTGTTCCGTCATCCGAAGAATGGGTTATGCCGATGGTTTCAAGTGGCTTTCGCAATTTCTATCTTAGTCATTTTTTACTCTGCTGTCATTCTCTTCTTCAACCTTTGTCGTCATTGTTACTATGTACACTGTAGGTACCCTTCTTGCCAAGAAATTTGAACAGATTGATTTACTTCCACTTCTGCTTCATTCGACCAGGAAGACTAAACCGTCTGATATGCGACGGTTTTCCTTGAAGAGAAATCTTGAATTCACGTTGGAACGCTTTTTGCACTGGACAATGTTGTAACTGTGTACTGAAACACATCAATCATTCTTTCAACATGGCTCGAGTTTTGCAACAATACGCTTTGGCGGCTCTCATCCTTGTACTATCTGCAAATGCCTTTACGTTTCAAATAGCTCGACAAGGCGCAGTATTGGCACCTCCACGATCATCATCAATACCATGCGCACCAAAGTCAAACCTTTTCGGATGTACCAGACCATGCCGCGCGAAAACGTTCATGACAGAAGCTGCGAATGAGCCCGAGGAGCCAGACATTAAAAGCACCAATGATTCCAAGACGGAGAAAAGTGATGAAGTTGAGGAGAAGAGAACGCGAACATGGTTGTTGACAGTTCCATTATTCTTTAAATTTGTGATAGTCCTCCTGTTGAAGTTCGCCACCGACTTGGTAGTGTATCCACTACTCTGGCTCTACCGACTGGCTGGCATTGTAAAGAGAAAATTCAAGAGCCTCATTGGAAGGGGGGACACCACACTTGACAAGACCAATGGAGAATCATAAGCTCCTCGTCGTGTCAAAAAGCTGTCATATCAATGCATCAATGAAACAGTTTGTTCTTAAAAGTTTACATTAGTTTTACAATATTTCTACAACTTGAAGCCGTCTGCCTAAGGTGGCATTTATCTATTTGGCTTAGGGGGGAAATGCCGAATGCATCCACAAACTAATGGATGCCAGAACCCCACCTGCGACCTGTTGCAATGAAATGGTATCATCACCGTCAGAAAACCGAGTCTGAAGAACTCCAGAAAGCACCAGTCCAAAAATGAGGGCGAACCCCTTCTTCACTGCACCTGCATGTTTTGTGACCAAACCAACCAACAAACCTCCAGTAGCATTCGTAACGACAGGAATCCATGTCTTCCATGACCAACCCGCGGTAATCTTATCCTCGCGCAATCTTTTGCCATCTGGGCTACCCATGAATAGGCTAGTGAGCAAGATCAAAGTTGAAAATAGGCTCAGTTCCATACTCAAGACAAATGGGTTGCAAGATGTGCTTTGAAGCGTCTTTTGGGTAAGGGCACCAGCGAGACCGGAAATGAAGCTTGCTACGAGAATCGGTATAACTCCCGACACAAAATCAGCCCTATCGCTTTCGGGAACACTGCTGCTAAATTTCATCTCCAATGACTCCTCCTGCTTTGCCTTTCCAATCCCAAGCGGCACAAGACCTGCCAGCACTAGAGCAGAGAAGAGTAGAATCAGAAGAGACACAACTTGAAATGACGACTGTCGCTTTCCCATCACTAAGTAACAGCATAATGCAGCAGACAAAGTTTTCGTTTGATTCAAGATGTTGAAAGTCACTGGAGGCAGATTTTGGTAGGCTATCAGGGAACAGTAGTTTTGGATCAAGTACAGTACGGAAGGAATGCCGGCACCCAGAAGTGCACTCTGGAGCGTCCATTGACTGATTGACTTTCCAAAATCACCAGTGATCAGTAGCATGATGAGACACAACAGAAACCTTGATGAATCTTGTGCCAAAAGAACTGTGCTTCTCACGATGGACTTTGGAACTAGCGCTTTCGTCAGGATAGGCTGACAACCGAATTGAATCGCCAATAAACTCAAGTAGATAGGTGTTTGAGGAACCGAAAACCCACTCTGTAGTTCTGTGGTTCGTTGCCGCCTTGATTTTTGAAATCGGGGATGACTATTACGCCTTTTCTCAAAATTGGATCCAACACCACTCGTCAGTGGTATCTTTGCTCGATGAGGCTGAGGTGAGAATGCCAAAGCCGATCCCATATTGCTTCTATATTGACCCGGTATCGTCACGAAAACAAGGATCACGAAGGTCGATGATAGCATATTCGGTGAAGCTCTCATTGTTCCCTTGTACCAATGCACAGAGCAGCTTGTTTTGTGTGGTGAGGCCCAAAACTTCAAACTTCAACAGCCAAAGTCTGTCCGTGCGACGTGACCAGTCGTTAGTTTTTATATGGAAAGAAACAACGCTGACAAAAACGCGAAGCATCATAGAACAACAACAACATGTCCCTTGAAGAAGAGATAAGACAAAAGGTATGCCATGAGAAGACCTTTTCAATAAACCTATAGCTGGAATGTTATGTGAACTTTCGGCCCCTTTCTGTCTCATCTAATATTTCTGTTGTTTCATCCTCTCCAGTGCCAAGATGTGCTCGAAGCAGTACACATCGATTGCGACATTGAGGGAGACGGCTGTAGTGGTGGAGCAAAAGTCGACTTGAAGGTTGTGAGCGCCAAATTTGAAGGGGTCAAGCTTCTGCAGCGTCACCAGATGGTCAATGAAGTGTTCACGGAGGACCTTAACAGCAACCGGATTCATGCACTCACAATCAAGGCCTGGACACCGGAGCAATACGAGAAGAAAATGAAAAAATAATTTTCAGCATCATCTACAACGAAGGAGAATGATTTGAGCGATCCTTATTTTGGATGGTCATGTGGCCATCACGCATCAGCAAAACCACCAAGCAAGCACCCATCGAAGAATCCAAATTGGATCTGTTTCAGTTATGGGGGACGTTTTCGATCCCCTCTTTATTTTTCATTTTGGGGAGGTTGACTCCCACGAAAGCCTAAGCTAGTACAATCGCCGCTTACGTTTCTGGATTGATTCCAGCTGGATTTCAACTTTTGTCTTTCGTATCATCGTTCATTCAATGCGAGTTCAGTAGTCTCCAGAGACGAATACCAGCAAACGAATATATATATATATATTATCACGTTGTGGATAAGCTAGAAACACAACAATGAAATTCCAATCCACAGCCCTCTTTTGGCTGCTTCTAAATGCGACTGCTTCCTCTTTCGCAACACCTCCCAATTGCCAATCAAAGTCAATGACAACTTCAACATCCACAGTTTGCTTGCCAGGTGTTTTCCGTGGAGGCGCAGAATCTCGATCACAGCTATCTGCAGTAGAAAGCCTATCTCAGTCGATGATATCGACCGAGAATCTCGATTTGTTGCCGGAGAGAGGTCGGGCAGCAGTCCTAAGTTTGATCGAAAGCGATGTCGATTCTTCTCAGAGCCATGTTTATGGCGACTGGCCAGAGGCAGGAACACAAGACGAGGGCAAAAAGCGTCTCTCTGAACAGGTACGATTGTTATTGTCGTTTTGGAAGACTTGACCTATGATGGCCAACTCACAAAATGATCTTTCTTTCGTCATACAGCTCGCTGATCTCAATGCGTCATACCCTGGTGGACTCACTGACTACCTTTCCAAAGCCAGAACTTTATTGAAGGAGAGTGCAGATGGCCTGAATCCTTTCGAAGAATACGAAGCGATTGTTCCCGAAGGCGAATCGCTTAGCTTTGATGGCGAAGGAACCATGTCCTTCGCGGAAGCAGAACAATTGGGTATGGAAGCAATGTCTGGAGCCGTATTTGTTCTCGTGGCCGGTGGTCTTGGTGAGCGATTGGGTTATTCTGGAATTAAATTGAGCTTAGAGACAAACTTGTGTACCAATAGGTGCTATTTGGAGGTGTACGTTCAATACATCAAGGCCATGCAATACTTGGCGCGCCAAAAGACTGGTCGTGATGACATTCGTATCCCATTGGTTATCATGACATCTGGAGATACCGACCCACTTACTCGACAGCTTTTGAAGGACAACAATAATTTTGGTATGGACGACGATATGATCAGCATTGTAATGCAGGATAAGGTCGCTGCTTTGAAGGATGGCAATGCAGGACTTGCATTGGACGGAGACGACAGATGGAGTGTCCAAACCAAGCCCCACGGCCATGGAGATGTCCATCATCTGCTACATCGCGAAGGCCTGGTAGACAAATGGGAAAAGGAAGGCCGATCTCATGTTGTCTTTTTGCAAGACACAAACGCTTTGGTCATCAACTCCGTCGTTCCAACTCTTGGTGTTAGCAAGGCAAAGGGGTTCCACATGAACAGTATTTGCATTCCTCGTCTTGCAGGAGAGGCTGCTGGTGCCATTACTCGTCTTGAGTACGTATACTATTATACTGACATTGACCATTATACAATAGATTTCTTCAAACACTAACTGACACCAATTATCGCTTTTTCCTCCACAGACACAAGACCGACCCCTCGAAGAGTTTGGTCATCAATGTGGAATACAACCAGTTGGATCCTCTTCTACGATCACAAGGAGAATGCACAGGAGATGTGGCAGATGAGACCGGCTACTCGCCTTTCCCAGGAAACGCAAACAATATCATCATTGAGATGGGTGCCTATGCCAAGACGCTTCGAGGAGAAGATCAAGGTGTGGTTCTTGAATTTGTCAACCCGAAGTACAAGGACGAAAGTAGAACGGATTTCAAGAAGCCAACAAGATTAGAGTGCATGATGCAAGATATTCCAAAGCTATTCCAAAAGGAGATGAAGGGCACAGCGAACGTTGGATTCACAACCTTTGATCGTTGGTTCACTTTTTCCCCAGCCAAGAATGCCTTGGAAGCTGGAGTGGAGGCCGCCGACAAGGGAAGCATCGCCCCCGGCACAATGTCATCGGCAGAATCCGACAAGTACATTCAAAATCAGCGCAAGTTGAAGTTTGCTGGGGTGGATTTGGACGTAACCGAACCCGAGGATCTAGTCAAGGTTGCTGGAATTCCTGTGACACCTGGTCCAAGAATTATTTTGGCCCCAGCGTTTGGAATTACTCAAGAAGAGATCCTCAACAAAGTGAAGGGAAACAACAAGATAAGTAAATCATCCTCGCTAGTTCTAGATGGTCACCACTTGACCATTAAGAATCTCAACTTGGATGGTGCCTTGGTGATCCGTGCTGGAAGCGAGAGTCATGTTACTGTCGATGGCTTGACAGTCAAAAACAAGGGATGGGAACTAGTTGAGAATGATCCATCTAAGGAGTACGAAGAGACTGTTGCTATCCGTGGCTACACCATGGCCAAGCACGAATCACAGGAATATATCATCAATGAACCTGGAAATTTTGTCATTGGTCCAGATGGGGAGGTAAAGAAGGTAGACTAAATAAAAATGTATATTGTAAATGTTTGCGCTGGACACCGCAGTTTTCGATTTGCATACAATCTATCTCTTTCGTCTTCAGTAGCTTTTTGTCCAGCGTCTTGTGTGTGATGAAAAAAATCTATGGGTGCTTGTTCTGGTCGAGAAATGTCGTCACCCAGGGGGCAATCTTTCCAGTTCCTCGGCAGGACGAGCATTCTTCAAATCCATCTTTACAGTTTTTGCACGCTCGAACGTCATTTCCGAAGACTACCATTCCGGTGCCACCGCAAATACGGCATGGCATCTTTCCACTGCCAACGCATTCTGGACAAAAGTCCTCACACGAATCCTCGTCGGTTTCACATTCGTCAATTTGCCAGCTCATCTCAAGTTTCATCCTTCCCTTGTCCAAAGATCCTTCTTTCTCAACGTCAATTGTTGACATTTGTGAGGTCTGTTCTGAGTCTTCGGTAGCTGCTTCTTCAACTTGGCCATCTGGCATTGCATCCCAATCAATTTCACATCCCTCTTCGTCGTCGCAATCATCCAAGAGCGGTGCGCTGTTCTCGACTTCCTCTGCTGCTTGTGGCATTTTATCCCAATCGATTTCACATTCGTCTTCATCTGGGCATTCCATCTCAAATTCCTCTTCGAAGAAAGGGCCAGCTTTCAGCCGTGTGACTATTCGACTTGGCAGTACTATTCGAGCATTATAATGGACTGGCATCATCCAAGCAGATGTCATTGAAACAACGCTGAGCAGGACCATGGCACAAATAATCGCAAACATTCTGAACATTCTTTGGGTGATTGGGGTTGCTTTGTAAACGGTGATTGTAGTTATGGGCACTCGTATTGGTGAATGTTTTATATTCATGAGAAATGGAGCATGTCGTCGTCTGCCTACTGGTGGCTAGTTCTTTCTCTCTTCGTTCCGATTTTCCGACCGGTCTGAAACAGAAAACAGAAGGCAACTGGAGTTTTCAGTTTTTTGACAATGGAAATTGTGACAACTAGTTTTTGCCATCTTTTATTTTTTAATCGTACCGTTTGGCCAATTGAATGGGTTGGCTGGCGTGCAGAGTCGGCTTCCAAACTCCTCACAAAACGAGAAATCTGAGCTCACTCAACCGACGCATCACATTTTTGACACTTAAATACACAAAACTGAAAATTTGGGTGTACATCACATCTTTCCTATGGTTTCAATACTCGTGGGATCTGTTCCCGCTAGGCTACTGAGCATGGCACGCACCTCCCACCCACAACTCGGCCGTCGCAAGATTGTTCCTTTGAAAAACTGTTGCCTTTCCATTTGGACGAAACGATATGGAAGCTGGTGCTGGGAGCGACCTTTGTGAACCCAACTCTCCGGAGGGAAGCGATCTTCATGAGGACGAAGACGATTCTATAGCCATCGAGGTAGCAAATACATTCGATTCAACGAATGATGACGATGCAACCGTTCTCACCGACAACGGACCCTATCGCCACCGTCATCCTGGGGAACTGGCTCAACAATACATGAACTCTTCATTCTATCGGCCCAATCTAGATTGGAGACTTCCTCCATCACGATCCTATTATCCTAATTGGCATCATTATCCACCACGCCACTATCTCCCGCCGCCGCCGCCCCCTCCAGTTCGAGAGGGAGATATATTTCAGTCATATCATACCGCCACTGCTGTGCGACCAGAACATAGGCATCACCACCAACAGCAAAGCAGCAACGAATCGGAAGTGCCTCTTTCTCCACCAGCTTATCGACCAACCTTTCCCGAGCAGCCTCATAACTTTGGCTTTCCGCGGCAGCTAAAGTGGCCACCAGAAGCTAGCCCTCATGGAAGCAACCAGCACTTTCCACGAGACTACGCCTACCATCCCATTAGTCATTTAACGCCACAACAAGGAAATTCCGATACCAGTCAGGGAAGCCAAACTCCTACGTCCCAACAAGAAGATGATAATGTTTCAACAACAGAGTTCTCTGGACGAAGATTCATTCCAACCGACATCCCACCACCACCACCTCCTCCTTTATATCTTCCTCCACCACCACAACCGCCCATACCACCGCCACCACCTGCGCCCACTCAAGCAGCACCAACTCGAGCGCCCACGCAAACATCTACCCCAGCACCCAATGCGCTCAGTGTCCAAAAGATAAAAAAGCTGCACAAGGGAAGCCAAGGAGTATACATTTGGGAAACATTTGATTGTGATATTCTTTGCGGACGAGGCGTTCGAACCTCGCATCAGTGGGGAAATAAAAATTTCAAGCAGCTTGTGAAGGACCGCCAAGTGGAATATCTTGCTTGTCATCGAAATGATAAGTCTCGTCTATCCAATGAAATCATGGACGTTATTAAGTCCTACAATGGCCGCTTTCTCCGCCGAGTCAAGGTTCCTGACCGACAGGAACGCTATGCATGGGTGGAGTTGTCGGCTCAACGAGCCTATGAAAAGGTATGTCAGGCATTGCGGGACGGAGGGCCTGAGATTCGAGAAGCCATGAAGGCCATGGGAAGGAATGGTCGGGCTATAGGAGGTTCTGTGGAGAAGGAAAACGTTGCTAATGGCAAGCACGGATATACCTTGTGAGTGATCATCAATTGGAACAAACAATAGGAACATACTATCTACTGTAGCTAGTGGAAGCTTTTTGTCTATTTGATATATGCCTTGCCGCAACTTTCATTAGTATATCTAGCTGCGTTAATATAATAATAATCTATGCCTTGTTGGAGTAGTCACGAGCTCCAAAGATTGTAGATCCAACTCGAACGTTCGTAGATCCATTGGCAATGGCAACCTCATAGTCTCCAGACATTCCCATGCTCAGTCCAAGATCTTTTACTTCCATGCCAAGCGCAATGGCAACCTCATCTCGACACGTAGCCAATGCTTCGAGGCAAGAAATATCACCTGGTGCTCCAATTGTCATGACTCCCTTGAGTCGTACGCGTTCGCATTCGCTGGTAATTTGGTTGCAAAGTTCCGCAACCTCAGTTGGTGCGACACCGCTCTTTGATTCTTCTCCAGAAGTGTTTACTTGGACAAAGATATCTAGCTTCTTGTCTTCGAATTCACTCATGGCATTATCCAGCTTCTTGGCCACCTTGAGGCTAGAGACTGTCTCGACCACCAAGGTTCCATGAGGCATCACTCCTTTCACCAGCATGTTGGCTTTGTTGGATTGCAAGCCTCCAATGAAATGCCAGACCACATCTGATTCTCCAATTGAACCGGCCTTGTCTACTAGTTCTTGTGCATAATTTTCTCCAAACACACGTTGTCCACTGGCATAAGCTTCTTTTACCAACTCGAGAGGTTTGGTTTTACTGACTGCCACCAATTGAACTGTGGAGACGTCTCTTCCGGCAGCCTCACATGACTGAACAATCTTTTGTCGAACTTCTTCAAGGTTGGCGCCAACAGTAATGACTCCTGATTCTTCGGATGTGCTCATAGCTAAAGATTTCTTGTGTGTCGATGAATACTTCCGTAGAAATGGACTCGTGAATTGCGACACTGCTGTGGAAGGTAATGGAAGAAAGCTGCTTGTTGAAGGTGCAAACGAGAAAGCCGAAACGAGACGAGCGTTCGACACCAATAAAGCCAAAGAGTAGCTAGCGCGCATATGTGGGGATGTGCTGTTGAGCCGCAACGTTTCAAACAAATTGAAAATATTGGGCATCAGAAGATGATGATCAGAAAGAGATGATGTGGCTTCGAACAGTTTTTTGTAGTCGAAGGAATCTATCGCCACATTCGAATTTCGAATCAACACCCAAAGTGATAGCATTGCCATTTTCAACAGCATTCAAAATGGCCATGATGGGTGTCAGAATTGCACCAGTGTCTTCTTTCTTTTTGATACTATTCGTATCTCTTGTAGCAGGCAAGGATTCACAAGATGTCGTATCCTTGGAGTCCTGTCGTCAGTCTGGTTTTGATCCATTGCAGCTGGCATGCGACACCTGTGATTTGTTGCCGGAATCCGTAGTCAATAAATGCCGTGGCTGTTGTCAACCCTTCCGAAATGTGAATGCCAAAGCAAAACGATATGAGGCTGCAGTTCTACTCCATCCAGAGGGACAGAGCTTCTTCCCCGAAATTGATGAACTGTACAACGAAGATGTTAAAGGTATCCAGCAGCAAAAAGGAAAGAAACGTTTCTTCACCAAGACCATCGAATCAGCCAGTTACTTTGCGCCTTCCCCGTAAGTTTATGCTAGTTGACCGTTTATTTTTTGCTTGGTTATGGCCCGCATTGGCCATAAATCTGGTCATTAGCACTGTCTAATATCTTGTCTTCTTTGTTCATCATCAGGTCCATGATATTGTGGTTCAATGAAATACCTGGTTCCAGTGCAACGGTTACCAACCTGAAATCAAAGGCAGCGGAGATAATCATGTTGGGTGGATGGAAAAGAGACGAGGCACGAGACATGCTGCTAGCGTTGCTTCCAGATGCTTAACGAGAGAATAGCGATTGGAATTGATCAAGTTGGCATGCCCAACAGTACTGTTCGTATCCTTCTTGGTATCGTTACTGCTGGCAATGCCTTAGAAACTCCAAAGGAAATGACAAATAGACATTTATCAAGCCACTTTAGGTCAAGATTCGTTAGGGGGCATGGACTATGATGTGATTTCGCTACTGCATCAATCTGTCCAATTTAGAAAATCCTCCGCCGAGGAGACCAAAGAGAGCCACACAACATGTCGCCAAGTCCAAACTTTCATCTCTAGTTCGAATGATGTCATCCATATATCCATGTAGGAGATATGAAATCGATACAAGATCTGCGACATGCATATTGATATTTCAAAAAATGAATCTAGAGTATTGGTCACAGTTATTGCTTGCTCCCGCAGTTGAAGGCTGTTGCTTTGTTTTCTGGATGATCAAGAATGAGTCATGGGTACTTAAAGTCCAGCGTTGAAGCCGGATGGGACTCCGCAAAGAGCGTTAAGAACATATGGCTCTCCAGTGAGTTGTTCGTGAACCATCAATCCAAGGATTCCCATTTGTGCGGCACGGCCGTTGTTCAATTCGATGGCTCTCTTTTGCATGAGTTCCTCCTCAGTTCCCTTCCAGGTGAAGATTCCATTTCTCAAGTCTCCTGGGAATTCACCAGCACCCTTGTCTTTCATGATGAAGACCTCAAGGAAGCCAATGAAAGCAACGATTTGGATCAATCCAGCTTGTGGGATGTCACTAAGTCCGGCAATTCCAGTCTTGATGGAGGCGAAAGAGGTTCCGCTCATGTCGATGTTTCCGGGAACACGGGCTCCGAAAGCAGTATGGATGTGTCCAAGAACGGCAAGCATGGCAATACGTCCGTGCTTTATCTCGACGTAACGAAGACGGTTGAATCGCTCTTCATCGGCGTTTTCCAAAATGTTCAATGGATCCCTTTAAGAGTAAGAACAAAGACATATAAAATTAGCAAAAATGTGACAGAAAACATCTTGGAAAAAACAGTCTTTCATCACTATTCAATGGATTTCCACCGTCTCACAAATTGTGACGAATGAAGCAAATTAGCTACGTTATGACTACATACCAGAATCCAAGTGGTGGTTGGACACCAAGAGCATCCTCGAACGAAGCAGAAACGGCGGAAGACGACTTTCCTGCTTGTTGAGGAGCAAAGGCAAGAGCGGATCCAGCGAGGAGGGAAAGGGCAGCAACAGTCTTCATCGTGATATATTTTTTTCTGGAATGGGAATGATACCTTCTTGAAGCAGAGACACCGATCCAATTTTCTACGCAAACGCACGTACAAAAGTGTGCGAAGGATTTGCCTTCAACCTTGTAGTCTGCCCGTCGACGGTCGCAATGTTGGAAATGGTCGAATGAGTCAAACAGTGACGTCAGCTCCATTTTTATCTTTGAGGTTCTCAAAAAGGAAGAAGACACCAACTGTCTGGCTGGCAAAAACAAAATATCTTCAACCGTGGCGTGTTTGAATCATCGTTGACATTAGACTTACTCACTCATCTTGCCCACGATTGAACTACACGCGATTTCTGGCACCAACTGCACATAATCTTTACAAGAAACACAACAAGCGTACAAAAGAATGACATCGAAGAATACCAAAACTATGAATCAATCAGTCTTGGTCGTTTTGACAATGCTTTCCACTGGGAATCTTGCCTCCGCCTTTGTGACACCATCGAGTGGAAAGATGATGCAAGCTATGACAACAGCAAAATCAAGACAATACTCACTACTTGCAACCGCTGAGGATGAACAAAAATTCGATGAATTCTTGGCGAAAAATGAACTGAAAAGAGCTGTTGACGTATTCAAGAGTTACCCCGATCTGGAGTTGACAAGAGACAGATGGAACAGTATTTTCGATACGATCGAAGAAGTAACAACAGATGCAGAAGAAATCAATATGAATAAGCGGATGGAAGGAGAGACGAAGCTATTATCAAAAAGCAGAAGAGATATGACTGATATGTACACAGCATTGAAAAATCAGGGAGAACTTCGGTTATTTGGAGCCATAAACAAAGAAAACATGCCTGCCAATGGAAGTCATTCCGTTCAACCCACCATGTTGGAGCAGATTTCATCAGTATCCTTGGATCAACTGACGCCAAAGCCAAGCAACACCATGCTCTTTGCCGGCATTTCGCTGGCAACTCTCGAGGCTATCATCAGTGGGGTGTATGGAATCGACTTGAACTTTTTGTTTTTTGCAACCATTATTGCGTCACTTGGCGATCGAATCCTACTGAATGGAGCAATATCTGAAACTTTCCTCAAGACGATCTCTCCCAAAACACAACCTAAAATCACCAGACATGAAGCTGGACATTTCCTTTGCGCATACTTGCTGGGTTGCCCAGTAGAAGGATACGTTCTGTCAGCGTGGGCCGCCTTGAAGGATCCAAGATTTGGATCCAGGGCCGTTTCCGCTGGTACCTCATTCTTTGATCCCGCCCTTTCTGCACAGATTGAATCGACCAAAATTACCCGATCGTCTATTGATCGATACAGTGTCATTGTCATGGCAGGTATCGCCGCTGAAGCACTCAACTATGGTCAGGCAGATGGAGGAGCAGGTGACGAAGCAGCTCTCATCACATTCCTTGCCAATCTCAATGGCCCACCGTCGGCAACTCCAGCATGGAACGACATCACGATTCGAAACCAAGCTCGCTGGGGTGCGCTACAAGCCGTACTTATGCTGAAGGAATACAAGGAGTGCTACGATGCGTTGGTGGATGCTTTGGAACGAGGGGGGTCTTTGGGAGACTGCATATATGCTATCGAAAACGCTGGTAGAATACATAACAAGGTGCCTCTACAGAAACCACTTGGATATATTCTGGAGAAGGAAACCGATGAGGAATGGGTAACAGAGTTGCCTCAGTCAGAAACAGCGCAAGAAGCTGTGGTGCAAAAAGCGGAACCAGCAAAGCCGATGGATGCAGCAGAATCCCTAGAAACATTAAAGGAACTCAAGGAGCTTGCACAGCAACGAGTAAAAGAAATCGAAGAAAAGCTGGAAAAACTCAGATAATAAAAATAGAAGAGTAAGGTTTAATGATACGTCAAACAGTTACATCACAGAACTTAGATCCAGATCTAGTCGAGATCTTCCATATCTGGCGACTCTTCTAGCATGGCATTCTTTTGTTGTGGCTCCGATTGTGGCTCCGTTGCTGCAGGTGCCGGTGCGCTGGCCAAAGGAATCGTGTCCTTTGGAGGTTCGGAAATTATTGGTGCTGGAGGCGGAGTCACAATAGGCCCCCCCGTCTCCGGATCTTCAAAGTTGTGGGCCGTTTCTTCCATTTCTGGTTCCCCAGTGAGATCCATGGCATTTCCTGGTGCCGCTCCATAAATGAGACAGGCACAACAAACTCCGATGCACCCAAAGACAATGAAAAGTGGCGATAATATCCAGAATACATCGAAACCGACATCATCGGGATCGATATCGTCATAGTTCTTATCGATCTTTGCAATAATCAGACACAAGAATATCAGTTGGAAAGTGAACATACAACAATCGCCAGCAGCCTTGAATATGGCCTCCATCGCATTTTTCTCGGCTTCCACGTATGCACTTTGCCAAGCTTTAAAGGTTTCCTCATCAATATGAATTTCGTCATCGGAATCATCTTCATTGGCAGGTTTTGGAGGAGTATCGTTATTTGACGGGTCCCCATTTGGTTTGCTACTCGTGTCAGCGGATGAAACTGTTGGTGCTGGTGTGCTCTCGGTCTTTGTCGACGCCTCTTCAGCTGCTGCAGGAGGTGCTGGAGCGGGTGTGTTTTTTTCGTCCGCTTTACCTTGGGCCTCAGCACTAGTGTTGGATTCACTGGTCGTTGCTGGCTCATCTTTCTCCTCGCCTTTCTCCTCGCCCTTTTGCTTGTCCCCGTCCTTGGTAGCGTTTCCTTCGAGGTCGACAAACTCACTGTTGTCACCCTCTTCTTGCTCTTGCATTTGCAAGGCAATCTCTTCGCCACTACCGCAAACAAGAATGAAGCAGGCATTCAAGAGTCGAGCGATGATATAGATGAGAAATGGAGTGAATACCACCCACCAATTTCCACTAATCTTGTCATCAAGCTTGAGCGTGAGCAAAATCAAAAAGACAATTGAAAATGCAACCGATCCGTAGAGTGTTCCAAGCGTTGCGTTGTACATATCGGTAGCTGCCTCATATTCCGGACTAGCTTCCACTTTCTGTTCCTCCAATATTTTCTCGTCAGGCGTGACTCCATCAAGCTCAATTGGTTCAAATTCAGGAGGGACAGAAACAATAATGTAATCCTTCCTCAATTGCATCTCTTCTTCTGAAGTCAGGTCATCAAGATTCTTTCCTTGAAGAATCTCATTCTCCAAATAGTCCATAGTGACCATCTTTGCAACATCACCTCTAATCTTGAATATCGTTAGAACTTTCTTGATCCAACCGATAACATAGGCTATGTAAAATGGAATCAAGACTTGTCGATATGGAGCATCCCATCCATCCCATTTGACAGTTAAGAACACAACTGTTAAATACCAGAATACCTGCTCCAATATAGCCACGATAACAAGGATCTTTTCTCCAGGAGGCGCAAAATAGAGTATCACCGACCAGAACGCAATTCCCAATAGTCCAAAAATCCAAAAGGGGGTGAAAATGACAGCCCAGCTTACGTCCACCAATGGTCCAGTACCTTCCAAAAACTGATTGATTTTGGCACCAAGCAAGATCGGCTGAATCAAAATGAACAGCATAATCACCCACGCCATTCCAACTAATTTCGTCTTCTCGGCAAGGCTAGCACTCGTTAGGTTTTCGTAAAGACTTCCCGGGTTGGTGAGTCCTCCTTGTTCGATGAATCTGTAACGAGTCGTGCTGGTACTCAAAGCATGGTATCGATCCCGTTTCTCGTCATTGACCAAAACACCATATGCTTCTTGCACTTTTTCGTATTTCGCAGCTGCTTCATCCTTGTCCATGTCCCCTCGTTGGGCAACTTTGTCAGGATGCAACCGCAATGACGTCTTTTTGTAGGCTTTGCGAATCTGCTCATTGGTGGCATTCTTCTCAAGACCCAAAATCTCATAGAAGTTGTCTTCGTTGGGATCGACAGGAGGAAGCAAGGCAGAAAACAACCTCGCTAGAATGTAGAATCCAATTTGCACCATAGTGTTGGATGACTGTCGTCGGGTTTAACTTTTGCAATGAGAGATTGACGACTGGATGGATGGAGAACTCGATTCGTACTTCCGCGTCCAAAATCGGCTTGCGTGTTTCGAATGAATGAATCGAACCAATCATTTTCGACGGATGACTGACGACACCTCTCATCACATCACATCACATCAAACCATTATCCAAAGCAGAAAGAATAAATTTGAAGGAACATGAATTGGAGTTTGTTGTTACTGATAGCTATTGCAGCGCAAATAAATGTCGCCATTGGTGAAAGGAGACAAGGGAACATGAGATTGCCGACAGGTTCAAGACGATCTCTGTTCAGGCCAATCAATATTCAGAAATATGATGCCGAGGAACAAGGCGAACAAGAAGCTTCTATTTCGACCTTCTACAAGAGTCTCCCAGCATCACCAATTCTAAAACTGCGAGGAGGCGGTGCGATTGCAAAGTTTTCAAAATACATTGGGGATAGTAGAGCGAGGAGTTGGGTTGTCCTAGTAATATCGATTATCTTGGACTCCATGTCTTCGACCATGATGAAGCTGGGAAGAGACGAAGGTTCGATTGTCAAACTGGCAACTGCCTATTTTGGATTCTTTACCAGGTAAGTGAACCATCATCACTACTAGGGTCATCAAAGCTTATACATGTGAATGATCAACTTTTTCAGTGACTAATCGCTTGCTATTTATTCCCCACCAATGGATCAGTTTGACAGGTTTCGCACTATGTTTGGGCGCCATTGAGGTCAGCATCGCATATGCTGTATGGGCAGCACTCGGGACAGCCATCGTCTCTGTGGTTGGGATTACGTTCTTTGGAGAAAACTATGACATTTACAAGCTGTTAGGGTTAGGGATGATCATTGTTGGTGTTGCCGTTGTCGAATCTCGAAGTTAAGAAAGGATTGGAAGGGAAACCTGACGATTGTTTTGGGAGACATAGTTAAAGTAGGTAGATCCCAAAATGTCATGAACTTGTTGCTGTCTGAAAAGAATAAAACGCCAACCAATACAATAGATGATTCGGAATCTACAAGGCAAAAGACGACTAGCAAGATATTTTCGATTTTTTCTTTCAAGCATAGTAGACATACGCGATTTCACAATAGCTTTTGCGAGGTATTCAAAACAAACACTATCAATACAGTAGCAATAGATGAAACTGCGATTTCGATGGTGATTTGACGAAAGGTCTACTAAATCTTTTAAAACTCGACATCTTGCTGTTGATGTCGTTCAACTAAAGAGATATTTGATGAACTGAAACAAATCAACTCTATACATCTCCCTCCCATATGTCGGTGTAGACATCAATCAAATCTGACAATGTCATTTGTCTAGGAAGTTCGTATGTTCGAAGAGTACTGTGTTTCTTCAATCCCCGTACAAGCTGGTTGTATTCGGCTGGAGTCGGTCGAGGAGGGAGTTCTTTGACAGTACGTTTGTTCCATTCACTTCGTGCTCTCGACCAAGTCTCCAAGCCACAGTTGTAAAATTTCAAGTTGCCCGCGTTGTTTGATTTAGCCAAGAAGGTTTCCAATCGCTCTTCGGTACCAGAAGAAGTGTCATCCTCATCACTCTGCTCAAAAGAAGATTCCATAGATGTATCTTCATGCCACCATTCATCTGCCGTTGGTGGACTACCACGAATATTCTCTTTTATGATCAATGCACAATAGAATTAGACCAGTGCCATTATGCTGCCACACAAGCCGCCACAGTAGAAACGTACCTACTCTCCAAGCAGCATCATCACTTCCCGAAGAAGCCGTGTAAGAATATTCTGCATTGGGGTCGCCAGTGGCCCGTCTCAAGCTTCTCCTCTTATTCTTGGATCCGAAAAAGCTGCGGCTCGATGAATCTCCTGGTGGTGACTGCGATTGTCTTCGTCTCATGAGGTTTTGCATCCAAACCATGGTCAACAAGACTATTTGGTCACGGTGTTAATGGCGGAGGATTTTAATTTGAAAGGAGCACAAAGGCACGTGGATATTGGTGGCGGAATTTGACTTCCGTTTTGTCGTCTTATTTGAGGTGGCGACCGGACATTTCCAATTAACTGGTGACGTGTCTATAGCTTGTCCTTAGCTTGTCCGTAGGGTCATTGGTTCGTGTGAGAGTGCGCCGTAGGCAGTACTGAATCCCGAAATCTGAAGGACTCTTGCAATCAAAACCTTTCACGAATAAAAGACGACTAACTTTAGTACCTAGAAAAGTCTCTTTTGGGGTGCTACTATGGGTACCGGTACAAGGGTCTGCACCTCTGTGGCTACACCATGAGGCTCCAGTCCATCGGAGAGCAGCAAGCAAGTGGCCTTGATAAAACTAAATCAAAGTCAATTGGATTTTATTTCCTTATCCTCTGACCTGCTGACAACCCCACAGCAATTATGGATGTGTGATTTTACCACACAAAGCCTTGATTACTATAGAGTATCAATGCTCAATTGCAGAACAAACAAATATGACTTATAAACTGTTTAACTTCCCGTGTTTCATGATTCCTAGAAAGGTGAATCAAAGTCGAATTCGATGTCGTCTCCTTCTTCTGATCTGCACCAGGTCATGAGTGTACCACCACCTCCTGGGTTGATGCTTCCTTCTTCGGCATCATCATCAATGACAATTTCCTTGCTGCCAGCTTGCAGATGATTGTATTCATTCAGAACGATTACAGACGATCCGTCAAAGTGAATGACAATGGAGTAGAATTTGTCATTCACTCGATATGCCAATGTCAACGTTCCAAAGTTGCTTCCGAAATCCTTTCCAACGTTGAGGAAGAGCACCCTGTTTCGCACCACGTGGGATTGCACCTTTTGCGTGACCGACATGGAGGGACGGAAAAAGTTGGGGTTTCCGTATTGAACCGTCGCCAGCATGATTTCAAATTCGCTAAAATTCAAACCAACAAAGAAACCCATCATCGCTGGACACAAATCAATAAAGTCAAGCGAGACAATGTTCCAGTTCTCAGTGCCATGCTCTTGGAAGAAAGTGTGCAAGGGAGGAGAGGCATGTCTTTTTGCGGGTTTGTACAGATTGTTGGCAAGGTAGACAGGCTGCAGAGAGTTCAAACCAAAAAGGAGCTTGGCAACGTCTGGAGCGCCTCCAACTCCGGGGGTTAGGACGAACTGATTGTTCAAAAACTTTCCCTTTTTGCTTTCTTCTTTGACTTCTTCAAGATTCAATTCTAACATGTCGTCGATATCCCGAGTGTTGCTGTTGAAGCGGAGAAGCATACAACATACAAATTGTTAATTCAAAACTCTGTTGCACACAAGACAAAACCAATTTTTTTCTTCAGTAAACGTACTTAAACTTGTTCTCCATCCACTTGTCACTTCGGTAACAGCTGAAGTGTTCGCAAAGGTACTCGTCGGTGACTGGACTTCCATCCATCTCCAAGTCGAGCATAAAACGAGGGCCGAGAAGGACGCAGACTTGCTTGCCACCCATGACAAGATCCTTGATAGGAGTGCCCAAGAGCTTAGATACATCATCTTCGGCATACATCTTTTCTCCAAGCATTTCCTTCACGGATTCAAGAGCCCCAAGCTTCTTGGCCGAACTAAATGTGCGTCCAGCTTCGGCGGACAGCTCAATCACTACAAACTCGCCTGGGAAATCTTCGCAAAAGAGCTTGATCTCTTCCACAATACGATCCAACTTTGCTCCTTGCAAACATCCGTGGAACACATTCACACTGGCTCCAGATTCGCCCAACTTGATATCCAAGGATCGGGAACCACGGTGAAGCTGATCGAGAACACTAACATTTTGATTCCGACCGACAGCCGAGAAGAACTTGAAGGAATCAATGGAGTAGGATCCAGCATCGTGCGAGCCAGGAATCACCATATTTCCAAGCGTGATCTCTGGGCGAGATTGAACCATATTCCCCATCCAATCGGGATGAAGGCTGATGGGAAAGTCAATTGCAGGGATGGTTGGCATGCAAAAGCCAAATTGAAAGCAATTTACTCCAACGGCTGAGCTTGGACATGTGATTGCATTCTCCATGCGCCTGCGGCAGTAACGAGAGGTAAAATCCATATTTTCCTGTTGTTATGGTAGGGAGTAAATACCAGAAAAGTGTTTTATTAATATCGTGACACTGCGGTATGTTACTCGTTTTGCAGCTGCTGTAGAGGAGAGAAGATCGCGCTTAGCACAAAACCAGCCGATGACCGCAAATACAAAACGGGTTTTTTGTTCCTGAATATCGGATGATTCTGAGGTTGCGCGGAACGTGAGGAATACGTAGGACTAATGGAAAGAATTCTTCCGAAACTCCGCTTTATAGGCTTTATGGCCCAGTCACCTCAACTCACTGCTAACGTATTGATGATAATTGGATACTAATACTATTTCCGAAAAAATGGGTTCTATGATTCTTGCTGCAGTGCTTCATTGGCCATAATGTCTTGCAGGCTAATTGTCCCTGGATCCATAGCTTCGCCCACTGCTTGGTCTATTCCATATTGTAGTCGTCGAATGTCTCGAAGTGTTTCGGACGGAAGAGTACTGCTCATAAAGGCATCCCGAAAGTTCATTGGCGTCGGCAAAGTGTCGGGTGGGCGATATGAACTGGATCGATCGTTGTCATTCTCCGAATCCCCTTCTTCCTGTTGTTGCAGCCCTTCATATTCCTCCATTGCTTCTTGGATGGTAGATGGGAGGTACTCCGTGTAGGTAAAGGTATACGAGTGAGCAATGGCAAAGGCAACCATTTCAATGCATACACAGTAATCGATTAGACCGTTCGCAACTTCCTCGCCAGTCCAAGATCCGGCATCCCCAATGATGCCATGGGCGTACAAGTAGTAAATGATGACTCCTTGCCACCAAGTGAAAAAGACAACTCCTTTGACGCACAGAAACTTGCCCAGCGGATGCCAATCAATGGGGTGTCGCAAATCTTCACTAATAGCGTGGAATAGCTTGACAAGGCAATACAAAGCGTACATGACAGAGATATTCAAAAAGAAGGCAAGGTATGGATACGCGGCATTCCATTTGAATTCACCCTCCCCGTAGACATCCAACCATTGAAAGAAAAAGGTCAGAACGGTTGCCACTGTTTTGACAACAACATATTGCAGGACGCCATGTTTGCACTGTAACATGAACTCGACTCCAAGATTCCATGGCTTTAATACTTGATTGAGAAAGTAGCCATGATCTCCGAGATGCCGTGCTCGTTGAGGATCTTCTCTGGCAATTAGTCGCAACCTTCGAACCAGCTCGGCTTGTCCTCCTAACAATTCAATCAAGTAGTATACAAAGCTAGAAATGACGTAGGCCTCATACAAGTCACGGGCTGCATCAATGTAGATTCGAGAGTCTCGGAATCGCAAACTGAGCCAAGACTGAATGGAATACAAGGGAACCATCCATATAATGCGTACAACATATTTCTGAACCTTGGGCATGTACCAATGCGTAAAATGTAGATATACCAATCGCGCTGATAAAACGACTGTTCCAATAACCATCACAGCAGCTGATTCAAAGGCCGCAAAGTCGACCTTTTTAGACGAAATCTGCCTGTAGGTAACAAGCGGAATGACAATGATCATGGTCATTAGAGTTATGGTCAACAGTACATTTCCAATCTTGCGGGCAAGCAATCGCAGGGAAGAGTGCGGATTGGAAGCTGCAGCTGCCAAATTCGAAGTACTGGCAAAGACGCCGGCATCATCATCGTTGCCCGTTGGTGGAAGGAAGGAAGCTGTCAGGTCATTGTCGTCACCAGAATCTTCGACTTCCACAACGATCTCTTCTATAGTTTCTTGATTGGAAAACGCATGATCGGGAGGACTGACGGTGTTCCTCCCTTCCTCATCTGAAATCGGCATTGTCTCCAAGTCCACCTCTTTTGGGCAACAGTGGTGTAAGATAGATAATCAAGTCGTGTAGCGTTGACCTCGAATCATGAGTTTCGAATGCATCCTTCTCTCCTCCGATCCTCCAAGAAAAATGAAAAATGACATCTGATCTTTGGGGTAAAATGAAAGGGAGGGTAGAAAGATGGGACAGCACACACTGAAACCCATCATCATAATCATCACAGACAACCATCCGTTCAACATCAAACAGACGCTGCTTCACCCAAGACATCAAAACACGCAGCATGACATCCAAAAAGGTCAAACCACTAGCCTCTCTCTTCCAACAATGGTCGTCGCAGCAACAGCGAGAATCGTCATCGGCTCAAGAAAACGTTCCCCAATCATCGTATCGCATTCTGATACAGTCCACGCACGGGTTGGCGACTCGAATTCAAGCCGCTGAAGCAGTGGAGAATCCTCAAGTGTACCAAAGAGCTGGTGTTCCAACGCCTGCTGAAACAGCAATAAGGGACAGCCAGGGAGGATACGCATGGCTGGAACATTTGGTTGAGCTGGCACAAAAGCACAATCATCTAATCTGGGTGGCTACCAAGAGTCAACCGTCTCCCATTACAAACAAGTTAATTTCTCTTTCCAACGACGAGAACGCTAACGTAACAGTGGTAAACGTAGCTGTGGATCCTTGGGGATGGGACGACGAGTTCAAAAAGGGCTCTCCCTCCTTGCACAATCTGCACCAATTGTACGATCAATTGAGCAATGTGATGCAACAACAAGAGTCCAGTGCTGTATTGGCATGGGAATCACTGACACCACTGATTGCTGTTCATGGATTCGAAATGGCTCGTCAGTTTTTGACGAGTTTTGAGAGTTGCATGCAAATTTGGCCGATTCGAATCGAACTCTTGACTCCTTTTCAACACTCTACTCTGGAGGATGACGCTCAAGCTCTATTGCATCTCAAAGGAGGCGAAATGACCATGATTCGACAAGGACTGAGAGAACGAGGCAATATTCTACGAAAGATGCTTCCGTTCCGATTGGACGGTGGTAAACTGGTGGAGCTAGAAGCTGGGGATTCGTCACCGGAACCTGATGAAGAAGTGATGGATAAGACTTCTGCCGCTGAAAAGACCTCATCGTCATCAGCTCCAGTACCCGTAGCTGATACATCCTCACGAAAGATCCAACTGAAAATGGAGGAGGATGATGAACCGAAAAAGGAGGAATCAAGTCAACCCAATCGGCCACGAATCTACCTTCAGGATGACGATCCAGAATTTGATGATATGGATGAAGAAGATCCCGATGATGATTTAGATATCTAGGCAACTGTAAGAATGATGTAAACGTTGCGATATCGTAAAATCTGAAATCTTCAAAGTCTTTCCCTCCCAGCCAACGTACTCTATTCTATCGAATTCCTCATCCTGTTGATCGGCGGTAATCAGAAGCTCCAACCAGGCCATTTTTTCATTTCTGATTTCACCACAAACACTAAAACTCTGCAAATCGTCGGTCCTCCGACCGAACATTCTATTGACTGACTCAGCAAAAGCAAATCAGCTTCGCACTCCATCATTCGCCAGTTGTCGTTGGAATTGCTCTTGTGCAATCATATTACGACGCTATCCGTTAACATGTTACAACACCGTGAGTATTAGAACAGTCCCTTCTTGTTTCGTGTTTCTGTGCAAACATATTCTAACAGATCCTCGTTCGCTTCTTTCTCAGTTCGAAAAGTGAATCAACAAGTCTGGATTGCTTTGGGAAGTGTAACCATCATTGGCGCGAGCTCTTATCCTGTTTTCTTCAAAGAAACTAGGCCTGGACACGACATCTTCAGTTCCGAAAAGCCAGAAGCCATTCGTGTCGCTCAAGACGAGAGACGTAACGAATACCGCCGTTTGATCAAGGAACAAAGAAAGGAACAAGAAGCTGAGCAACAAGCTGTTCAGCGGAAGCTCCAAGAGCAACAATAGATTCATATTCAATTAAACAGAACAATGGATCCTAGTCAAGAAGCATTTCAAACATTCATGTTGGGGGGCGAGGCCTCGTCTTCTCTGGAAACCTCGACACCCTCCAAAACAATTAGTACTCCATCTTCTTCGTCCAAGAAAGGAACAAAGCGTTTTGGTCCAATTGTCACTGCGTTTCGGGGAAGGGTTGAGGCGTGGGTTCAAGCAGATAGTCAGTTGAATAATGTTCTTCATTCAATCCTGAATTTAAGAAATCGGATTTGGTGGGAAAGGAAGAAGTTGGAGGACAGCAATCAGAACAAAAATTCTTGGCACTGTACAGGATTCCGACAAAGCAATCATTCATTTCTTCTCAAAGAGGATTTGGAAACTGCTTTTTCTCATGATTTGTTGCAACATGAAAAAATGTTGGCCGGAGCAAGAACACTGATTTCATCGATGGCTCAGGCACAAGATGGAATGGGTCGTCGTCTCGATGAATTCTTGGAGATGGAGGGCTTGACTGATGCTGCACAAAACATCCAGGATGCGATGCTTCAAGTTTTTCATTTTCTGGGAGAGGAGCTGTATCGCAAACAATGTCTTGTCTCTCGAATCATGGATTCATGTCATGATGGTCTGTTGAGCGATGATCTGAAGGAAGAGAAACTGGATGGAAATCCTCGAAGTGTTGCAAAGCAATGCTACAACGCATGGCTTTCGCGGAATACTAGAAAAAATGAATGGGGTGTCGTGAATAAACTATTGGATTTTTGAAATAGCGGAAGTGATTTATTAAGAAAGAACTTGTTACAGAGCTGGAACCTTTTTTACTTCAATACATCGGTTCATGTATTGTTGAGCGATGATCTGAAGGAAGAGAAACTGGATGGAAATCCTCGAAGTGTTGCAAAGCAATGCTACAACGCATGGCTTTCGCGGAATACTAGAAAAAATGAATGGGGTGTCGTGAATAAACTATTGGATTTTTGAAATAGCGGGAGTGATTTATTAAGAAAGAACTTGTTACAGAGCTGGAACCTTTTTTACTTCAATACATCGGTTCATGTATTTAGGCTAGAAGAATTGCCCCGATGGGAATATTGGAGCCTGCGATTTCTGCTCAAACATGCTTCGGGCACTCGCGAAATTGGAGCTGGAATTGGTCCTCGGTCTTGGGGGATTGTATTGTCGAGCCGGGGCATTTGTTGCGGGCAGTGGTGCAGGTGGTGATCGTGGTGCAGGTGCTGGTCGTGGCGCTGGCGCTAGTGAAGGAGCTGCTCTTTCAGCAAACTGCGAAGGAGATGCGGACGAGAAAGCAGCTGGGGTATCTCCTTGTAAGAAGCCCCCAAAACTCCCCACATTGACGTCAGATTTAGAGCTATCGATGATGGCGGTGTTCGAGCGGAGTGCCTCCAATCTCTTTCGCTTGCTGTCTGTTGCTGCTTTGTATTTGTCGAGAACAGCCGAATTGGTCGGTGGTGCATAAAAAGTGTTCTTGTACTGAGGCCGATCGCCAAAACTCCTTGACCGTGGCCGTGCTGGTTCAGTCGATGTATCGATTGGATAACTAGCCCTTGGCTTCTTTTCCTCTTCAACTTCGTACTCTTCATCTTCTTCCATAACCGTTTCAACCTTGAAGTCTTCTTGGAACGGCGAGAAACCAAATCGATTTGCCGCTGGTGGAGATCTCGACTTTTGCAGGAGCTGATTTGTTAGATTCGCTCCAGCCTCCTTCAAGGACGTGCCACTTGCACTGCTGTTTGCATGGCTATTGGCATCCGTGAATGAAACGTGTCCCCTTCCGTTCTTGTCACGAGTTCGTTGATCTACGGACATCTTAAGATTCTTCAAGTAATTCATATCTGCGCCGCTACCTTCAGAGCTTCTAGTCTCGATTTCCTTTTCCCGTTTCATCTTCCGTTCCTTTCGTTTTTCGTAACGTTGAACATATTGTGTCAGCTTTTGTACTTCCAGCATCATACTAGAAGCCTCGGAGCCGGCGACTGACGATTGTTCCAACCTGTCAGCGTTTACAGAACCCCCCATTTGCGATAGATCCATTCCAAACGCATCTGAAAAGGCGGATGAGCCCACAGAAAAGGCGGATGCTGTACCCCATGCATCTTCCTTTTTCTCTTCTGTCTTTGGGTTAGAGATACCATAAGGCTCCCAATTACTGATATCATCCAAACTAAAGTCGACACCTTCTTGCGCACCATCACCATATGGTGAATACGGCGTAAAGGGCGTCATGCTGTTTGAGTTGCTTTTCTTTGCCTTCTTGTCATTATTTTTCCCAGCATTCATATCGACAAAGTTTCCATCGAATGCACTTTGCTTTTGACGAAGCTTTGCCCATGCTTCGTCGTCTCGTTTCGATGGTACATCCAACTCTTGAGTGAAAGTATCAGCGAAAGGATTTGTTTCCTCGAAGATAGGTCCATTCGTATCCTCCTTATACGATGAATCGTCCGAGCTCGTAGTAGGAAGAATTTTCATAATGTCTGTGTCTTGCTTCTGTGGTGTTGCTTGCAATGGAGGATATTGCTTTAGAGGACGTTGTCCATGTTTGTTGGATGGCGAAGGAGCCGTCTGTTTCCTTGCTGGCTTTAGATTTTGTGGCAAATTTGGTTTCGGTTGAGGACGATTTTTCCGCGCCAATCGTTTCTCTCGTTTCTGCCAAAAGAGATAGCCGTAAAAGACCCAACTGAGAACCATCAGAGTTAATAAAGTGAAACCAACTACCATTTCCAGTGTCGTCGGCTTCTCTATCTTGTTCTCTATACCAGTGGCATCGTTTGCAACTAAATCGTCATCACCGTCGTCATCATCTTCGATTGCCTCATTGAGTGATACCTCAGTCACTTGCACCACGTTTTCTACAGTATCCGAACTCATTATCGATCTCCCCACTTCTTTGACAGTCAACAGAGCATCTACTTCCTGCAGAACTTGGCTTTTCACTGTTTCTAGCCCAACTTGCGAATCATCTACCTCATAGTGCGTTGCCCCTTCCACTTCCACTGAAACGATACGTGTACTTTCTTGTATCCGTCGCCTGAGGAAATCTTCTTGCTGTATCCGCCTTCGAACCAACAGTGTGACTTCCAAGGTTACAGCCCGAATCGTCAAATAATCAACGAATCCACCGTAACGTAGGAGTTCCTCAAACAGATACGCCTCCATGTTGCTGTTTAGCTGTCCCAAAAGTTCATTGAAATCAACAGAATTTGTCACCTCCATTCTCATATTAAATACAAATGGAGCAAAATCCTTGGTGAGACCTGAAGACTGCCTTGGAGATTTCGTGCGTTCGCTTTGACGAAACAGCAGGCTTTCCTCTCCGCAAGCAGTTGGCGCCCATAGACTTGACAACAACAGAACTGTTATAGTTGCCATTTTGGTTGTTCGATCCCATGGTCGTTTTCGTTTCGTTGTTCGTAGATGTCTCATCATTTCCAAAGGTTGTTGTTGCTGCTGCATCCCCATTGCCTTTTGGTTGTTTTTGCTTTGTCGTTGCTTGTAATCCTCAAGCTGCTGATGGCGACTCACTCCTGATACACAAACAGCTGTCGTCCTCGTAAACCCAAATTGGTTTAGGTTCTCGGAGCTGTTAGTCTGGAGTTTCCGCGAGAGGACGGCATACGCGTCGTATGTATGATCTCTATGAGTAAAATGTTTCACGTACTGAAGGCGTTGCGTATTCTCTCCATGACCAAAGACCTTCCGTTTAGGTAGAACGGCTATTTCGATTTTTTTCGTTATATCCGTTTAAATTCGGACATCTGCTTTGAAGTGCCCGTAACGTTGCGGACACTATCATCCACAAAGCTGTTCATCAACCATGATTGTGTGTTGAAGGGTGAGTCTTCGAGGTTATCCTTTGATTGTAAGGGCGATTTGTGGACGTTCGTTGCTCAACCTATCTATCTCACTTCACCTGCAGAGATGAGGGACCCCAAGATTGCTAGATTCATCTTGGAGCAAGAGCTGCCTCCGGACTCTCCAACTCCAACCCCAAAAGACCAAACCTCCGATCCCAAACAAACCAAACCGAAAGGATCGAACCTGGAGGGAATCAAGGTTTTGGACCAAGTGAGGCAATTGAACCTCGAAGCTTGTCGGGATCCACACTTAGAAGAATATCTCCCGCACCTATTGAACACTCAACTATGTCGAACGGTGGACGACCGGTGGATCATTGCCAATCCGGTTCATTCGTTGCATCTTGCCTCGCAAGTCGATGAATCGCAGCAGCAGCAACCACATCAACAGCAGCAACAGCAGCATAGCTGGAAACAAAATCCAGTCCTCTTTGGAGACGAAGAACAACGGACGATTGTGTTAAAGTCCAAGGGAATAGCCGAAACCTGGTCTCCGCTGGATGGAAATTCTGCGGCCATTGAAGAGGATCGAATCGTCGAGCCTGCGTCCGCACCACCTCGTTTCAGCGATATGACAGCACCTGTGGGGTCTATGATGACACCATTCTCTCCTGATGGGACAATATCGATGCAACCAATGGCTGCACGATCAGCTATGCCAGGCATTCCCTCGGGTGTCATTTCGATGTATGTTGACACTAATCAAGAAGTAGCGCAGAAACCTCACATGACGCCCCAACAGACTGTGTCGTCTTCCGCCGCGAATTCCATGCGCAATGCTTCAAGCCCCGCAGCGGCACAAGCAATGAAGAGTGGATCGACAGCAAACCAAATCAATCCCAAGCCATTGGGTGGGAAAAATTTGAGTGCCATCAAGAATGCGACTTCCACGTCCAATGACAGTGCGCCGTCCTCCAGTATTTCGCCTGCTCCTGCAACGCAAACGTCAGCGAACCCACTCAATAGGAGAGCAGACATACCATGGCAAGAGACGCAAAAAAGCGGGACACAAGCATCAGTAAGTGCTCCCAGACCTTCTGCGATCCCAGTTCCGAAGAATACACCTTCCACCGAAAAGGTAGCCTCAGCCAATGGGAAGGATAACGTTGCAATAGGTACTCAAAGCGTTCGACAAGGGAAAGGCGGCAAGGGTCTTTTGTTTGCGAAACATGGATCAAGCTCGAGAGCACCCGTTGCATCTTCTGTGACGCCACAGCAAACAGTGAAGCCAAAACCTGATGATCAGAAGCCTGTAGAAAGTGTGCAGTCAAATACAGCAACACCTTTCCACGTTACAAGTTCTAGTAGCTTGGGTACCGCGCAAGCACAAGGAATGCCGTCGGTAAATGGCCAAACAACAGAAAATGCAAGCGCGAAGAAAGCCATGGATAAATCAAATCCATTACAAAAGCCTCCTTCAATAATGCCAACGAGCATCTCGTCCGCGCCCCAGGTTAGAGCTGCAGCACTTCAAGCCCACGGATTAACAGACGAGCGCTTTCATCAATTCAGGGTGGCTGAGAACGCCATTGAAATGGTTCGGCAATCCATTCCAACGTATGGAAGGACAACCATCACAAACAAGAAGAAGTCCGAAAGTGCCAAAAAGAAGCGCAAGAAGGATCACGAATCCTATAGATCTGCACCAGTGGCTGGTTGGGCGGCACCTTCTCCCAAAGTGCTCAATACGCGACAAGAGAGTGAATGGAATGAAGTTCGAAGGAGGGCCCCAGAAACTGTGGAAAGATGGCTTGAGAACTTTCGCATTAGTCGGGAATCCTATTGGAGTGAGAGGCGCATTAAAAATCCTGCTTCACAGCGAGGGATGGGGAAGAGGAACAACGGCAGTTTCTATTTACCAACGCAAGAGTTGTGTTCTGCAGCAGGCGATGATGACCAGTCCGGAAATTCTTCAAAGCGCAAAAGATCGAGGGCGCTCATAGGGGACGAGTTGATGACATGCCTAGAATGTGGTGCCATTCACCCTTCACCAAGCTCAATCGCTCCTAGTTCGAAGGAAGGCATGCTAGAGCACATGTTAATGTCGGGGCACAAGTTTGGTAAGTATCAGCCCTTTTGGTGTAGCTGATCCGTCTTGGGCGCATTGTGGACTCTAACACTGTCGTTCGTGCAGCCGTCACTCGCGGGAAACGAGCCCAGGTGTTCAGCTTCGGTGGTGGAGATTTCGTATACCATGCAGTTTTTGATCAAGAGAAGTTTCGAATCGACACAATGAAACAACTTCCAAACCTTTCGTGGAAAGAGCACAAAGTCCAACGCTCCTTTGATCCATTCCAGTTTATTTCAACAAAGGATTACGGCATTGTATGGAGGGGACCAGTTGCGACGTACCCTTCATTGGTTCCGAAAGAGCATGTGCATGCTACTGAATTAATACATCGAAGAAAGTCACTGTTTGAGGGAAGACTTCGAGAAAAGTGGCTGCTGACTAAGCCGAACGCGATGTCTTTCACTGCCTCTCAACACCTTTTGGATGAGACGCATAGGTACAAGATCGATGCACCTGTTGGAATGTACAATCTGGGAAATACATGCTACATGACTGTAATTCTGCAATGCCTTGTGCACTGCGATCCACTGCAACAGTACTTCCTTCGTGATTCAGCTCACCACTACAAGGCGTCTAAGGTATATCGTGAAACTAGCGCAGAAGAAGGTGCACAAGTTGGTACCACTCCTTCCACAGAAAATTCCTCACCAAAGGAAAAGAAAGAGTCCCAACTATGCCTAGCATACGAGATGGATCGATTATTTCTATCATACTATGGCAGTGCAATGGGGTATGATGTTCTCGCTGTGATTGAAGAGTCGTCACACAACCTGTCCTGCAATGTATCTGAGGCAGATGAAGCCTATGTTGCAACTGAAATTACAGAAGTTGACAAAGGGGAGCCTTTAATCCCTTCAAGTCTACTTGCTACTATTTGGAAGAGTGAGCATCTCAAGCATCTGGCAGGGTATAAGCAACATGATGCGCACGAATTCTTGAACTCGTTTCTGGAGCAAATGAGTAAAAATATCAAGCAACATCGAGATCGCGTAGTCGAATCCATCAACACAGCACGCGATGACAATTGTGTCGAAAAGATCCTCGAAAAGGAACTTGGTGTGTTTTTGTGAACCTTTTTTCGCTTCGTACTGTCAAAATGCTCCTAACTCTCTCTCGCTTTAGATGTTGTTACGCGATTGTTTCAGGGACAGCTGAGATCAGTGCTCCTATGCGAAGAGTGTGGTACAAAGAGAGTACAGGCCGAACCATTCCTGAACATTTCCCTGACTCTTTCTGAGGAAGTGGAAGGATTGGAACGAGATAGCAGCTCTGGTGGAGATGGCGCGAAGCTGAGTGTTCAGACCTGTCTAGATCACTATGTACGGCCGGAGAGGCTCGCAGATCCCGTTGAATGTCCTGATTGTGCAAAGCGAACAAGCACGAAGACACAACATACGTTCTCCAAGCTGCCAAAGATTCTTTGTCTTCACTTAAAACGATTCGATGCAGCTCGAAACAAGAAGATCGAGGAGGCTGTGTCCTTCCCTGCCCGGGGTCTCAATATGGGACCCATGCTTTCGCATTGGTCTGAAGTATCGAGCGTTCTTTCTGCAAAGAACGAGAACGGCACCAAGGCTGAGCCAAGAATTTTGTACGATCTGTTTGGCACTGCCAACCACCTTGGAAATATGCAAAGTGGTCACTACGTATCGAATGTAAAGGTTAAGGACCAGTGGTTTCACTGCAACGATCAGCATGTCAGTCGTGCAGGGGATGGAAACGGAGAGGAGGCTGTCCTTAACAGTGAAGGTGCCTATATTTTATTCTACGTTAGGCGATAGATCTTGGGGAAGATCTCTTTTTCTCTCTCTCTCTCTCTCTTCATCTTAGAGGACATGTGTTAGCCATGAGAATAAAATGAGACAAAAAGTTGTGCCTACCGTCACAGTCATTCCATTGTGTAGAACCTTCGCTGCAAAGATCGCTTACTGCGAAAAACTACGGCATTGTAAGGTGGCACGAAGGACGGAAGCAAGTCTTACGCATTTCAATCAGCACTTGGGCAGCGAGACTTTTTTCGAGCATGCCTCGTGTCAGCTTAAAACTGTACTGTAGATAGAATGAAAAGAAAAACATATCATATCAATGTAGTTGGCAGAACAGTTACCTGGTTTGCACTGCTTTGCCAGAAAGCTGATTATAATTATCGTCTCATATTTCCTGGGTCAATGCTTGTTGAAATGTAAGCAGAGTCAAAGCGAGTTAAGGTAAACACATGCACACTTTTCTTTTCTTATCCATTTAATTCCCCCGTGTCATCCATGCAGGCAAATTCGAGACGCCTCTTCGCCCTGTGTCTCGGACATCTTGTTGCTGCGGTGGTGGAGCCGCGGCAGGGGCTGGGGTTGGTGCTGGAGCCGGTGCAGCCCCAGGAGCTGCAGTAATGCCATTTGGATTGACACCGTATGGATTGGGAGTGCCGACTGGCGGTGACCAAGCTCCGTAGTGCTTTCGAGCGGCATCCTCGCCATAGTAGTAGGAATATCGAAAGAACTGTTCATAGTACGCATCCGATGCGGGAGCAGGTGCTGCTGCCACAGCAGGAGCTGGAGCTTCCTGCTGTTTAGCAACAGCTTGTGCCGCGTAGTACGCCTGCCATTCAGCGGAATGTTGTCCACCCTGGTCTACTACTGATTGGCCGTAAAACTGTTGTCCCAAATACTGATTTCCGTTGCCCATGATGCCAGTAGATGATTGCTGGTTGATGATTGTATCGATCATTCCTTGAACTTTTGCACAACCTTCCTTGGTTCCACTAACAGTAGCAACACGATGAGGCTGCCCTGGAGTAGGATAGCTGGGAACCTGGATACGAGTTCCAGATTTATTTTGCATCTCCTTGATGACACACCCACCCCTGCCGATGCACAACCCAACATCCTTATCGGGAATCTTTGGACAAAACGATAGGTATTAGAAAAGAATAAAGCGAAACAATGCGCAAAACAAAAAACAAAATACGTACCATAATCTCGATAGTGATCTGAGGTCCAGAAGCCTGCGCATAGCTAGGTTTGCTGGACAGCACATGCTCGACCTGTTGTTTCGCAGCGTTGGCTCCATGCTCGTTCGGGTGGGTAATACTGATAGTCCGCACGGTTGGATTGTCATCGTTTCCAGACGGCGGGATCTGGATAGACGCTCCAGTAGATTCTTGAATGGACTTGATCGTGCTTCCACCCTTCCCAATGATCAAACCGACATCTGCATCTGGAACTTCGACTTTCACCAACGCATGGCCCATAGAAACGGCTTCGTTGACTTTCATGTCTTTTCCACCACCCATCCCTCCTCCAGCCGCACGAATACGATCTTGTACCATCGATTCAATCAATTCTCTGCACTGGTCAACGGAATCCTGTGCGGTGGCTTGCAACGTAATTACACGATGTGTTTGTCCTGGCTGAAGCTCATGCTCCTTTTGAATCTGCACCTTGCAGCCAGATCGTGCCTGCATGGAAGAGATTGTCTCCCCTCCTCTTCCAATAAGAAACCCTACAATGCCATTTGGAACCTTGATTTCTTCCTCAATCAAATTTCCTCCCATGTTGTTGATAACGGGATTGTTGGAAATCATTTGAGCTACCGTTGCCGGACGATATCCCGACGAATGGTATCCTGTCGTCGTCAGCGCCAAATTATTATCGTGAGTGCCTTCTTCCCCTTCAGTCTCTGGAGGAATATTCTCGGGTGGAGCGCGTTCGGCTTCAATAAGCAAATTATCCACCTGTATGTCTGCCTTGGATACCAATGCGTCAGGTCCAGAGATCAAAATGTGCATTGGCTCTTCAGGAAAACCTGGAGGAGCAGGCTTATTGGTCGATCCTCGTCCTTTCAACAAGATTTTCAAAGCATCTGTGGAGGCGTCGTCCTTAATACCTTCTTCCTTGTTGGTATCCTCAGCAATATTTCCTAGGCGTGTGGAGAAGTAGGAATAGAAATGAGACTCTGGTCGTTCCGCGGTGGTCTTCACCCAAACTCTCTTGCTAGATTCATCAGCCGCAGTCTTTTGCTTCTTCTTCGCTTGCTCTTGAATGGCGGCCAGTCCAGGTAATGATGGCGTTGCTGCTACAGTGGAGGGAGCAACACCCCATCGGTTACGCTTGGGTCTCGCTGATGATGCAGAGATAGGGGGTTGGCCGTTCGCCTCTATCGATCCCGAGAGTCGAGACGCAATTGCTTTGGCACGAGCGAGGGCTTCTTCTGCTGTAGTGGTCATTTTTATTGTGTTCAACTCAACAGACTGTACTCGTACCGGTTCGGTGGGTCAAATGAAATCCAAGGTGCGCCGAAGATGCAAATTTGGCCAAATTTCGCGCAGAAGCGTGCACAAGAATTGAGAATGAATCGAATCGAAGATTGAAAAATGGAGAAGGGGGAAATGTGGATCTACTTGAAAAAGCTTCACGCTTCGATTTAATCTCCTACCTACTAGATGCGGTCCAATGCGTCCCATCTTGTGTAACCAGGTTTCTGTTTGAAGTCTGTATCCTTTTTCTTCCCACCGCAGACCTTTTTGATAAGAGCCTTCAACTGCCTCCATCCATTTGGGTTATCTTTTGTCGCCAATTCTGTAGCTTGAGAAATGAAGGTTTGTTTCGATTTCTCCCCCATAGATTGGAAATACTTTCCACCCAGTAGCTGGGACGCTTGGACGCCACCAAAGTTCTGATTCCCTAGTCGAATATGAATCGACATGTTGAAGACGTTACAAAAGATGGCTGGGTCGCGATTGAGAGCAGAAAAGAAGGAAGAATACACTGATGGGATACATTCCACTGCCCATGGAGGCAGCCCGCCCTGTGCAGCCCGGAAAAGACCAGCCCCAATGATAGAGATCCCAGCAATGTCGCGATCTGTTCCGAGGTGTTGAATGCTGGTCAGGTCCACAGGAATATTGGCCAATAGCTCAATAGACACACCCTGTAGCATGGAAGGTCCGAGACTGAAATACAAATGTAGGAAATCCATCATTGCAAGGGTTTGTGCTCCATCAAAACTCATCCCTGGGTCATTGGCTCGCTTGTTTTGAGTTTTCGATATCGAAGGATATAGAAGCAAAATGACAATCGAAACGCAGCTCTCAACAAGCAATTGCTGTACAGCTTGGGACAGATCACTAGCTTTCTCAGCCGATTGGAAGAATCCCTGGGCAATTAGTACTTTCAGCAGTTTATTCAGCGCTAGGAACCATGTTTCCGCAATGGTGGGCCTGGGGTCGCAGAACGAGCCCTTTTCAATGGGATAGGGGCAGTCAGTGGTTATTACCTGCAATACGGTAACCCGTGAGTCATAAAGAATACGTATCGTATTTGTCAACGAGACCACTGGAATAGAAGACACCATGGCCTTGTCCAGTGCTTCTCCCAAGGTTTGTAGCATCAGTCCTGCTGGCACAACTTCATCTGAAATGACTTCATCGTTGAACACAGCGCTCCCGGATCTTGGTCCCATATTGCATTGGTGCAACACAGCATTGCATTCAGTCACAATGTTGGTCTTAACTAGATCAATTGCAGTGGTAGGAAGATCTGGGATGCCTGATGATCTGATCAACATAAAAAGAGCTGCTCGAAGTCGATTCCACTGGACACGATATATTAGAAGGACAATTCGAGTGCACCTGAGTCTCGTTGAAAATTGACGTACCTCAATCACAAACTCTCGCGATAACGTGTTCGGATTTACCATGGCATTGAACCCAGCAACACCTACCTGGTTCAAGAAGGTCAGACACCTATTCAATGGAGACTCTGTATCATCTGGGCGGAAATTATAGAGACTCTGAACCATGTTTTCTGAGAAGGATGCAAGGTCAAAGACATTCTCGCAAATGCCAAACAAAATTTCGGGCGTCAGCTGGGTTTGCTGAATACTGCTCATGTTCGCAATATCAAGAACAGAAGACTTGAAGAGGTCTTCTAGTACAGCCGTACTAACTGATTGCCCCGCTGTGGAGTTTTCAAGATGACAGATTACACCAAGTAATATCCTTCGAGACTTTGGCAACACTCCCTTCCCATGAAGCACCCCCTTGCCACGCTCCTTTTCCATTTGCTTCAATTGTTTATACAAATGGCACAGGTCGGCCACCATCGAAGGATTTGACCCCAATATCATCCTTGTGAGCGTTGGACTTTCCGTTGCTAATCGCATCAGTGCAAGAATCCCAACGTGATCCTCTCCACCTGGACTTCTCATTGCGCCGCGTACATCAAAGCGAGAGCTTCTTAGTGTCGATGGCGCGGAGAGTTCTGGAAGGTGAACAATGGACAACACGGAGGCTTGAAAACATATCTCAAGAACCTGGACAATTCCAGTTTCGAATGATTTCGTGGCGCTGAGTGCAGAAAAAGCCGGAGATAAAGAGGCAGTGGCCAAGCTGTAGAGACGACTCAACGGCAACATATCATGATGGAACGGTTGCGCAAAAGCTTGTATGACGCATCGGCCAGCAGAAGACATGATTTCTATTGCCATCTTCAAAGGTCTTTCCAGTTCTACTGAAGGAGATCCTTGATAGTACAACGCAATTGCATATATCGGGCGAGCAAGGGCCGAAAATGCATGGAGGGCGCTTTCAGGAAAGAGGTGTTTTCCTTCAGCACCCACTTCGATTATTGGTTGAGCACACGCCTCCAAGAGCTTTTCGAGTACACATAATGCAACATTTAGACCTGATGGGCTGCACGTCGTATCTCCCGGGGAGTGACCAGATATCCCACGAAGAACATCTCGAACATCATTTCGTTCCATTTCTATATCTTCGTCGTTGTTTTCTCTGAGGTCATCGAAGTAGCCTCCGGGATAGCCGCATTGTGTTGCCAAATTCATGCAGCACTGAAGATTAAGTTCAAGAAGTGTTCAAGAAGTGCTCAAATGAGAGAACGAAACAATCATTCCTCTTTCTAGAAGCGTAATATTGCTCCCTTACCTTATAAAAATGACCAACAAGGACATTTTGTAAGTTGATTCCATTCGAATTATCCGTCGGGAATCCGACTGTCATCACGACATCGTGAAGCATATAAAGTGATTCCGCAGCAAACCCTCGAACTGATCTCGCTGCACTGGAGCAAATCTCATTCACAGCATCGCTAATCGAAACGAAGAGTTGCAATGATTCGCTGGTGTGAACTGGTTGGCGCACCAGATAGGGCAAGCACGAATTTGCACATGCCACGATGCCTCCTACTGGTCCGTCTCCTTGTGTTTCGTCATTGACATCAGAAATAGTACTAAGTTCACGAGTCAAGAGGGGCCGAAATACATGCCATGTCCGCATGGTAACTTCGCAAGCTATCTCAGAACGATGATGAACTTCATTCTGTGCAAGCACATATTGGTTTTGGCTCGTCCTCTCTTCTATCACTTCTTTCTGTCGCTTCTTTGATTTTGATGATTGCTTTTTCTTGTTTGGATTTTGCGACTTCTCGTTCTTCTGTATCAGCGAAGACGCAAGCACCTCGTCCACGGTCCAGCAACCACCTTCCATGATTGCTATCCAATATCGCAGCGCAGCCCTACCTGCAGCGACTTGGTGCGGATTCGGGTGATCAGTTGCCAACTCAGTGAATGCTTGCTCTAGCAAGGAAACGCTGCGTCGAACAAATTCTTTTGGAAGTGGCACATACTTCGCCCACGACTCGCACATTTCGAGGAACAGCACGAGCTGATCGCTAGATGGGGAAGGCATGTCCATGAACGACTCCCAAACCTGTGATAACCCCTGGGTTCTAACTTCCGTCGTAACTGCCGTGTAGCACCTTGGATCCATCGACATTTTACCATAAGCGCCTCCACCACTACCGCTTCCAGCCAAAATCGCATCGGGGATTGAAGCCATGGCAATGAACAACGCGGTTGAATACACTTGATTCGCGTGATCTGGATTGGTACCAGTGGACGAGGCCACGACCTGATGCACCATGGTGAGAGTGTTGATGATCATCTTTACGATTGGTTGCGTATTGGGTGCCTCTGAGGGTATTGATGTGGTGGTGTACCTTAGTCGTGCGCAGCAGCACGCGAGTGCTGAGGCAATGCTAGAGAGCAGCGGCCGTATCCGCCCAAAGTCTTGATTACAGCTTAGCGTTTGATAGTAGAGAATCGTCGTCAAGCTTAGCACTGTCAATTCACCCTTTGTAGCCTCTTCGTCACTCGACTGAGGTTGATAATTTTTCAGGACTTGAGGAAAAGCGGAATTTGCGGTCGTCGACCATTGCATATACATATCCATGATCATCTCATGCTTTGGGGGTATTGATTGGGGAGACTCAAACTCTAAATCTATTGCCTCGGATAACTTGACCCGACGAAGCCTATGTACCATGGTTTGTGCAGCGAATAGGGCTTCGGCGTAGTTCACTTCGATTTGTTGATTTGTCGATGTTCTATGTGCTGCCAACAAAGTAAGACAGGCAAGCCAGGAAGAGCCAAGGTCTCCCGCTTCAAGGGATTGAAGAATATCAACCCCTTCGCTACTTTCATTTTTGTTCTTCAGTGACTTTGATCTTGAGCTAAGCTTGCGACGGATGTTCCTGCACTGGAATTGCATCAAATACTCATGAGCTTCCTTTGAATTTGGCTTTTGAATTGAAAAATCTGACACTGTTGGTAGCGAATAGAGAACGGATAGTGCAAGGCGCAAGTCACCGGAGAGATGTGGCTGCGGAATTGACATACTTCCTTCAGATGAATAGAAGGAAAGGTGACAGAATCTTCCAAGCCAACATTGTTTTTGTTATGAAAGCCGTCGTTTCGGTTCATTCGTCTCAGTCGACCTCAAACGGGCGACGCACATTACATACATGCATAAAAATTCTGTGGCGGAATCCATTTGAATGACAATGGGTGATGAATATGTTGCGTACAAAACACCTAAAACGATAGTTGCAGAAACTGCCTACCATTTTAGTGAGTATTAAATGGGACTGTGTCATTAGTTCGGCATCTTCTTTGCTCATTATTTGCCGTGTCACCGATAGTTCAGGGAGGAATTTACGGGGCTGCATTTGGACTTGTGACTCCATTTCATCCGCCAGGGTCAAGAGCAGCCCTCGAAGAAGCAGCAACCGGAGTCTTCAAGCCTGCCGCTCCATTCAGTTCCATAATATCAGTTCCGCATAATGCACTGATATTTGGATCACTGCTTGGTGTGCAACGGTTAGGATGTAAGACTGCCGAATACGTCCGAAGCAGACAAGAGTAAGTGATATAATACATTCTCGACACGCACATGTTACTAGAATTCGTTTTTAACACTTCCTTTTTCCGACAACTCAGTCTCTGGAATGATGTCTTTGGATATGGAATCGCATTTCCGTACTACCAATTCTTCCTCGTCAAGCATGTCACCAACCACAATAGAGTTTTAGGTGGTGGAGTCATATTGGCGGCGGTATATGCTAGTCTGATAGAATGACGGTTTGTTTTCAAGCAGACGGATCTGGACATATGTTTCTATTCTGTCAAACAACCTGGGAAGCTGTGGAGATTGTTGAAACCAAACAATCAGATGCAAACTGTAAACTTATATAGGAGAATATCAAGTGATACATGAAGGAGTGATGTAGTACAATTATAGTATTAGAAATCAGAGTTGATGTCATCCCTCTTCATTGTGACCCTCCGGAGCACTTGGCATGGGGGCATGATTTGTTGCATCATGATTTGAGAGGTGCTCCGGTGATTCCATCTCGAGTGATTCTAGATCACCTTGGACTAGTTTCATTTCCTCTCGTTTCCTCGCCCAATCCTTTTGCAGCTGTTGGATTCTTCGATTCTGCTCCATTTCTTCTTGCTGCAGCCTTTTCTCAAACTCAATCCTTTGCTTCTCATGTTCACTCAGTGTCTTCTGATGTAGAGCTTCGCGTTCATGCTGAAGCCTCGAAATTGTGTCCATTCTGCTGTCGAATACTTTCTTTGCCCGACTAACAGTCTTTTTGAACTCTTCATCGAGTTTCCGAAGCTCCACAGCAAGCTCCTCATCCATTTGGTCACTCTCTGATGGTGCACGCAGCCTTTCCATTGCAGGAGGCGGATGCATTCCATTCATCTGGTGAAAAGCTGTTTCAGTTCCCATCTGATGTGACATCGAAGCAAGGTCATCTTGAGGTGAAGTTGATGAAAAAGTCCCCTCAACTGAGCCTGGAGCACCAGCAGCGGGCACGAATTGCTGTGTTTGAGGTGCTGTTTGTGATTGCTGAACGGGTTGTTGCTGAGGAGGCATCGGGGAGGGTTGGAATGGAACATGTTGAGGATGCTGAGAGGCTGGCTGTGTTGGTGCCTGGGACGTGATTCCATTCGTGTATCCTTGGACCTGATTCCCTTGCGGTGGAACATAAGATGATTGCGCAGGTGGGGCTTCAACAATACCACTTTGTGGAGCAACAGCAGAACCACTCTGCTGTTGCTGCATTACATGCATGCCCGGCGCGTGATGTCCACTTGATTGAGGTGCAGGTTGGGATGAAATTGGTGCCTGTTGAGGTTGGGCATATGCAGAAGGGTCAGACTGAGTACTGACCCCTTGTGTTTGCCGTACGTATGCAGAGGGGTCAGACTGGGTGCTGACCCCTGGTGTTTGCCGTACACCCATCTGGGGAGGAACATGGATTGGTTGCCTATAGGTCGATTGCGAAGAGTTATGAGACGGAGCATCAGACTGGCCGCCAACCCCTGAAGTTTGGCGTACACCCATTTGGGAAGGAACAGGGATCGGTTGCCCATAAGTCGACTGCGCAGAGCTGTGAGACGGAGCGTCAGACTGGCCGCCAACCCCTGAAGTTTGCCGTATCCCCATTTGGGAAGGGACAGGAATTGGTTGCCCATAATTCGGATGCGAAGAGTTGGTATCTGCAGAAGGACCAGCATGTCCAGGAGCAACACCAACATTATGGCTCAAGTGGCTATCTGCTTGCTGACCGGCATTCACAGCGTTCATATGTGAAGGCAGTTGCTGAGCATTGATAGGAATCGACTGTTGTCCATATGATTGCGAAGACACGTCTGAATTCTGCTTTGTCATTTCCAGGGGTTGCACGTGACCGTGCGACTGCATCGGTGCTGGCATCGGAGCATGCTGACCATGACTCATAGGAGCAGACTGCTCTTGAACCTGCATTCCTTGCGCTTGCAATAATTGCGGAACGTGCGATGTTTGCGAGTGGTTCGGAACAACTTGTTGTTGCTGTTGTTCATGCATCGATTGATGGCTCTGTGATGAAACCATACTTTGACTTGAAGGATGCTGAGCCATATTTTGCCCCATCTGCGATGTTTGAGAGTGGTTCGGAACAACTTGCTGTTGCTGTTGTTCATGCATGGATTGATGGCTCTGCGATGAAACCATACTTTGAGTTGAAGGCTGTTGAGCCATATTTTGCCCCATGTCCGTGTTCGATGGCATTGCCGGAAGAGACGAAACCGACGGCATTTGGGTAGATCTGAGGTGACCCTGACCCTGATTCTGACCCTTGTGCCTCGCAAGATATTTGTCTTGGCTCACTCTCGCTGCACGTGCAAGACCACTGATAGTCTCACTGATTTCCAGAACAGCACCCTGGGGTATTCCCAACTCGGCCACCATCTCCTTTGCAACTTGGATTGCGTCATCCTGGACCAAATGAAAGTCAAACTGAACATTTTGGGTCTGACCTTCCACTGGAAGCGTCACTACCAACTTCAAAATATCATCTTCATATGGCTGAGCATTGGAATCGTTCTCGATAACCGCTGCTGCCACTAAATAATGCATCGTAGGCGCAGCTGATACTGGGGCAGCTGACGGAGCAGGATTTGCTGGAGTAGGTTCATTTGGAACCTTTTGACCAGCCGGCGCTTCCTTTTCAGGAGCAATGTGATCATCTTCATCCTTATACTCGAGCCCACGACCCGCCATAACTTTGACCTTCCGGATGTTCACTTCACTATCAGGCATTAGCTCGAATCTATCTGATCCGTCGTCAAGTAGCGAATTCGATCGGCTGTGCTGCATTTGCCGTGAGGATGAGGATGCACCTTGTAGCCCCTCATTGGCATGCGATGATGAAGAGGCTGGTGAAGAGCGGTCTCGTCCAACTGCCGCCTTCACACTAGGAGTCGACGTACTGCTAGTCTCAGCAATCGCTCTTTCCTGCATTAAAGGAAGCACTTCAACTTCGTCATCGTCGCTCGGTCGCTTTTGCAAAAATGGATGTTCCAAAAGTTCGGTTGCAGAAGGCCGAATATACTTTCCATTCTCATCAACTCGTCCCAGACATAGCTCAACAAAGGCTTTCGCATGAGTACTCTGAATTCGTTTCAGACTATCTGGAGGATCACCTCTTGATACCTTCATGTATATCTGTGCAGGGTTGTTACATTCACGATACGGTATCTCTTTGGTGAATATCTCGAGCATACACATACCAAAGGAATACACATCCACTTTCTCGTCATATGGATTATCCTCATACATATCCGGGGCCATAAACTCTGGAGTTCCCAACACACTCAGTTGCCTTCCATTCCGATGGACCGTACTCAGACCCAAGTCTCCTATTCTCAAGTCTCCACTGGTTCCATTGATGAATATATTTTCGCACTTCAAATCGCGATGAATTACAGGTGGTTCCTGCGTGTGAAGATATTGTAGACCTTTCAGAATCTGGATAGCCCATCGTTTCGCAATCTTCCATCTGATGACCTGAACTTTTGTGATAAAACTCTTTAGAGTTCCAGAAGACAGGATCTCGGTAACAAAATTGACCTGTTGTTGCGCTCGATTCACCCAGGATCCATGAAAACTAATGATATTGTGATGGTGCAACCGTTCGAGAAGCTGTACTTCATTGACGATCCGGTTTCGCTCATTCCGAGGAACTCCGGCCAAATGTACAACGTTCCAAGCTACTTCAATGCCCTCTTGTGTATCATAGGCTCGATACACCTCCTTGGACGCTCCGCTACCTAGCTTTTCCATAAACCGTACATATCTTTCTCCGGGTGATCGCTCTACAATTGCATTCTTGCCATGTGGACTCGTTATGAAATCATCTTCTGAACCGGAGCTGGGATCCACTGATCTTGCACCGTTTGAAAAAGTGATGGATGATTTGGAGTTCGTTGTCCGTATGGAATCATTTCCGGATCTTGGATCTGCGGGTTGATTTGTCGATTCTTTGGAATCTGTTTCTGCTTCCGCAGTTATCGTATTTGCCGGTAAACTAGTTCCAGTGTTGTCTGCTTCCGTAGCTTGCTTCAAAACTGTAGCGTAACTCTTTGCAACCACTTCAATTTTGGGTTCATCCACTGGCGTTTCACCATTTAATGGCATATTTTCAGTTGGTGCTGGTGGTATCGTTGAAGTAGGAGCATGGGATTCTATTGGGGATATTGACTGGGGTTGGGTTTCAGGTGTTACCATTGTCTTTTCCGTCACGGGAGAGGTTTCGTTTGATTCATTCGGTTCAGAATTTCCATCTCTCGTAGAAATAGTACTAGGTTCTACGGGATTTTCAGACTTGGGAATATGAGCATCAATTGTGCTTTCCATGGTCTCAGAATGCGTTGCCGGATCCATGATGCCGCAAATGAAATTAAAAAAGGCAGAAAAGTAGGATAGACTGGCCTGTTCTGGATTTGATTTGAGTAGAGTCTCTGCAGCAGAGAGAAAATGCCTTCCCTCACAAAAGAGAGATCGACACTTTTTCAAGGAAAATAGACGTTTTCTGAATCGTTAACCACAGAAATTTCGCAGAGCGGCAGTCCAAGACACAGTTCAGTGCTGTTGCTTGGTTTGATTAGTGTTAGAAACCTCCTTTATAGTGATATTTTACGGCTGCTGCAACCATAAAGGACGTGCTAGTGTTTCCGGAGGCATGAAGGCAGACCTGATGGACTAGGCTCGCTCGAATCAAAAGTTGGTCGCTACGTGTGACAGAGTTTAGCGTTCCTACCTACCTACGGAAATGGCTGTCTAGAACCACACCACGCGGCGGGTCGAGAACGAATTTTTAGAAGGAGACTGGCGTGCGATGTCTTCATTCTGCGCGTGCCCGCCACCACAATATGGACGTGACGCACGCTACCGAACCGGGTGTACCGGTCATGCACTCACCGGCAACACTTTTAATTGACTGGTGTGATTCACTCAGTCGGAAAAAGTCAAACATTGCGAAATCCAGTAAATAAATCAAATCGGAAGAGTAATCTACTAGTGAAGGTGATGGATAGGTTCTGAAGCGGAAGGAAGAAACGACCTTGTTGATGTTATGGTCCACAGCATTTGAGCTCATATCTCCATTCTTTCGAATATTTCAGTATTCGACCACGGTCTTGTGATTTCAGGGGTCCAAAGGAATACTGACACCTGCAGATTGGGGAGGGCTTGAACAAGAAGCTCTTCTTGGAACGTGCGATCCTACAAGTGTGGCAAGGATATTTCCAATAGGTTCGATATCGTATCACGACAGCTCATGCGATTTATTGTGTGAAAGTCCCTACCAGCAGGAATGATAGCCCTCTTTGTGGTGGAAGATTGGAGGGAAGATCACAATCTCGTACCGTAATGAGAAAGCACACGATGATTGAAACTCTGAAAATTTTGGCGAAAGAGGCTCAAAATTTCTGACTTCCCCATGACTATGCATCCAGCGCAAAATCTCCAATCTGACGAGGGCACGAGTCCTGTATGACACAATTGCTCGTGGATCCCACCCTCGAAACAATGTTCCAATCCATTCTTGGTAGTAAGACTGGTGGGTCCAGAGTTTTGACAAATATACGAGTAAATAGAATGCAATGTGTTTCGAGGGGGAATGTCAATGGAAATGAAACATATTTTAAATACTGCAACATAGTCGTAAGCAGCTCTATCTCAAAAGCTACCAGGTACCAGTATTGTCGTGATAGTTGTTTCGTTTTTGGCTTTCAGTTTTGGTTTCAAGTTTGGAAATCATTCGAATTCCTTCGTCTTTGCTTCGTGCGTTGTCATTTCTCCCTCCAACTCGACACACAAAACACAAAACCATTGTTGCTATCACCAACGGCATTAATACTATAGCATGTCTAACTTTTCGTCCGATGGCTTTGATCTCGATGCTATCTCAACACAAGATAACAGCGACGTAATCTATGAAGTTGGAGGCGGTGCTACAGTGATCCAAAACGAAGAGCCAGCCATGAAAGAGGTTGAGCCATCATTCAACACTTCGGAACACGATCAATGCGAGGAGTTCAAGAAGCAAGGAAATGAACAGTTCAAAATCGGAAACTATTTGGAAGCCTTTGATTTATATACAGAGGCTATAGAAGCTTGTCCTAGCAAATTTACTGGGGAAGAGATTCTCAGATTGAAGGATGAGTTTGACGAGAAACAACGTTCGGAAGCATTGCAACGAAGTCGACTTTCCGAAGAGCGCCGACGGAAAAAGGAAGACGAAAAGAAGAACGGCGTTTCTTCATCCCAACCACCCGAATCTAGCAAACCACAGCCTTTCAAGACCTTTGAATTGTCGCAAGAAGACAAAAACGACAAATTGGCAGTCTACTATTGCAACCGAGCGGCAACCTTGCAGCACATGGAAAAGTACAATGATGCGCTCAAGGACTGTGATGTGTCGGCCTTGTTGAACCCAAAATATACAAAAGCATTTGTTCGGCGGTCGGCAGCCCACGAAAGGTTAGAAGACACTGAAGCGGCACTGAAAGATGCCAAAGCCGCCTTGGAACTCGACCCGAGAAATGCCACCATTCGAAAAACGGTTGCTCGGTTGGAAAAGATTGAAGCGGAACGATTAGAAAAGCTGAAGGAAGAAACCATGGGAAAACTCAAGGACCTAGGGAACAGCCTATTAGGCAACTTTGGTTTGAGCCTAGACAATTTCCAGGCTGTGCAAGATCCAAAGACTGGGTCTTACAACATTGCATTCAACCAAAACAAATAAGAGCAATCAGTAAGAATAGAGAGCAATCAGTTGGTATTATTATTGCACAGAAAAGCGTTTGATTCATTCGTCATCGGTTCTATTATTACTACTCTATTGTTTGACAAGGATGCTATCACTTGCTATCCGTCGGCTGCTGTTTGGAATCGTTTCCATTGCCAGCTGAATCATTAGAACCTTGATTTTGCTGTGATGATCCCCTGCCACCACCGTTGTAGCCGCCACGTCCTCTTCCACGTCCATTGCGGCGTCCGCGGCCACCTCTTCCACCACCTCTACCTCCAACACGGCCTCGAAAGTTCGGATCACCATCCTCCATCATACCGTGTTGACCATAGTTTCCACCACCACCATATGGTACAGGAGGTCCTCCTGGACCACCGTAGTAGGGATTTCCATTCGGACCTCGCATGTGTTGCATGTTCGGAGGCATGGCACCAGGTTGCATTGGGTAAACAGGATACCCACGTGCGCCTCCAGGAACAACCTGCATCTGTTGCGGGTGGTTTCCAACAAATTGAGCAGGGTATTGTGGCCCTCGTGGATGCATTTGCATCTGACCAGCCCCGTAATAAGCTCCTGGTGGTGGAACGTTGTACTGCATTTGTTGAAATTGCTGCTGGGGTTGGCTTTGTTGTGAAGCATGCGAAGCATCATCCGCTTGTTGCTGCTGTGATCCAGATTCGCTTTCAGCTGTTCCTGCAGGAGCAGCTCCGGCCTCTTCTCCAGCTGGAGCGGGCTCGGCGTGTTGTGGTTGTGGAGGTTGCATTGGGGCCATTTGAGGATCCATCGATTGATACTGAGGAGCGTAATGCATTCCCTGGAATTGAGGATTCATCATTGGCATCATTCCTAAAATCATCAAAAGGAAGCCGTGTTAGAGATTGAAAAATACAAACCACAAGTTCAGGAACAAATACAGCTGATAGTTTACCTGGTTGTCCCATTGGACCAGGGTGCATGTAGTGCGGAGGTTGCATAGGTGGTGCATGCATTTGGGCATTTGGATCAGCAGCAGGTTGCGGCTGGGCTGCAGGGGCCGTAAAGGTAGGCGTAAACGATTTCGCCGAGGGGTTGAATGTGAAAGACTTTGCGTTGGCATTGAGTTTGGATTTTGGCTTGTCCTTTCCTGCTTCCGCATCCTTGGACTCTTCTTTTTTGGCCGCTTCCGTCTTTCCTATCTCCTCTTCCGTTTTAACAGGCTTTCCTTCTTCCACTTTGGCGCCCTTTTCTTTCGCTGGAGCAACTTTCTTCTTGTCCGCTGCAGCAGGGGCATCGGCGCTAGTTGATTCTGCCTTGGCCTTTTCGTCAGATGGCTTTTCTGCTTTGGCCAATCCCGGCGGCAGAGCCTTCTTTGCGGGTTCTGCCTTTGCTGCGGCAGCAGCATAATTCATCTTTGGAGCAGCAGCCTTTGTTGCATCGTGCCGTTGCTTCCCATCCTTTGTGAGCACTCCAGAGTATCGGTCCTCTTCGTCAAAGTCAGTTTCAACTGCATGTCCACGTTCTTCAGCAATGTGAATATTCGTACTGGTGGAGCCTTCAATTTCTTTGGCGATCCGCTCAGCTTCAGCAAGCTTCTTTTTATCAATCTGAGACTTATCCAACTGGGTTGTGTACAGATTCTCATCGTAAGTAGCTTGGACATTGAAGAGTTCTTCGTTCGCTTTGAACTGATCCCATTGTCCAATGGCTCCTTTCAAACCTCCTTCGGTGGCGGCGGGCCGAGCAGAGCCAAAGGCGGCGCGAGTCATTCCACCCTTATTGTCATCCAGCGAACTCCCGAGGTCCCCTCCTCCTTTTCCACCCGTAGTCCATGCGCTGCCAGCAGAAACCAATTCGCGGTTTTTGTCAGAATTGGAGCCCGAAATTTGAGTATCCGTCATGACACCGTTATTGGCATTGGGACCTCCAGGTCCTCCATTGGCAGCTGGGCGATCCAAACTGACATTCTTTGCATGGAGATAAACGACTCTCTCCACTGGGATAACAACTGTGCTTCCGTCTTCGATTGGTTTCTCTCCATTGGTGGGTGGTTTTGTGACTCTGATAGACTTGAGCGCGTATTTGTTTTTCAATTCAGGTTTCAGATTGGGATATGGGGTAAACGTGTGGAATACACCTTCCATAACGCTACCATTTGTTAGCGCCAAAACCACCTTTTGACCTACCATCGAAAGGGCCAAATGAAGCAAACGATCTCGTAGGACACCGCTAACTTCAATATCCTTGCTGCCTTGCGTGTTTGGTTTACTGGGTGGTCCCATTCCAGGTGGAGGACCAGGAGCTCGTGCTTTCAATGGTCGGTTCCATGCATTGGCCGGGCTAGCTTTTGCTGCAGGCTTCCCGTTTGGCTGCTCAGGCCTACACAATTAGTAAGAACAATAAAATAATGGTTAGCTCGCTCGGAAAGATGATTCGGCTTTTCAGACTAGTGATGGCGCTTTTGCCCATCTAATGATTTCTTAAATCCATCAAGTTCATTCAGCAAAAGGTGTCCATGGGAATGAATTTCAATCGCAATGAATCCAGTTGAATACAAACATATCCAAGCAGTGCGTTTGGATCAACCTGAACATTAACAAGACGTTCCCCCCAAAACAAAAGACCAACCCGAAGCAAGAAAGGTTTCCGTTGCAGCGCTGTTTCAGTGCTTACCCAGGTTTTTGTCCTCCTTTCTTAGACATGATTTAAAATACAACAAAGGGAAACAAACGAATAACAAAGGCTCTGGATGGTAGACTCGGCCAACACTCTGCAGCACGTTAGTAAGTCGTAACCTTTTGGACCGAGATGGGATTTGCGTGTCTTTGCCCACAAAGCAGGAAAGCAAAATGTCTTGCCGTACGTAAGTACTGGAAGTACCGACCGTCCGTCACGCTCGGATCGTGGTGGCGAAGATATCCGATGGAAGGGAATGCAGTAGTGTTATTTTGGTATTTTGGTACCAGGTACTTTGAGTTGAGTTGAGTTGAGTTGAGT